GAGACGACTGAGGAAAACTCAATGTTTAAAATAAGTTATGGAGGTAGCCACAAGATATAATAATCGTCCTAATTGTCGTTATTGAATAATTTCAAAAGAATATTACCAATTTGCTAATGACTGTTCAAATGATCACCACCACCACCACCACTACCAACAACAACGCCAGCACCACCACCAACATCACCACCGCCATCAACAACAACAACCACCACCACCACCACTACCACCACCACCACCAACAACAACAACAACATCAACAACATCACTACCACCACCACCAACAACAACAACAACAACAACAACATCACAACGACCACCACCACCAACAACAACCACCACCACCACCACCACCACCACCACCACCACCACCACAACCACACCACCAACAACACCACACTTCCAACATCACCATCACCACCACCACCACCACCACAACCACCACCACCACCACCACCACCACCACCACCACCACCACCACCACCACCACCACCACCAACAACAACAACAACAACAACAACAACAACAACAACAACAACAACAACAACAACAACAACAACAACAACAACAACAACAACATCACAACGACAACCACCAACAACAACAACAACTACCACCAACAACAACCACCACCACCACCAACACCACCAACAATAACATCACAACGACCACCACCAACAACAACAACAATAACATCACAACGACCATCACCACCAACAACAACAACCACCACCAACAACAACCATCACCACCAACAACAACCATCACCACCACCACCACCACCACCACCACCACCACCACCACCAACAACAACAACAACAACAACAACAACAACAACAACAACATACTATAGAGCCAAACAATTATTTAAACTACAGCAAACAGCTGTTTCGTCTTTCGAGGACTATCAAGGAAAATTAAACGATGCCGAAAAAGTAATTTGGAAAGATTCCCTAGCCCCGTTTATGCAATATATTTCCTTATTGTTAAATATAATATGCTTTCAAAGGAAATCGATGATAAACTGACCTTGTCACTATTCAAATGAATTTAAATACCCAAAGGAGGTTACGACAAAGCTCGGGTACTAACATCCACCATTAGAGACTAGAAGCAAAACCCATTTCATAACGTTGTAAAGTGGGTAGTATTTCTTCGTCGTCTTCGTCTTTCTCCAATAACGGCAAGTTTAAGAAATACCGATCTTTTTCTTTAGAGAAAAGACACATTGTTATTTATGTGTTGACATTTAAATTAAATTTAATGTTATTCTGATAATGTTAAATGTGTTTTACACAGTAGTGTTTCTAGCTTAGACGCCAGAGTAATTAAAGCACAGTTTTGATGATATATCGTTTAAGAGATATTTTGTAAAAGAGTTTCAGTTTAAAGTGAAACTGACAATCCGTCTGTCGCACACAGACAGTAGAGATAAGTTTTTAACACTTGGCTTGTAAAGCGCTTTAGAGCTGACCTTATTAACAGTATAACTTATTATTTTATTATTACAAGTAGGTGGCACGAATGTAGCCATTTAAGTTAGTAATCTACAATGATGTTTCCATCCTATTTACGTTTATTTCTTTCCATCGTTCTGGTGTCATTCGTTTTTTGTTTTTTTTTCTGTCACACAACGTCAGACATATTTGTCCATTTAGAATATCTGGAATTCTTTTGTAGCTCAGCATTTTATCGGTCTCCTTAAATATCAGCACGTGTTGTACGGTATATTCAATTTTTATTGCTACAAGCACGAAATCAAATTTTGCCGTAGTTATCTCCCCTTCAACACTGAACTACTCTTTCTTATATTCAAAATTGATGTGGAATATATACTTGCAAAAGTCGTTCACAGATAGACATATTATAGTATCGAATATTCATTCACAGATAGACATATTATAGTGTCGAATATTCATTCACAGATAGGCATATTATAGTGTCGAATATTCATTCACAGATAGGCATATTATAGTGTCGAATATTCATTCACAGATAGACATATTATAGTGTCGAATATTCATTCACAGATAGACATATTATAGTGTCGAATATTCATTCACAGATAGACATATTATAGTGTCGAATATTCATTCACAGATAGACATATTATAGTGTCGAATATTCATGACTCTTTTTATTCTGCTTTCAGCTCTTTCAATTTTCGAAAGTTCTCTTTAAGACTTCCCCTAAGTATCGATGTCTTTCACTTTTCTGCAATGCATCAATCATTAAAACACTTTCTTGCCTTACACATTTTAGATTGTGCTTTATCTTCATAATCAACATCAAATTTAATTTCATTTGTTTTTCTTTCCATATCTGCACATTATATTCATTTCTTAGATCACAACTTCCAAATATAACAGCTTTCTCACTTATATGAAAAATTTGATTTGGGGGATATATTTCACCCAAAACTTTGCTGATCCATGATTCAATATCTACCATGTAGAACAGGTGAATTTGAGTTTCATCAGGTAAATGGCAAAGTGTACATTTTCATTTTCAATAATTTTACCTCAGTAGGAATAATATTATGCAAACATTTCCATTGGAAATCGCTATATTTCGTATTTGCTATAGACCTACTTAACGAAATCCTAATTTTTATCCAGTTTATGTCATCTTGATGTACTGTATCTCAGCTATTTTGTGATTTGGGATACTAGTTTGTATCTAAAACTAATACTTTTAAAGTTTTATATGTTAACTTTGTTGGTTGTATTATTTCATTGTTTTTATTTTTTTTAAAGATATAATTCTTCTGTTACAGCTATTGGTTCAGTTATTGGTATTTCTTGATTTCTTGATTTAAGCTCTTGTATCCAATTGCCACATGAGGAAATTGCTTTCTTTACAATGGAGAATTCTGATATCCAGTTATCCTTGAATTACAATTTCTCCCATAATTCTTGGAAATTACTAAAATCATTAATTCTTTCATTTTATATATCTTTTATTTTTGTAATATTTGATTTAGTCCAATTTTAAAAGAAAACATGATTTTTCTTAATGTGATATTGGTGTTTCCAAATATTCTTTGATTGAGTGTTTCGTTTTTTGTCGCAACTGGACGGCGTTTTAACATGACCTGCCAACATTCGAGAGAGGCCCTATAAAACTGTGGAATACGATTTAATGCTAATGATTTTGTAGTACTACATTTACATATAAAGAGCTCCATGACATCAAATAATTTGAACGTTAGTTTTGTCCTTTTTAAGCCATCTTTTATTAATAACAGGGTTCAGTTTTGCATTGATCAGAGTGAGTGCTGTGTACATAGTCATAACAGATTGACTCTGGTGAAGTATTTTTTATTTCCACAGAAGTGAAAATAGCAAACATTACATAACGTATAAATATTACAACATACACACAATAAATCTAATAACAGATCAACAACATGAATATATTACATGTTTTATAAATGTTGCTGGAAACACTTCAAGATAGACAATTTATCGCAGTCATTACTTTGAAAGATCTAAGCACGATGTAAAATCAAAGGTTGACGTACATGGATGTCTAACACAAACAATAATGTAGTATGTGTTCACTGTATAGTGTTCTGTAGCTCGCTAATTTATAAATCATAGACAGTTAGCTGTTTTTCCTATAACAGCCATCATCAATATCAGAAATCTTATAAATGTCAAACATCTATCTTCATTGATATTAATTTATGCATGGTTCTGTTATATTTAATCAAACATAATGTGAAAAGGCTGACTTTGTGTGTTCCATTTTTATACGACTTGATGATTCAAACGGAATATATAAGACAAACCAAACACTTTTACAGATCTGATAATGGATTTGACATTTAATTTATTTCATTTTTACGATTATGTTCTTTAAAGATTCAATCTTACAATTTTTCCCAAAACAATTTCTTTTACCAAATAAGAGTTCAGAGACAAGTCAGGAAAGTTACCATCTCGCTATGTATATAGCTTAACAAACCAACATACAAATGCTTACGGTATATGTTACACACACTTATATAGAATGATCACTGTTGTCTATTGTACGTCCTGAACAATTTGTATTATTTAAACGTAACGTTTAATATCTTTACATATAAATGTAAAGTAATGCTATGGTAATGTATGATATAACGACTGTTTGATTGTCTTTCTGTCTGTCTGTCTGTCTGTCTGACTGATTAATATCGTATTTGGTGATGTAGAGTAATACCATGGTAATGTATGATATAACGACTGATTGTCTGTCTGTCTGTCTATCTGTCTGACTAATTGATATTGTAATTGGCTATGTAGGGTAATGCTATGGTAACGTATGATATAACTGATTGATATTGTGTTATGATCAGAGTAATAGCCATTCTAGCATTTTCACAACCGCTCTACTTTATTGTACTTCATAATATTCTCACAGATATATTGTCACAGATATTCTGTTAATGTCACATTGTCATAAATATTCTGTTAATGTCACATTGTCATAAATATTCTGTTAATGTCACATTGTTACAGAAATACTGTTATTGTCACATTATCACAGATATAATGCTATTATCACATTGTCACAAATATACTGTTATTATCACATTGTCACAGATAAAGTGCTTTTATCATATTGTCACAAATGAACTGCTAGTTTCACAGATATACTATTATTGTCACATTGTGACATGAACTGCTATTGTCAAATCATCACATGTCTCGTTGTCACATATGTACTGTTAATGTCACAGAAATACTGTTATTGTAACAAAGAAACAGATATACTGTTATTGTCAAATTGTCAACGCCGCGTGCATACTGCTTAGTCACAAATAAACATATCGTAAGCCCACAATACTAGGGTCCTAGTCATCCTTCCATGCTCACAGTTAAATCAATGTTAATGTATCGTACAATATCGTCTAACAACATTCAATGGAGTAAAATATAAGGGAATCGCCAAATCAGGAAAGAAGGTTTGCTGATATGTTCATATTGAATTAATCACGTATTTGTGTGATTCGATTTTTATGTAGCGTTATTCTCATTTTGATTTATTTCTTCCTTACTATTAAGAACCATAGATCGTTGGCACTGTTCTTCAGTGGTTTTGAGTTTATCTAGGGCGTCGTCTCGCTCTTTCTCTGCCTGAAGACGAAGTTCTCTCTCGGCGTCGACCTGTTTCTGAATGTCTTTCCTCACAAACGTGTTAACAGCTACAATAAATAAGAAATCATTTGATTTAGTATATCACGGTCACTTGACACCTGTTTAGAATGATATCGGAAATTGCACGAAAGTACAAATTTAGAATTAAATACCGTAGAACCAAATAGTGATTAATACTGTATCTGTCAGCTATATCGTCTCTGTTTAGTGCTTGTAGGGCGTAAGAAAACATTCCTCGCTCCTGTTTGTTTTTATTTCACGGAAGCCACATTTGTAAAAAGAAACTACATGATAAGGGAGATAACTCCGATAACTGTTATTGACGTTAGAAACCTGATTAGTATAATGATGTTGTTGTATACGCCAAGAATAAAGAAGAAGTATGGTCCAATATTCGAAGTTAACTGCTGCATATTACATGTAAACATATTGCTTATTTTATTAATCTGAAAAAATTAAGGCGCGTTTCATCTTTGTATACGGATGTTTTATTTGCTGACTGGTTTGTTAGATAGCGTGCCGGGCGTGTTGTCTTAAGTAACAAATTATCTACTTACAAAATAGGAGCTTAAAGAAGCGCCAGAGTCTGAGTAGGATCAACAGAATAACAGCGTCTCTCACAAGATTGCTGACGTGGGACAGAGACAGAGCGATATCCAACACAAAGGACACAAAGACTATTATTCCATCGAGCACCTGCACGAGAAAAAAAAACAATTCAGGTATTTCTTTATTTATTACGGCCATTCGGCCTTTCAGGGTACGAGGGAAAACAGGAAAGTGAGATTGGTGAGAGAAATCTGGTAGAGAGGAGCCGTCCATATCACCAAACATGTTCTTAAACTAGAATAAAACTTCAGCACAACCCCTTAATGTCCTCGCGGGTATTATTGGACATAAGGGAGACAGGGCATGTCATTCCCCAACCGAAACTGATCACATACATATATACAAGTAAATCAAAAACAGGCCTGTGCTCTTATTTTTATTGAAATAAACATTTGCTATAATTAAGATGTGTAAGCCTCCAAGTGATGGTACAAAAATGAAGCCGGTCTGAAAAATATTCACTTAAAACGTTTTTTGTTCTTTAAATCATCCGAAGTAAAAATCTACAGAACAATCAGAGTTAAATATACTTAATCTATATACAAACAAGAATCTCTAGATGTAGGTACATGTAGGTATGTTAAGCGAAAACAAATATTGAATAATCTTAAAGATAAATAATTCCACATGAATGTTGCAAATAAATATTATCTTCATTTATTTAACAGTTCATAGTCTAGCGTAAAATGTATACAATACGTATATATAGATAGATCCCGTAAACATATAGTAGAGTGATTCAAATAAAATATCATTTTGACCATGAACTTATAATCAGTTTTGATGTTGATTATTTAAATACAAACCTCTAGTTTCTTTTTGAAGAAGCTGGCCCCATCAGCAATGATTTTAAGTGTTACCTGGTATAGTATTGTCGTATAGTATTGTCGTATAGTATTGTCGTATAGTATTGTCGTACACTTGCAAAACAGTGATGTCATATTTAATTTGTTATACCATGACTTCTCGGAAACCGACAAAATCTGTTTTTAAATTGTTAGATTGTTAGCTGTATATAAACATGTTAAAATATACACTGGTTGAGTTCAAAATTTCCGGATGTCCGATAGTTTTTAATAAATACCCGTGTGATGTCAAAAGACTCAGTTTATTAGGTAGAACGAAAATACAATAATGTGTTATAGTGTTAGGATGTTTTACTAAAATATTAGAACTGCTCACCTCCAGAACAAACAATGAGATTATCGTTAGACTTGTATAGTGAAGGCCGTTTTCTATTTCTTCTTTCTTGGAATGGTTCTCATCATCATCAAACACTATAACACAAGGTCATTAATTCATTCTCAATTCAGTCATACATAACATTATCACCACCAATGTACATTATGTATTTGTATATTACAAGATATATATAACTATATATATTTACATAGACAATGTACAAATAGTATAACTTCCTGAAACAAAGATGTACTCTTTTCCATTGTAAGAACATATTGAACATAAATCGGTTGATAGTAAGCTATTGTCTTCGTTGTTGTATTAGAGTAGGATTAGAGACAGATTATATTTTAAATATCTTACGAGTATTTAAACATAATGATAATTATCTGGAGACGAAGTGGATGGAAAATTTGTAGAAAGGTTTTGTTTTGTTTATATTGCTAAACTTCTTATCAACAGTTAGGGTCATTTAAGGACGGCTTCCAGGTGTATGCAAGGTGAGTTAGTTTGGTTTCATATTGTTTAACTTCCTATCTACAGATAGGGTCATTTAAGGACGGCCTCCCGGTGTATGTGAGGTGAGTGCGTGTATAATTAAATACAGAAAATCCAAATATTGAATTCAACTGTTTTATAAAAGCGTTTTCCTCCTTGGAATAAAGCAAAAGATCTAACGACTTTAAATTTAGGTGAGTACTGAAGAAAATAAAGATTGCCAGAAAATTGACTTGGAGGGTACTGTAGAATAGGCAAACATTAACGAATGCAGGCTATCGCAAGGTCTACAACACGGCAGTGAACGGAGCTGTGAAAACCCGTGTGCTCACTGACGCGACAAGCTGTAGACTGACCAACAAAGGTTAGTCGGTGGCCGAGTCGCCCAGGGCATTCTGATTTGACAAGACAACTCGCCCTAGCGAATTACTGCATACTACAGGCACACGACAAGGAGATCCACTTCCACCACACTCCCTCCCGTTTACTTTCTTGAAGAGGAACATATCCGTCATTCCCTCATGGATCCCATCCGGCATCCAGGTGGTAGTCTTCCAGGTACTTAGGTTGTCTCCTCTGCCTACCTGGGGGCTTGATACCTGTTGAACTCTGGGCTTCTTCTTCCTGGAGGCAAGTTTTTGGGGACTGTTCTTGTTGAGAGAACTGCTCATCCTGAGAATACCCAACTGCGAGATTCTTCTCGGGATGAGATTGCCCGGCATTGGATGCGAGTTCGGGGTCAACAGTAAACAGATCAGAGATCTGCACGTTCTCGCTTTCCGAGGAATGTGGCGGCTCATCTTCAACTTTGCTAAGGATTTGGTTCCTGCATCTCTTGAGCCACAGCGGAAACTCGCGATCCTCACACAGCTTGAGGCGGTCATGATGGATAACCTTCTTGGTTTTCCTGTCCTTGATGCGATAAAGGACGGGGGACAATACCTGTGAGATAACATATGGACCTCGCCAGGGACGCCTTAACTTCGGACTATGTCCAACTTTCGATGCTGACTCTATCTTAAGCACGACATCCCCAACATTGAACCGATATTGGTTAAGACGCAGGTCATAGTCCTTCTTTTGACGAAGTTGGGACGCCTGCAAATTACTTCTGGCAATTCGATGGACCTCTTGGAACGTCTCCTCTAGTTGTCGGACATACTCGGAAGCCCCATCATACTTACGGACTCTGCCGGAAGTTCCGAGCATCAAATCGAGTGGCTGTGTAACTTCCCTTCCCAGCATCATCCGATTTGCAGTGAAGCCAGTCTGACGATGTTGAGTAGAGCGAATGGCCCCGGCAAGTTGTTGTAAGTATTGATCCCACGAATCCTGCTTGGCCTTGAGGAAACAACGTATACACTGTAGGAGGACTCTGTTGTACCTTTCAATTTGGCCATTAGAAGAAGGATGGTAAGGGGTAATACGTTTTTTTGTTATCTGTAACAGATCACATATAGCACGAACAACTGATCCATCCATGTTTTTACCCTGGTCTGTGTGGAGCTCCAAAGGGCATCCGAAACGGCTGATAAATCCGTCCACCATCATTTTTGCTACAGTCTCAGAATTTTGGTTGGGAATCGGAAAGCACTCAAGCCATTTGGTGAATTGATCAATTAACATCAAGACATACTTATTGCCCTGGTTAGAAATCGGTAGAGGACCAAGTATGTCCATGTGAAGTCGTTCTAGAGGCAACCCTGCATGGTATTGTCCGAGCTCCGCTTTGGCTTTACGGTTGGCTTTTTTGCTCAAGTTGCACGTATTACAGGAAGCCACGTAGTCTTTACATGCCTTGGACAAACCGTACCAAATAGCAATTTTCCTGACCTTCTCCAGGGTTTTCACTTGTCCTAGATGTCCACTGCATGGCAAATCATGGGCTTTTTCCAAAACTTCCTGCTGCATCGTGCGGGGCACCATCACCAAACGTCTCGGGCAGATTGGATCCTCCCAACGATAATGGAGCACTCCACTGTGCTGCTCAAGCTGGGATCTACACATCCACCAATGGCGAACAGCCGGACCCGCTAGCTGCAACTCGAATGGTGTTGGGTCATGCTCTGTCTCTATCCAGCTCATAAGTGTTTGTAGATCTTTGTCTTCTAGCTGGCGCTGCCTCAACTCCTCCTGGCTCAGAGCAATAGCCCAGTCACATTTCGGGAACGTTGCCTCAACTTTCCGAACCGCCAGTGGTACGACATAATCCACATCGTCTTCAAAAGTCTGCCATTGCTGTCGCGCCCTCGTGCAGTATTTGCAACCACCACAAGGCAAATTCTCCAGGGCTGTACTCTGTCGATAGTTCTTGCACTCACTAAGGAAATCTGGGACGCGGGATAGGCCATCAGCATTTTGATGTTCTTTCCCCGGGCGGTGTTGTATGATCATGGCATAGGAAGAGAGTTCCTCGATCCACCTAGCTAACTGCCCTTCTACGTTCTTGAAATTGAGGAGCCATGTCAAGCTACTATGATCAGTTCTCACCACAAAAGGCTTGGCTAGCAGGTAATGGCGGAACTGCCTGGTGAAAACTACTATTGCAAGAAGCTCCTTTCTGGTAGTGCAGTACTTCCTTTGGCAGGGAGTGAGGACCTTGCTTGCGAAGCTGATAGTTTGTTCCCTACCGTTCTGTAGCTGGCTAAGTTCTGCCCCGATGGCCCTATCTGAAGCATCTGTGTCCAATATGTATGTATCCTCAGGATTTGGAAAGGCCAGGGTAACCGCCTCTTGCATGGCCGATTTCAATGTTTCAAATGCCTCCTGATGGACATTCACAAAACAGAATTCCTTCTTGCCAGTAAGATCGTGGAGGGGTGCAGCTTTCTTCGCAAAGTCCTTTATGTGCTCCCGATGGTAATTGATAAATCCGAGGAAAGATTCCAATTCTCTCTTATTTGCCGGTAGTGGCCACGCTGCAATGGCCTTTACACTGTCTGGATTCACGGAAACACCGTGCGCACTGACTACCTTCCCAAGAAAGACCACTTGTGTCTGGAACAAGTGACACTTCTTAGGTTTCAACTTTAAGTTGTAATGGCGGAACCGGGACAACACCTCAGCTAAACTTTTAAGGTGCACTTCAAAACTGACGCCAAGAACCATAACATCGTCCAAGTATGCCAGGCATTCCTTCCAAGTTAAACCACAAAGCACCAGCTGTATGACCCGACTAAAGGTGGCTGGACTGTTGCATAATCCGAAAGGAAGGCGAGGATGTTCGAAAAGGCCATACTTTGTGACAAACGCGGTTTTGTGTACATCCCTTTCGTCTACCTCGACCTGCCAATAACCTGCAGCCATGTCCAGTGTACTAAAGAATGAACTTCCAGCTAAAGCATCGATACAGGTATCGACAGTAGGTAGGGGGAATGCATCCTTAACCGTCACGTTGTTAAGTGCACGGTAGTCAATACAATATCGCAGGCCACCATCTTTCTTCCTCACCAACACAGGTGGTGAAGCCCACTCTGAGGACGATGGTCTGATCACCCCTTTTCTGGCATTTGGAACAAATGTTGCTCTTCCTCCTTCTCAAAACCAACAGGTGTCCTCCGCATGCGCTGTCTAATTGGTTTTGCTCCGGCGGTGTCTATCCTATGCTTTATGTCACCCCTGAACAGCCCTAGGTCCAAGTCACTTCGCGCAAATACATCCTGGAACTGTAATAAAAGCCTCGCCACCTGAACACATTGGGATGTATTAAGCTGGGAGCAAGATCTGGTCAGCAGGTCTTTGAGGTGATCCGGAAAGTTATCCTGTAATTCCTTCAGTTCAACACCCTCTCTTCCGTCCTCCACTAGTACTGGTTTAGTTGTCTTTACACTGTAATGCCTGACCTCTTCATCCAATACTGCGATGACGTCTGAACCACTACCAAACGTCGGACCTCTTTTGAGAGACAAAAAATTATCTGTAGGGTTCAGCAAAGCGATACTGTACTCCCTTTTCCGACCGTCTCCACTCTGCAAGGAAGCAGGCGTCAACAGGCCCTTTAGACTATTGCAGGGCTGGATAACAAAATCACAGTTTGGAGATGCGTTGCTAGAGACTGCAGTAACCTTCATTGTGCGGGGAGGGATAGTTACTTTTCTACAGAGCGTAAAAACCGGTTGGCTCTTGCAAACTGTAGACCCTTCCATTTCTGCTCCAGTATCCTTGCTATCTAACAGCACTGAACAGGGAGATAGGTTTACTTTGGCACTATGTGCCTCTAAGAAGTCGATTCCCAGTATCATCTGGTCACTTATGTCAGCGGCAACTAGTGTCAACTTGAACACATTCCCATTAATGTCAACTGGTACATCGCGTATGAAACTTGCCCTAACCTTGGAGTTCTTCCCAATCCCAGTTAAGAAAACTTCCTCCTCAAGTTCAGTTCCAACATCCAGCTCTTTAAGTAATTTTGAGTTTATTACAGATATCTGAGCAGCAGTATCGACGACTGCTTTTAGGCAAGTGCCATTTACGACCACAGGAATGTAAAGGGTCCTAGCAGACGGAGCTTCGAGCGTATACATACGTACTTCTGTTAGTTTCTTCGGGAACGGTTGGCCAAAGTTATCTTGGTGGGCGGAGGATTGGCCTATTTCCTCTGCCCTTGGAAGTTTAAAGGTGAAGATGAACGCTGTTGGGGCGACGGTGACCTATTCCGTCTGACCGAGGTGGAAGCTGACTTGGTCGGGCAGTCCTTGAGGAAGTGGCCTTCTACTCCACAACCGAAACATGCAGAAGACCTCTCCTGAGGTGACGGCGAACGGTTCGACCGAACCCTGGCATTAGGGGACCCAGGCTTATCAATATTCTCAAGTTTCGCAAAGATTCGGCCGAGTGCCTTCTTAACCTCTGCCATATCTTCCTCTGTCTTTTTTATCTTGTCCATTAGGATGTTAGATGGGGGTAGCTCAAATTTTGTTTCCCTAACGCCATATTCCTCGCAATCCAACCCACGAAACGAAACCCGTTTAACATCTGGGCTAAGCCCTTTTGACCCGAGAATGACCCTTTGGTTGGTTATGGAGCTCTTCACAAATTTCACCGCCTCATCAAGTGAACAGGGGTTCTTGTCCATGGCTGTTAGAGCAGCATTTTTATTCTTCAGACCTTTCAATAACCCGTCAACGGCTAACATCTCCCTTCCCTTTTCATCAAGGTCTGGGAACCCATCTGAAGCAAGTTCCATGGCCCTTTCTGCGTACTCCTCTATGGACTCCTCGGGAAGTTGTTTTAAATCCTGGAGTTGTCGCCGAACAATGGGTGGAAGGTCCTTCTTCCCAAACCGTTCATTCATTTTCTGACAGAGTGCTATGAAGTTCCTCCGTACTGAGACAGGCTGGGTACTGAAAAATTTCAGAGCTTTCTCCCGCAGGCACTCCACAAACTTGTCAAGCCTTTCATCGTCATCCCAATTATATCGATTGGCTATATGAGAAAACTGTAGATGGTAGGGTCTCCATTCGGACTTGCCATCATAGGTGGGCATCTTAATTTTCTGACCCCGATCATCGTGCTGCAAGAATCTCGGTTTTCTTCTCCCATCTTCCCAATTCCCAGGCGGAACAGTTGACCTTTCTTTCCTCTCAGTTGACACTGGCCGGGATTGCCGCTCTCTTGCACCACCATACACCCCACCAGGGGCCACATCAGCCATTTTACTCATTAAGGTAGCTGCGGGGCTGAATAACGAGGTTTGCTCTTCTTTAACAGTCAACGGAGTTGGCCCAATTTTCAGTTTTTCCTCCAGCATCTGTTCCCTCTTTTCAAAATATTCTCTCTGTTCATCCAATTCCTCTCTATGAGCCTCCCTCATTTCCTCAAGCGTTTGCTTAAAATGCTTGTCTCTCTCAGCCAGTTCCTCCTGCTGAGTACGGATAACTGTCTCAAATTTCCTCAGTTTCTCCGTCAATACAACCAGCTCATATTGGACATTACTGACAGGATTTTCCATAGAATTACCTCCCGGGTTATCGAGAGGCTCAAATGAAACATTGCCCTTTTTCACAAGGGGGTCCCATATTGTGGAAGGAATCTCAGTTAGCATCTTGACATCCTCCAGCGTGAGAGACCCTAATTCAGCACGTTTTGCTATAAGGACTTTAGCTCTCTTCTCCCCTATACCGGGAATATCTCTTAATTCCTCAGCCGAGGCAACATTGATGTTTAATGGGCCCGACATGTCTTATCACCAATATTTATTTATAAAGTTTTGATGTGGTGTTTAGGATTATGTATGCGGGGATAGGAGAGTGAGTGGTGTGCTCTTGGGTAATTGTGTGAAAGTAATGAAGAAATATAACAGTAATGCGGGAAGGGTAATAGAAGGAATAAATTGGGGGTATACAAGAATTGGGAAAGGGGAAGGAAAAAATGGACAACTGTCCTGAAAGGCCGGGATATTCGGAAATATATACGGTGAATTCCCGACTACCAAACAAATACTTCTGACACCAATGTAGAATAGGCAAACATTAACGAATGCAGGCTATCGCAAGGTCTACAACACGGCAGTGAACGGAGCTGTGAAAACCCGTGTGCTCACTGACGCGACAAGCTGTAGACTGACCAACAAAGGTTAGTCGGTGGCCGAGTCGCCCAGGGCATTCTGATTTGACAAGACAACTCGCCCTAGCGAATTACTGCATACTACAGGCACACGACAAGGAGATCCACTTCCACCACAGTACTAACCAATTGTGTAAGTTTCACTATTTTCGATATATGTAAATATGTGAAATTTTACCTCAAATCATATGAATAAAACCTGGTATACGGGATAATTAAAATAGGTTTAAACAATTTTGAAAAACATATATAAATTAGCTTTCAATATATTCCTTTGAACAAATGAAAATAAGTAGACAAAAAGTTCTTATAACAAAACCAGAAAAAGATAAGAGTGTGACGTTCCGATGACTACACGGTCACCTTCATCTTCCTAACACAACAAGTAGAAGATTAGAGTGTGACGTTTCGATGACTACACAGTCACCTTCATCTTATAGCACAACCAGTAGAAGATAAGAGTGTGACGTTCCGATGACTACACGGTCACCTTCATCTTCCTAACACAACCAGTAGAAGATTAGAGTGTGACGTTTCGATGACTACATGGTCACTTTCATCTTATTAGAAAATTAGAGTGTGACGTTTCGTGCTTGTTCGCTCTACACAAGTTATTTGTCTAATGAAAGTGACCATGTAGTCACCGAAACGTCACGCTGTAATCTTCTACTGGTTGTGTTATAAGATGAAAGTGACCATGTAATCATCGAAACGTCACACTCTAATCTTCTACTGGTTGTGTTATAAGATGAAAGTGACTGTGTAGTCATCGGAACGTCACACTCTAATCTTCTACTGGTTGTGTTATAAGATGAAAGTGACCGTGTAGTCATCGGAACGTCACACTCTAATATTCTACTGGTTGTGTTATAAGATGAAAGTGACTGTGTAGTCATCGGAACGTCACACTCTAATCTTCTACTGGTTGTGTTATAAGAACTTCTATTCTATTGACATTAACCTGAAGAAAATATTCTCTGGAAAGACATCATCGTATATAGATATCATTTATTTTGTTGTATTCACATAAACAAAAATGTATGTACATACATATCATAGAACATAATGGTTTGTAACATGATGTGTATAGTGTTATTACAATGGCGTTAAAATTAGTCGAATCTAGGTGAAGAATATTTCATAATGTGACTGACGTCATTTCTAAATAAAGTAGAGCTGAACTGGTTTATACCTTTTCTGAAGAGTATTAATGGCAATTATGAATAATTGTGTCAAAATCATGACTATGTAGAGACATGTTGCTATTTTCTTGTCTTTTTTACACTTACCTGGTATAACGTCAAGGTCCACGAGGAGGAGAAGCAGAACAAAGATGGCGTCCAAAAAGAGTAGACACATGGAAATAGTATGCATCACTTTATGGTGCATCAACGTCCCCAGTCTTTCCCTTATACTACAATAATTAAGACACAATGGTAATCTTTGTTGGGTTATACATCCTTACAACAACTAATTACATATTTTATGCTGCCCATGGATACTGGGGTCGCTCATGAACACTTGTATAATGTCAGTACTCTGTACTACAATGGGATAACCAGATTTTTCAGCACTTTTTTTAAAGACGCTGCATCTTATTTTATAGACTTAAGCTGTCTCAGCCAGGTGACAGAACCCCAAACCCTCCCCGCTTGGCGATTATCCCTAAAGTCAAAGAAATGTGGAGCCAAGTGAGACAAAATGTGATAAAGAGACAAATTTTCTTACAGTCAGTCAACAAGGGCGGAATGCAAAATATGTCCTTTATGATAAAGATGAATCCTGGTAGATGTGGCCAATACTATCAGTATCGTTATAATATTCATCGGTTTTATTTTTGTTTACGCTTGTGAGTGTGGTATGAATATCTTCCGTGTTTAGTAAACGTGATTTTTTTATCAGCACTGAAGGCGCAAGTGTGTGAAGCTTTATAATGTTACAAAAAGATAAAAAAAAATTATCTAACTTGTCGTTATATAACATGTTGTTTTCTTTGTGAGACAGATATTTTATCATTTATTCGCGATATATTTTGATAATGCATGTTTACACATACCCGTATTGCCATTTATACATCTAAGAGTGCTTGTGATAACAAGAACCGCCAGGACGAGTTTTGTGAACCTCAAACAAGCAAACCTTTATTGTTTTCACATTTTTAAAACTCTTCCAGTGAAACGTATGTATGTTGACATCGTAACTGTACGGAAAATGATAAAATCTAAGCAAATAATTAACAATTAACAATTAAACAATTAAATAATTAATTAATACGCAATTAAATAATAAACAATTAAACAATTTACAATTAGATAATTAACAATCAACAAGTCCATTACTTACTCTTCAAAGTCTGAACCTACTTTATAGATAAATTCTGTTAACGTTTGACCGGAAGTAAGTCATAATTCGATATCAAATTAATTAAAACATAACTTATTTTTCGTAGCTTGGGCTTATGTGCTTTTATACGCTTTGTTTTCTTACGTAATACTCGATACCTCAAAAAGACCGATTTTTATGACACTCTGAAGAGATTGCCCTTGTTGACTAATTTTTGACGGTGAAGTTGACGGCGTGATTCGGTTAACAGCGTCAACAATTCCAATGTTTTCTGGTCGCTAAGGTACTTCTCTTCAGTATAACTATGTAAGTCTTGGGTAGATTTCAACATAAATTTTTGCATGCATTATCACCACAAATCCCAGATTTCAAATGTGTGTATTCCGTCTTGTTAGACCTCTTTCACGATTTTTAGCATCCGTTAACGAATATTTCAACTTGTTTCTCCGACAAAAATGGCTATTTTGGTGAAAATTGTAAAAAAAAAAAAAAAAAAAAAATAGATAAGTAAATAAAAAAAATAAAAATAATAAATGAATAAGTAATTTTTTTTAATCGTGAAAAATATCCTCGAATACTTCTATATCCAAATATGAAAAAATGACCTTTCAAAAACTTAACAAGAAGATGGTTTGATAAGGAATTAAGTCATTTTGGAACATTTAATTTTTTTTGGGGTTGTTCATAGCGTTGCGTTGTAATGAAAGACGAAAGATTATAATAAAACTGGATGCCATGATATTTTGAGAGAACATCTGTTATTTATGGTGAAAAAAATATTAACTAGAAATATGTTTTCCTGTTACACATATTCTGACGCCTGTACCGGAAAAAAGTAGTGCAGATACACATTTTTCAAAAAACTACTTTCAAACTAAGTTAAAACCTTCAAATACCATCATCAGAGAGACATTTTGATTGTTTTTTTTTTATTGATTTCTCAGATTAATACATCCTTATGTTATGAAAATTCTGGTTAAACACGGTTCATTCCCTGATTGTATTCCCTCCCTTTAGACGCCATTGGTACTATATTCATACTGGTGAAAGTTCGGAACTGCTATTTAACATATTTATAGAGTTATAAGAAAATGCGTGCCATCATGCCTCGGAAGTTAGCCTTATACCTATATCACTATACCTGAACCAGTTAGAAAATTCTGACGAATAAGTCAGTATAGTCGTCGAAAGTCACACATAATTGTCTAACAGATTGTGACATAGGAACTGAAAGATTATAGAAGATTTATTTTAACTTTGATCTCATTCCAAATGTATGATTGTGCTCTTGTCTATAGTAGTTAATCTTGTAAATAATTCCGCAATATCATTTTCAAATATTTACCAATGTACTGGAATTTAGCATTCAATAACCTGCCTTACTGGCCTTGCGTTGTAAAAGTTACCCGAACACTGTACATCAGTTGTCAGAAATGTACTCACCTCTTATCTTGAATCTCCTTTGGATCAGAATCTTCCATGGTGACAAGTTCTTAAAGCATGTTCCTTGCTTTGTTAAAAGCCTGTATCTTTGTCAACACGAATTTGTCTAAACTATTGATAGTCTTTTTACTGTTAAGTCTAATTATAGACATTTCTGTACACACACATCATCAGTTCAAATTTAGATCCTACAGTACACACGTCATCAGCTTACTTTTAAATTCGACGGAACAAAATAAAAAAGATAATCCTATGAAAACTATAAAACGTTGATTACATGACGTATTTTGAGTCTATCCGTTCACCTATCGATTTTGTTTGTATGGGTGTACATGAAGGAATATCGTTTTCTTACTTTTGATTGATCTCTATATATAATAGATACGAAATGAACATGAAAAATCTGCAGAACCTTGAGATACCCCAATAACTGTGTGTTATAGTGATATATATGTTATAGATAACATGGTTGACCGTTACATACTTCCTCAATATCTTAAAAGATTCTCTCTTTTAACAGCAGGTAAAATTGTATATATGTTAGGGTTTACAAGGATTGCGACTGACGTGGGCACAGCATTTATAAACTTATCTCAAATCCAATATATTTCAGGTGCAAATCTTGCCTGTAATAAAACCGGACACCTCCACTTATGTGGAACCTGTCACCTTAATCATAGGTCACTATAAACCAATCACTGTCAGCGCATTGATCCTTTTATCTCTGTACTTACGTACAGCTTTATAGATATCAATAGTTGATTCCTTCACTTGTGTAGCTGGACGGAGACAAGTTACTTAAGAATGTTCTTTAACATAGATGTAATACATGTGTTTTACCGTAGTGGGTGGTTATTGTACACATTCGCCTGACTCTATGGTAGTTACTGAGGTAGTGGTGACATCAATATCATTTTCACAAACAATACACATTTACTCCTTCGATATGTAAATCTAAGACATGATATTGTACACACCAGTGTCATTCGGTGTTCGGTGGATTGTTGGTAGTTACTCCGGAAGTGGTGTCGTCTAGATCACTACCGGTAAAGACCACGGAACACATATTTGTCGGGTTTCAGTATCTGTTGTTACGAGTCAGTGTAATTAGCTACACAATCAGCTGATTATTACTACTCTTGTGCAAAACTAATACTCATTACTCACACTTGGTTTTCGTTAGTAGCCTCCCAGGCCCTTTAGGCCCTTAACACCACTGACGAGTTCTTGTGAAGACAAAGCAGCTTACATTGCAGTGTAGTTGATAAAATGGCTCTACTCTATCAAATTATAAATTTGAATAAAAAGGCGTCAATCAATTGTGTGGCTTTTGTACAATCGTCGAAATACAGGTGATAGACACTAGATAAATGAGACACTAGATATGTAAGACACTAGATATGTGAGACATTAGACCTGTAAGACACTACATATGTAAGACACTATATATGTAAGACACTAGATATGTAAGACACTACATATGTAAGACACTAGATATGTAAGACACTAGATATGTGAGACACTTTATATGTAAGACAATAGATATGTAAGACACTAGATATGCGAGACACTACATATGTAAGACACTACATATGTAAGACACTAGATATGTGACATTTTACTGAATTATTTGGCTTGTGCACCTCTTTATCAAGATTTGACATCTCATTCGATCACTTCCTCAGTTGACTCTCAGGTTTCAAACTTTAGACTTTATTCTCATTGACGAGTCGTAAAAACACTAATCAGCTGTGTAATGCACTTTGCTTGATTACATGACTATGATATATATGTTTTTTAAGATGTAATAAAACGTGTTATTCATTTGCGTGTCTTTATTACAATCCTCTGTGTGGTTCTAACAGAATGCTGCATTCGTTTCAATTAGGCTGTGTACAGGTGCGTTAACATTTACGACATCAGCCATAAAACATACCAATCATAAGACTCATTTGTCGTTCCATACACTAACACTTCGAGATAAAATATGTCTTCGATCTAGGAATGGATCAAACTTCCATTGTATTTTGATGTAAGACATTCCGATCGTCCTCTTCATTCCGATGCAGTTTTAAGAGTTGGCTGGTAATAGATAGTGTTTCGGTGACTTGTAAATCAAATACTTCTGCGTGTATTGAAGGTATCAAGTTTTTAACATTTTAAACTAAAGAAACATTATTAGGAGATATACAATTTTATCAGCATATTCTTACATCTATATTCATGATCACGTGATGATGTATGTGCTAAGAGATGAAGGTCTGTGAACGTTTGATATGTACAGGTATATTTACACTACAAATCAACAGATCGTGTTTATATATAGATAGTGTGCCTCTCGGAAGAATGGTGCATTAAGTGACTGAACTATTAACCACCACATCCCGATGTGACTTCCTGAGGATAGATATTCTGTGAAGCAAAGCCGTCTGTATTTAAATAAAACTGTATAACTTACAAAACAGCAAATCTCCATTTACGTCGCAATATTGATATTCATGTTTTCGTTTTAGCTTACGTCTCATTTATTCAATTGAACACTGAGACACTGATGAAAAAATAATTTCATAAATCTCATTTAAAGTGAACCACAGTTTCTCAAAACATATACGACTGTTAGATACTTTCAGTTAACAACTATTCCAGGCAAGGAATCATTCTCATTCATGTATATTATGAACGCCTTAGTAATTACAGAAATATATTTCTGATATGTAAATACATTCTTGTATACCTTGTTTGTACTGAGAACGTAGCATTCCTTGGATTGGTGCCACGTGCCAGATAAAATTTTGGTCATACCAGTACCAAGTACTTAATTAATATCCCGTTTTAGAATAAGAACGTTTTACAATGAAGATGATTAATTGAAATGAATTAATAAAACATACAACTTTTCTATTATTTTCAGTAATGTTAAAATCTCCACATAATGCAGTCTGAAGCTATTGTTCTGATTCTGTTTAGTCAGGAAAAAAGCCCATTAAATGTGCCAGCACCGAACATATTGTTTATCATGTATTTTTCTCCAATACTTCCTTCTACCAAAGATAAGCCGCTTCTAAAAGTACGGTTTTGTTTCCTGGTCGTCGTGCTATCTCTGTAGTGTAGTCCAAGGTTAACAGTCGGGAGATAAACGGGGCAATATTGTCAACAATACTTAAGACGTCAGGCTTTACTCTTGGGCGGGCTGATTTAGACTCCATAGTCAACCATGTAGTTCAGGGGTCCATATCTCGTACTTGGAAGCTTTACTAACTTTAAATGTGCTATCTTTTCTTAAATATATGCAGATGTTTTGTGGAAAAGACGTTTTGGATAAGTTCGTAATGTACTTTTCCAATCCCAGTTCAATTAAACCAACAAAAATATACAAATTGAATCTAGTACATCTATTGTTGCAAACGTCAGCAAATTTGATAGTGAGTTTTTTTATATTCTCACTACATGGAGCAAAATCTCTAAGTCTTTCTTCCCGTTTATAACCCTGCACATCGAAGTCTTTCTCATGACCGATCGGGTCTCCCTCGAACCACTGTAAAGTTATCGTGAGACAGTAAAACATTATGAATTGTTAAACTGCCACTTATTCGGTGTGACGAGATTGGTTTGGATATATCAAAATCATATTTTAGACGAAATTATAGGGTGCAAGATAATAAACATGCAGAAAACGTGTTTCGCGTTTATTGCAGATCTTACTATGTACGAGGAATTTGTCGTTATTGGAAGTACGCTGTCAATATGATAACCATAATTGATTTTAGCATGTTTGAAATTCGCTGTCATAAAATGATAAGATATCTGCATTTATCCATAATCAGCTCAATACTTAATCAGCATCATTTTTACCCTTATAATAGCCTAAAATATACCTCCCGCGTGTCTGAGCGATACGCTGAAAATTCGTGAAATAGGCGACCAATGTATGTAAACGCACAGAGACTGACAAGAGTTACTTCCCTTCGTTGAAATGGATTGTTATGAAGATTGCAGATAAGACTCTGTAAAACCAAACAAAGATATCAAAGTCTAGATTTGGACGTGCACCTGTTACATAATGAAGTAAATTTCATATATCTGATAATTTTAGACGAACGTCAAGTAGATGTGTATATTTTGAATCTGTCACTGTTCTCACGAATTAAAACGCGCCATGCATGTTTTTGCAAACGCTGCAGACTTGGATCCGTCCAGCAGTGTCTACCAGCTGCAATCTTGAAGAATACACGAAAGATAGATGAGTAAAAACGATAAACGCTCTCATAATTTTATCAAGAGAAAAGGAAAATAGTTTTAAAATGAGACAAAAATAAAGTTTTCGTCAAATTGCAGTATTCATTTACAACTATGTTTAAAGAAGGGACATTCATTACAAAATGAAAACATAGAATTCGAAATTTTATCATTTGCCGTATTCTCGCGAGTGTGCGAGACATGATGTCTATGGTTACTTCATATTGAAGCAAAATCACTAGTAAAATACAAACAAATGGTAAAATTTACTATCACCATGTTCTATATTAATTCTTCTAGGTTTAAATGCGTACAGTTCCTTTAAAACCGAGACAGTGCTTCTTTTAGGAACATACAATCGTTGGCAATAGAAATGTGTCGGTTATTATTGGAAAGACGGAAATAGAGAGTCTATTGAATGGTCGTGGATAGGCTTCACTGCTTCCATTTTCTTCTTCTAGAAATATTAGAACATTACTCGTTCTTGAAACTTATCCTGAACATATTATCTATACAAAAATAGTAAAGTTTTCAAACGTTTACGTTCTTTTCAATTCTACATGGTAATCACCGTTCAATAGATTGATTAGAACATAATACTGTGACTGTTCCGAAGCCATTTTAACAAAATCTTAACAAAAAAGATTTTCTCAACGACGCCCAAAATGATTTGTGATTTAAACGGTAATTGATTCGTTTCCGGAATGACGTAATCCGTGTATTTATGGAAGGTGTTATACAATGTAAATAGAAGCGCGTGTTTTCTAACCATAGAATTATTGATTATGTTACCATCCAAGTTGTCAGCAAGGCGTCCTACTGAAATCGAACGAATCTCGTAACAAACTAGAAAATGGCACGATACATCCGGGTGACACAATGGATACCACATGCATGCCTGACAAGACGACAATAAAATCTAACGGACTTTACAAACAGCAGTTTAGGTCTAACCTTGTTGTTTATGTATTGATTTTTATTCCTTCTGACGATGTTTATGGGGGAATATAGAAATAATGTAGAAATAACCGACGGGTTTGAGTTACACCGCCTTTTTTCATGGCAGTGATTTCAAAGTATAGCTAGTTTGTCTTACTCAGATTCAAAAGGTACATTGATAAATTTATAACTGTGACTATATAAATGTCATCATTTTCTAAAACAAATTTACCATTCTAAATTGCTTTAACGATAATAACAATGTTACTGTATTGTATTCCAATACATATCAATCTAAAGGACTGTTGTCTGAAGCAGACAAGACAATTATTTGTATAAATCTAATTAGTGGTTCTCCCTTTATGACTTGAACTGATTTCTGTGTCATAATACTCAGATTCCAGTGCATATGTGTCATAAAATTGTGATTGCAATGATTTTACTGGCGACATAGCAGGATATAATGTTTGTACGTTATCACCTGATAAGACAGGTACAAATGGTTCGCAATATGGCGTCTTTGTTAACTGGTCAATACGGGCGCCACGATAACATGAAAAGCAATCATATCACTTCTTTGCTACCTAGTGTCATGTCTTGTATTTACATTTGTAATCGTTTAAATTTTATGAGATTGATATTACCTGTATTCTATTATTTAAATAATACCTGCTGTTAATTGGTAATGTCACAAAATTATTTCTGACACAAGTCAATGGAAAAGAGTCCGGAAAGAAAAGCCTGTTTAGAGAGATATACAGCTCCTATTTAGTTCTACTTTTCTTCCCTTTTTGTGTGATGACCAAAGCACATATCTAGACGCGCTAGGTGTCTAATTTCAGTGAAATATTGTTTACATATCAACCGATTAATGCCATGTAGTTGGTCTCTGGACACTGGTTTTATCATTGTACCACTACTGGGGCTGTCATGTCATGCTAGACAGTACGTACGTGTGTGGAGACAGTAATTATCGCACTGCATAGGGACGTGAAGTACTTATCTCAACAAGACCACACATTTCCTGAGATAATGCACAGCATGCACATCTCTTGTAATGTTTTGGTGGCCTCTGCTTGTTTAGTTTTGATACTCCTTCCATCCGGTAAGTCTTAAATTACAAAATTATTTCATAGAAATTACATTTACACCTTAACGCATATTGGTATCGGGCGTTACCCAATTAGTTGTCTGATTGCTTAGACATTTGTCCCGAATAAGGAAGAAGAAATTGCTGTTGCTTTATATTGGATAGTCAATGTCAGACGATTACGTTGCACACTAATGTGCCAGGTTATGGTGTATAGTCACGACTGTGTATGTAATTCAATGGCAAACCAATATATACTTATTTCTAGGTAAGATTTAATCAGGTAGATAATACTTAATAATGCAGACAGGCCATCTACGACTCATTTAGAAAGATGTCCAAACAGATATTCTAAACACATGTATTATGGATAAGACGTTTCTATCTGTTGTAGGTCGGCATGGTCTGAGGTGTAATTTTGACCACGGTCTTTGTGACTGGTTGCAAATCAACAGAGATCAATTTGACTGGCGGCAAAACTTCGGGAGATCTCCAGAGAAAACTTCCGGTCCTCTGTCCGATCACACCGGAAGTGAGTTATCACTATCGTGTCTGACACAATCAAAATACACATACATCATTTCAATGTTATCTCAATGTTAAAAAATGATAATTGAATTATACTTGCATTTAATTGCTTGTAGTGTTTGCTAGTTGATTGAGACGTACATAGTGCATTTGAATGGTTTCTTTATTACGATGGCTTTTGAACTCTAAGAAAGAAAGAAATAATATTTAAAGACTTAACAAACCCTTGTATGATGCATCTCTTATGGGATGTTGCTAATTTAACTGCTTGTGTAAAACATGTTTTCCCCCAACTGTTCCAGATGGCAGTTATGTTTATGTGTCAGGGTCAGACAGCCAAGGTCCGGCATCAGTTGCCATTCTGTCGAGTCCAGCTCTCTACCTAGCATCGCCCATCTCTTTCTCTTTTTGGTATCACATGAATGGTGTTGGTATCGGCAACTTATCTCTTATCGCTACCGACAAGTTCGGTAACCGGAAAACCCTCTGGAGTAGACATGGTCGTCAGGGCCCGGATTGGTTACGAGCGACACTCAGGCTGGACTCATCAGCTGAAAAAGTCAGTAATGGAAAACAAGAAATACAACAGCATAGAGAACCGGATAAGTTAAAAAGAAACAACAACATTCAGATCAACTAATCGAAATCTGTAAATTTGTACTAGCATATCGTTTATCGGGCAACAAAGTTTTTACTTTGTGTTGTCAGCCACAAAAACACGCCTTCTTCCTGGAGTGGAGTGTTTGATCAATTCAAAGTGAAATGATATTATAATTCTATATAACATTTATCAACGCGGATCTTAAGTAACACCGACATAGTCAAACATTAGAACACCTGTCTCAAGACAGTTCAAGACGTTAGTTGTTTTCTAGCCAGGACGAACATTTTACTAGACTAGTTTGGAGACTGTTTGAGACAATACCAACGTCACTACCATAACAATTATAGTAGAATTATTTCGTCATAATAAAGAGAGATCCAATTCGAAATTTCTTTTACATTTCATGACAATTTACTTCTGTTAAACAAATCTGAACAAAACTCGATCGGCTCAAATATTTCCATATCGTGTTCTTGGACCGGAAGTATTCTTTTAAGGTTACCTCGTCTGTTAACAGGTTGAATTTGTCGCCAGTGCGAAGTACCATTATAATGCCATTACTGCTATTGATGACGTCACAGTGAATATTGAACCCATTGGTAAATCTTAATTGTTTCCGATAGTTACCAAGCATTTATGATAATCTTTGTCTTAATCTAATTTCATACAAGAAAAAATGTCCAGAATTTACAGAACACTTTCAGTTGACCACCCTGACAGTTCTACTATCGAAATCATCATTATTGATTAACTTCCCTCTCATAACAATATCATAACATTGAGTTCCTTTATCTTGAAATCTTTAAATCATGTTTGTAATTAGCACAGCAATTAGGTCACTTGGAGGGTAAACAAAACTACCACATACCACAGAAGGATGTGGTCTTTCTATAAAATATAAATGATATTAAGTTGAATTGTCAGCTCATGTATGTACAGGTCGAAACTGTTATCTTAAAATAAATACCATAGTTACTGCTCGAATAATTAGAAAAAATCACACCGATAGATTCACTTTGATTCTAACGAATTCATTAGATATACCGTCATTTATGCAAAAGAAAGTAGTTCTCTGATTTTATGTCGTTTTTTAAATCTTTATTGAACAATTCCTTTCTTTATATCACAGAGGTGACACCAGCAGCAGCAGCGCATACAACCAGCGGACCACAACAAAACGGTAAGGTGACAACAAACCAGAAATTACCGACATATTACAAAATCAACTATTCAAACACAAAGAAGATGAAACGGGAAAATATAGAAGAATGAAATAATGGCGCGGATATCATAGCAAAGGTACAGGGATAATAAGACCTGGTGATCCAAAAGAGTTAGCGCTTTTGCTTCATCGACAACAACGATATACATCTTGGTCAATCCAAGTAAGTAACATGGTGTTCCCAAATGAGAAACAAGGTTGATAACAGTCGAACCACACTACATGCAAACAAAAGAGCATCAAACGCAACTTACTTCATATCGCACAAGTAATAGCTTCCAATAGAATCATAATTGTGACCATTAGACTCCCCCTCCCCGCCCCCTCCACTGTTTTCAACTCTCATAATCTTGTGTGTCGACTTCTTCCACGGAAATCGTGATACTGGTGACAAGCCCTCGAATTTATCAGGATGGCATGGTGTCAACTGCTGGGCCATGCAGACTTTCCTCGGGTACATTTTTATCCGATTTGATTTCATACTAAGACATCATGCTTCCTTCCATTGTCGCTAAGAAGTGTGATTTGTATCAATTGATAAACCGTTCACATTTGAAATGCAATTCATATATATGTAAGCATGCAAAATTTGATGTATTATACATTTCTGATACAATAAATTACTGATGTCTGAAGTCCATTGAAATACAAAGATACTCGCAACTTGTCCCTAAAGACCTATACATGATCATATATTAAAGGCATAGATAAGGATATTGTACATGATAAACAAACATAATTTTATGTTTAGGTGAATTTCCGGACTGTAGTTTTGACCAGTCTATGTGCATGTGGAAGCAATCTACCTCAGATGAACTTGATTGGCACAGAGTTCCTGGGTCATCACCCGATCATACTTCAGGGCCAACCGAAGACCACACTTCCGGAAGTATGTTTCCGTGTCTTACGAAAATATGGAAATTCAATACATAATTCAAACACATATTTACATTTTCTAAATGAAAGCTGACTGCTGTTCCCGTTCCAGTTCCAGTTGAAGTACAATTTTATGTCGATGTCGATTACCTCCCAACCGCTACACACACACCCCTCCATTATACCTGATCGCTAACCACCGTTTACATCTGACTATCACTAATTTCCATCTCTATACCAGCTTATTTTGTCAAATGTTCACCTTTTTATTGTTGATATACATTTTATTCTCTCACAGACACCCTCCCTTTTTGTCTCCCAATAGCTGCCCCACACTTATTGCACGACCTAAATCACCTGTATACCAATTCCTTATCACTGGACTGTTGGTATATGGTTTGTACCTGTCTCGTTTCTGTTGGATTACCACTGATTTTCAATCATTCCCCCTCCTCTAAAGATGTGAACTCTGACAATCTCGTTTTTTTGTTTATGTTTGATATCACAATGATGTGTTTTCTGAGAGTGGAATTTCGTCTAGATATGACAAAAATATGTTGTCTTCCTTTCAGGTGGTCATTACCTCCTGCTGATGGGTCACGAGACTCGTAATTCAACTTGGGCTGCACATCTCTTTAGCCCGCTGATGTCTGTGTATGATGTAACAAAAATGACATTTTGGTTTCATATGAACGGTGTTGGCATTGGGCATCTGCGCATTATAGAACGGATGACGGACGCGATGGAATCTGTGATATGGACAAGGAACGGAAGACAAAATCATGATTGGTTAAAAGCGGAAGTCACTCTCATTCCAGGAAGATATCAGGTTTGTAGAATATGAGTGATTTATTTCTATTTCTGTTTTTTTTCTAGACGCATCTAAAATTAATCATCCCATCGCATTTGTTTGTGGCGTAACCAGCCAGTCTTTGTACGTCCCATTAAATGATGAGGGGCAATCAGGAAGCCGGAAAAGTTATCTATTTATCTTCTCTGTAGCATGAAGATATTACCTTTATCATATTCCGGATTTCTTCAGGTTGTTCATGTCAAATATTGTAGAGATTCTGATTACACAGCCAATATAAGATAGAAGTGGGATGTTCTGACAGCACTGTCACCTTCAAAAGATTTTCTCGGCTTGAATAATGATATTGTGTGCATAAAGGTAGAATAAAGTTTGTCGAAATGACAAACTTATTATAGAAAAATCGAAGAGGATATAATAACATATCAACATAATCATGATCCAAACTCAAATTCATTTAAATTAGGGTAAAATGTGAAGAAAAGAAAAATCTACACGGAGACTCGTGAAAACGTACATGGAGAATAATAATAAAAAAAACCAAGTCAGCTAACTGAGGGGTACACTACTTCCCATAGGTATGCTTATAGCCTGTTGGAAGAGCTTACCACCAAACGACGAAGATATTGTTAACCATAAATTCGATCATTTTTATGATTTCGTTCTCCGCATATTTTGTATATCTACGTAATTTCACGAAACACTCTTCACTAAAAGTCACGAACGTACATTTGTATCACCGTTCACCTTTCTTGGCAAATGGAAGTTCTTATGTGAGGAAAGCGAAGCCTTTCCGTGAGTTTTGAATGGGGTTTTGGAATGGAAAAATGATATTGCTGTACGGAATGATTTGTAAGTGCACATTTATTGCTTTATATTTACATTTTGCTCTGTGGTCACCCATTATGTCTATATCAATCTGGACTGCATTCACAGTATTGTAGATGCAGTTCAGAGAGTGCGCATTAATATTTTTTCTGTGGTAGGCTAAATACAAATAGTATCGAATACCTGAATGATCAAGGATTTCAGGCTAGACACATCATGTTCATGAGCTCCCATAAATCTGAAAGTTCGCTTCGGTCCTATAACCGCACAGTTTCGACAACACAGAAAAAGTCACTCAGTGCATCGTTGTCTACCCTGACACTGCCAGTTACCAATTACACAGCGAGAGTTTCACGATCCCCAGAACCGATCACGCAGCGACAGTTTCGAGATCCCCACAAGCAGTTTCCTCACAAACCGTAGCATGTGTTTCATCGGAGTCCCTTTCTGCAAGCGATAATCCTCTTCCTTTAAACTCACTCAGACCAAACATGAATGTAAATGTCCAAAGCAATACGGCTACTCAAAGTTTCTTCGCCGGCTCATCATTTTCAGGCTGTTCGTTCACTTTTAACTCGAAGTGACGTGACGCCACCATTTTTTCTGAATGTATGGACCGGCACGGTAGGCCTACGGTTTACACCTGCGTAGTGAAATTTTAATTCTCTGGATTTAAGTACTTATATTAAATAGTAATTGTTGAAAGTGTTAAACATATTCATTTCGTCAGCTAATAAAGTTTCAAACTTCAAAATCTAGGTTACTTAAACGCTTCAATCAAACTGCTTGTTGTAAGTAAGTAATTACGCTTTAGAGTTAATGTACTATAGAAGACATGGCATTTCAGACAATCTGGGTGACACCCTTTTTTCTGAATAAAACCGAAATACTAAAACATATCGTAGAGTATGGAGCCATTTTTATAGATATGAAAACACTTATCAAACTGGAACAGCGGCCTATTCAAGAATATAACTGGATCCACACTGTTAATATTAACCACTGATACACGAAAATGAGAATGAAAATTGTATAGAAATCGGCCAAAGTGTCAAAAACAGACGTCAGACTTTCATACAAATTCATTACAGCGGAAATAAATATGACCTTTTGAATATCACTTCATGATCAGAATATTGTTTGTTCCCAGTCATAGGATTACATTTGTGCTCCATGCTTTGTCACGGAGACGATTTACTAAGGCGAATAGAAATATTTCATAACTTTTGTTTACTACGCACTCTTTACGGCGACGATTTACCAGGGTGAATATAAACATTTTGTACTTTTTCCACGCCCTGTCATGTATACGATTTACCGGGGTGAATATACATTTTTATTATATTTTTACAAGCGAAATATACGAAATGGCAAATTTGATCATTTTGTAATTATCACTAGTGATGTTATACATGTAACTTTTCCGATGTTGATATCACTTTTCCAGTTCCCTTTTCAATTAGTGCTTTCTAGTCACTACCTTAAACATTTTTCGATTTTTCTGGTAGGATATAATTATATTTTGAATCTTTTTCTTGCTCATTGCTGGATCTCTATAACCTGCTCTCTAAATAGTTTTGAAAACCGATTCTTACCCGATAGGAGTATAAGCTGCCAGTGAAACCACGTAAACCAGCCTTTTCAAACTGGCCTTTAGACTTTACCTGCTTTAGTTAGGACTTTTCTCCGCTAAACAGTGCTCGGTCGTGGTATCATCGAGACGAAGTCTTAGCGTACAGTAGAAAAGCTACGGTAAGCAATCTAATCTATGACATCGACTTGTTGTCAAGGGTAACGTCAAAATATATGACGTCAAAGAAAGACAGCTGTTTTTTCAAGAATGGTTTTTAACACCGGCCGTTTACTTTAAGTTTGGAAAAGTTTTTTCCCTATTTGTTTATGTCGTTTAGGCGTCTCAGTGGTTAATTTCAATTGTGTTTCATAGAACTCTATTCCTTTCCTTGTGGTCAAAACATCGCTGGAAAATAAACTGAGTTCCTTATAGCAAGCCACAGTTGCAGTAAAGGTATTGTCTTTGGGATGTCGTCCATAAATAGTAATTGCGTGTTTGAATTAAGATTATGTTGAAAATAAATCGATATTTCGCTGTGCATAAAAATATCATTGAATTTACTGGGTCCCGAATAACACACTTATTTGGATTGGGCTTAAACTCACTCTGAAGGTTCGGAAATGTTCGTGCATGGTGCATTGGTGCATTTTACGGAATACATTTTAAGATATTTTACCCACTAACTGAAGAGGTCTTATGTAAATGGAATGTCAACCTGAACATCGTATTTCGCTCAGTGGAAGATGTAAGTTTGAAACCATCAGGAACATCTCTCATAGCTAATAGTGTTTGTTAATTTGTGATGACCAGCAACACAGTTATTGCATGGGGAAAGTTAAGAGGGGGCCATCCTTAAAGAATCGTTATTCTTAAGAGTCAACTACGTTCAACTGCTGAACCGTTTTAAAGCTTTGAATAAATGAAAACAATAGCCTAAAAAAGAAACATTATTGTGTAAAAAGACTAATTCAAAATTATTAAACGAAGTATTGATTGGGTCGGAAAACAAATATAGATATGGGAACCCTGTATTTATCTGAGAAAAGATTTAAGATTTTAACACTAATCTAAAAATCAATACTTGAAAGCCATGTAGCGCCTGCTAGCAAGAAATATTTATCACAGTGGCATCTTAGAATACAATTGCAGTGGAAAAAATCGATGAACAATTTGTTGATTTCATTTTTGTCAACATCGAATGCATCATTATTATGCTAATTACTATCCCTTGATATTATGTGTGGTTTTATTCATGACTTTGAAAACTCTACGAGGCTAATTTGATCGTTATGAATTAAGATTTTTACCGTATTCTACATCTCAGGTTCAGTAGATTTTTGCAGAAATGACACGATATCGGTACATGTACCAGTTGATATAATTTGGTTAGTTTTTATATTGATTAAAGTCCTATCAACGTCTATTGATGGATGACCTCCCTATTTAGGCTAGATGAAGGATGGTGTTGAGTGCGTGTGTTTGTAGGAGGCTGTAATGTGTTCGTGTTATAGTGCTACCACACTGAAGTATGTTGCAGCTGATCAGGTCATGATGCAACCATTCATTACAACACAAAATGAGAAGAGTTATGAAAAAATCAGTAATTTCCTTTTCAAAAGACACTGCTATGAGAATAGAAAATCAGGAAATTAGGGCTAGAGGATATCAGAGCTAGACAAAAGAAAATCCAAGATATCAGGGATAAACTCAAAGTCAGTAGAACTAGGGCAAAACATGAGCAAAAGAAAGATTAACACAGAGAAAACATTAAAAGTCTGTAGAACGAGGGCAAAACATGAACAAAATAAAGATTTACACAGAGAAACTCAAAGTTAGTAGAACTAGGACAAAACATGAACAATAGAAATATTAACACAGAGAAACTCAAAGTCATTGCATAGCATGGTGTTTTTATCAAAACCAGAAACAGAGATGTGGTAAAGGATAATGTGATTATAGTCATGATATATCTGAATTTAGCCCGTAATTGACAATGTCACTGGCTACTGGTGGGGGAAATTAGACGTCACGCTTTCTAACTAGTGATTGTACGAACATAAGAATACCATTCCACATGATTTCGTAATGTTCATATCTACAGATCCAGAAGTACTGTATGTCAGCTGATAAAAAGAGATGTTTCAAGTACAATGATACATTGTTAACGGCTGTACGACCGTCTATATAGCAATACATTACATGGAATCGATGCTGTGTCTGATGAGCGACATAGAAGTCATTACAACGCATATTACCAGAAAATACCAGAACATAATGGAACTGCTACGTAAAATCGTGTTTTATACAATCATCTATTTATATTTAACCAAAATAATGTTGTCGTTAAAATGACCATAGCCCTCTCCAGTACATTTTTCATTTTTTATTTTACATTTCATTACAGTCAGCCATTATATGCTACCAGAATTCTGATCGGCAATTTTCTGATGGTGACAGTATAAAAAGGTTACTAAGTAGTCATCAATATATTAATTATCAATGTCAGATCGATAGTGATTTCTAACCTTTCTGTCTCGTTCCTCACGGCTAGACACTGCCACGAAGAAGCTCTTAAGCACACTATAGAATCACATTTTGATCACATCGACGCGATGGTTATTAGATATTGATTGGTCAATATGTCCAGAATACTGAAACCCTATTTCACGCTACTCGTTGTTCTGGCCGTAATCACCACCAAACGTGCCAACCGCCTATCCTTCCTCTATCACAGCCGTTGCTCACCGACATTTTATGTCGAACTATTTGGTCATACATTTGCTATAAGGAATATGTAGTTTTCAAATTTTGTGTTTTCAACGACAGCAATTAATCAACGGAAAGACGATATTTACCGTCAATCATGTCAGCCGGCTGTAACGTTGTCAGTCGACACACCTTTGTTTTTGCATTTTGGCAGTGAAATATTGAGAAATATCTCATTGATAAAAGTATTATTTTTCACCATTGCGCAGATACTATTATATTTGACACATCTGTTTAATGTATTTGTTGTTACTGAAGATTATAATATCTATCATCTTTTCATTACAATTCAGGGATTTGTGACATGTGTATTAATAGTGACATTTCTAATTATAGAAATTACAATTAAGACATAAATAAAGGCTAAAGTGAGCAGAGATGTAGATATTCTGACTGACCAGCACATGTATTCCTTCACAGTTACTGAACGGTCTAGTGAAAACTGTTGGATTCTCTGAAGCTTTAGGATAGGAAGATTCTATCCGAAAAGAAGATAGAAACAAAACAACAAATAAAATACCGAATCGCCCATAGAATTTTTAATTTAAACTAAAATAACACATATAAGATTAACACGTATATCACTGAAAAAAGTAGGAGCGACATACGATCAGATCATTCGGAATGTAAACCGTCTGATGCTTCATAGACGACACACGCCGAAAACAACAGAACCAGCAGACTTACGGGCATCATAAGGAAAATCGTTCAAGTGATATTGGGGCAAAGCTATTAAACATTATATCAACTGGCACAAGCAAGCATTGGATGTTGCTATTCAGAAATGTAAAATTCAGAATACGGCAAAACTGAAATCATCAAACTTATCACTCAGTGTGATGGAATGCTGTCCCTATTATTCTCATGATAAAAAACAAACGGTAGATTTAGAAGAAATTATTTCTCCTTTATTTCCAATTTTAGCAGGTACAGACAACCACGTCCTTGTTATCTAAAGAGAATCGATTTTTAAATAAAATTAAAGGACTTATTGGTGACCGGTTTTGTTATGCACCTCGATTGATTTATCCCTATAAAACAAAACCAATTAAGGTAAGGTGGGGAGGGTGGGAGGATTTTATTTTCTTAAGAACAGTTTGATGAAACATTTTACTGCCAACCTGGACCAGAACATTATCAATAACATCTTCTAGACTTTGTCTAGGACTAGACGGCCAAGAATCCGAGAGTAGAAATTTCAAGTCCTTTCTTAAATTAAAAAATACAATATGTATTCTGACCATTTTCCCCAATTTGTATCTAATTAGTCAATGCTGAAAATACGAGACCCTTTAATCACACCATGTAGCTGATCAATTCTCCAACATTCAATGTCACTGAACATATCACAATCACGATGACAGTATGTACGATGTCAATTGTTATCACCCTTCTTTAAATTCACGTTCACGACTAGCACAGCATAAAAGATGAAAAATTCAAAACTCTAAGGTAATGCTTCTACCTTTGTGTTTCTGTGATATAAAGAACGGAATGTATACATTTTTATTGTCGTATCAGGTTTTAAAAGACCATAATGAATAAAGGTATTGAACTGCAGGATATTAAGATATTCTTTGTTGGTTTGTTACAGGTTTTTCGTCTCTGTGACCCTATTATCTCTAGGTATAAGGCGTCAGTATTCTGACGTCTATGCTGTATATCAAACATGTTTACACTGAATATCGTTCTGGTCTTATAGAATGGTTTGCCATGGGAACATGTTGACGACTGCAATGTCCCCTGAACAGAAAATGATAACTCATGTATTCATAGGATCATGGATTTGGTTCATCCCTGCAAATAACAAGGTGTAGAACTGCTGCATTAGATGTTCGATTATTTTGGTCTGGTTGGATTTGTCTCTGGTGATCTAAAAACCTCAGCTTCCTCCATTTTAAGTCTCGGGCCGCCGTCCATAAGAAGACTGTGCGGTATTTTAGTGTTAGCATTAAGATCAATTAAGGGCAACCGAACGGTAATGCGTTTGCTGAGAGAAACTTGTCGCATTTGATCTAAGTTTGATCTTTATCTTTCAGCTGATATTTGAAGCTTCTGCTAGACTTCATTACGGCAGCGATTTGGCGGTAGATGATATCACATTTGATCCCCACCCTGGCTACGTGAGTACCACAACCGCGTAGTACGGTCACTGAAAATAGATTACTTAATACATAATTATATCACAACGATGGCGTTGGATTCGGATTATTGAAAGACATGATAGGTTATTTAAGATGAACAACGTAATATATTTTAATTTCATAATATCAGATGGAAGCGTTTTACTTCCATATACACTTACATTTGCTTACCCAATCTGATACACGGCGTATATTACTAATGGAACTTCATTTAACTTTTACAGTAATGGTACAGCACAATGGCAGTAGAACGTCAAACGGTTTGGACTACCGCTACATGTCATTCCAAATTATTTTCATGTCAATTCTAAATGTTGTTTAATATTTTACTTAGAAACGACAAATACACTCAGCATTTAATCAAATGTGTTATTCAGTATTTGTGGTATGTATGCAGAATCAACAATAAAATTGTTATCCTGATTATACGACAAAACCGTTTTCTTTTATAAATGACATTGATATATAGTAATATTTATACAACTGCTATTACTTAGTGGGTTAGAATAGTGGTAATTTGTGTGCGTCAGTAGTGTTTTTTTCGAGCTCAAATTCGGAAAAAGAACAACACTAAGATGAAATATTCCACATAAACTACTGCACATGCGCCTAAGAAAAGGATATTTCATACAACACGTCAACAGCATCTTAATTCCAACTCATAATAGATGATACATCGAACGACGGCAAAAAATGAACAAGAGCAGTATTTGAATCGGGGGCTCCGGAAAGGTAAACGTCTTTTGCTTCATATGCTTCGTCGACGTCACCGACCATATAAATCTAAGTCAATCTAAGCAAGTAATGCCACGTTCCTAAATAAGAACAATGTTACAAACAGCGGAACCATAAGGCATGCTAATGAACATCGAAATCGTTTCACGAAAAATCGAATAAAATGCTATAACTTTTCACGTTGTGATGACCATGAAAAATCTATATAATATTCATCAACCTGCATCTCTTGAAACTTTTTTTGAGTTTATCTGTCAGCTTTCGAGATCTAGCATACGGCAAACTTTGATATTGGGACAAGCCCTTGACTATCGAATCAAATGTGACATGCAAACAACATTGTTTGGGGAATCTGGTTGATTCTAGAAATGGAAATTGCACAGGATCTTAATTGAAAACACCGACATTAATTGTACAGCTTCGTTTAATGTTGAAGGGACAGATCCGGGTGATATAGAGTCCGTTGTGTCCTTAATTTCAGATTATACATATGCTATGGATATGGTCAAAGGATGTCTTGGTATTAAAGACAAGATATTATGAATATATATAAAAGTTAAACTGAAGGATTAGGAAATGTGACTGACAAAAAAACAAAAAAAACAAAAGACTGAGATGGTAAGCATGTTCTTCCTCACTGTACAGGGTTGCTATTAAATTTTAAAAAATCCAATATAAAGGAGGGATGTCCGTTTCCGGATAACAATCTTTAAGATTGAAGGTGGAAGACACTGCTGGTGGATTTTAAGTCTTCGAGGTTTGCCGAATAGTGGCACGGTTCAGAAAATAAACTTGTACTTGACATTATTCCAAAATTATCTAAACGTGAAAATTACGAAATTTATCTAATTGTGGGGCTGCTGCACCTCCCGATCTAGAATTTGACTTTTCTTTTGATCACTTTGCGTTTTCCTTAGTGGCCTCCTAGCTTGCTTCAAATTTCAGGCATAGCCTCACTGACGACTCCCAGAAGGACTAAACAGCTGTACAATGCAGTTTAATTAATTCTGTAGCTCTACTGTATCTCATTCTCAATTATGAAATGGTGCTATTCACTTGTGTGTCTTTTGTACAGTATTTAAAATGGATATGTGAATTACTGTAAACCTGAAGCAAACTTAGTTTTTCATGTAATCATGCTAAAATGTAATGAAAACTTGTAGGATAGGGCTACCGGGAGCCTTTCTTGCATTGGCGTTATCACATAATTATTATCCAGAGTGAAGTAGTCTTCATTAGGATTAAGGAATTGATGTGTGTTTTGGTTTTATTCTAGATTTTTAAGTGATAAATCTTTTAAGAATGATAGACAGATCTGAGCGTACGGACAGTCTTAAAACTATCAGCATAGTTTCTGTCATATAAACAATAATTTATGAAGTCGCCAAATGTCTTAATACCACCAGGTACATTATAACGAATTCAACGTATTTTCAATATTATGGAAATTTGTTTATGGACTGAAAAAGTGGAACCCAATCAATTATAAACAATGTTAACTTTTGTTGCATAATAACTTAGAATCTAATAACACCATTTTTTACAATATAGTCACAACAGACTGTGTCTGGCAATTATTGTTGTTTGATAATCTAGTTTTACTAACATTTTCGAGGCTTTTTGCCATACACTCTACCAAAGTTTTACGTATATAAGGCCTAGTGGTGTCCAAGAAACTTGTACTGAAAATTGAGGACATCAAATTACCGCTTACATTATTCAGCAGAACAAACCTTTACATATCATATGTATTTGTATTTCGTTCAGGGTGGGTTGCTCCCATGATAAGGTTAAGAAAAAAAGATCCGTTTGAACATTTGATATTTTTGTGATTGATGTTGGTCCATTTGAGGTTGACTTTATTATAATCAACATACACATTTAATTTCTGAGGGGTAATCAATTAAAGCTTACACAATTGTGAATATATCATTACATCTACATTAATGTTTTCAATAGATAACAAAACATTTTTGACCGCGTCCATAAAAAAAAAAAAAAAAAAAAACGACATGGTGTATGATTTTAAATTCCCTATTGTGAAATTTCTATTTTTGGCAGTTACATACCTGCGTCCCCATCCGACTTGTACAGTGTTTTCATATCACTGTTGATCCGATATTCACGAGCCTATTGTTATTATCACACAAGGATTCAAAAACAAAATCCTTTGCGTGGTATGAAACTGATGTTGGCCTTTACTCCTCATATCTTTCAGAGGAGTCTCCGTGTAAATATTTTGCCCTAGTTGTATTGCGTTTGAGTCTGGATTATGCTTATGTTGACATGCTGGTGCTTTTTACAGATATGTACCTCCTGCAGGCATTCAACATTATCATCCTAATTATGATTTAAACAAAGCATGTATGATTTGATTTATATCAAAATAGGATAGATGATATTAGAATCTACCTCCGTGAAAAACATAAAAGAATGTACCCATGACATAATCGGGTTCATAAGGATGGGGTTTATAACTGAACAATAGAAATCTTATGACACAACAAATAGTTCATCTAGCCGCCCGTTATTGATATGCTTCTGATGTCATGCCATCCCCTCTGGGAACCTCGATAAGATGCTTACGTTGCGTCACCACCGCTGGTCCGTGTAAAGAGGATGACCTTACCACTAACGCTACAACGAAACTACATCCACAAGCGATCATACATCGATCTGAAGACATCGTCTTTATTCATACACACCTTGTGACAAGATGTACAATAATGGAAGACTACTTGAAATCGTCATTATGGGGAAATTATGCTTCGTTTATTTCAAGAAATCATCTTACTACAAATCTACTCTGAATCGATCTTAGAGTTGGTGAAATATAACTTACATAGAAACACACAGATTGAGTTGGTGCTGAGCCAGACTGTTATTTCAGTTTATTACGTAAACGGTATCTTATCGATTTGTGGGATTTTGGAATCCTTCATGTAACTGTTGCCTAATGAAGCAGCCTGGACAACAAAAACAGGTTCATATGCAAAGACTGCATTTTACCAACAGAAAATAAGCATCTGCTCGTAGGTCAAATAGATGTTTATCTGTCAAAGTGACTAGCTTGCTGGCTTCCTGTGATACTCGTGACATTTGTGTAAAGGGTGTAACAGGGAATATATTTATCATGAGTTGGTGAGAAAACAAAAAATAAGAGAAACAAAACACTAGGAGACATGCATTCCTTTACGTCATCTGCTGTCGTACATTACTTAAATGTCAACATATGATGAGTAGCAAATTATATATGTTTTGTCTATGATAGGGATTGCTATAAGGTTCGGTCTGGAAGACCTGACGCTACTTGCTGTGTTTGTGAAGATCTTTTGGTTACTCATTACAGATACTAAAGAACAAAACTTGAAATTGACATTATTTAATCTCTACAAAAAGTTGGAAATAATGAGCATTGTAAAAGTCATTATACCCGTTATCCTTCATTTTGTGCGCATTGGTTGGATTGTCGAATCTATACTGTAATACCTGACATTTGTTAATTCGTGCAGGGTTTACTGTGGGCGGGGAACATTGACAATCTGAGTCAGCAGTCCACAAACACTTTCAAGAGCAACGGCCTTTCTTGATCAACCAGCGCACTAACAACAAGAGTTGAGGAGAGGAAACGCGCCAACATGCTCCCGATTCATTTCGAATGCAGTGTCAATGCCAAATCTATATCTAATGAATTGAATCGTGTTCGAAATTGTTAAAGTTTACAACAACTTTTCATATAAGATGATACGTGTCAAAACACTAAATACATGGATACTAATCGATGAAAGTCAGTGAGTTTTATTTGTGAATGGAAACTGATATCACACTATATTTGTTTTAAACTTAAGTCAGTGATTTATCTCTGCATCCTCAATATCAACACTGTTAAGATTTCAGCTCAGGTTTGTTGTTTGTTTTAATATCTATTGACACTGTAAGATGGCTCTAGTTATGGAGGATAAGGAATCGATTGAAAAACTTTCTCTGGCTGCTGAGCATGGAAGTTCAGAACCAGAGATGAAAAGGTGAGTTTCATTTTCTGTTTAATCATTCTGTTCTCTAAGATATTATTCTTAAACTGCTATGGTATTGTATTTTGATATCATTAAACGATTTTATCACTTTATCACTTATTTTCACTATGGACGGGGTGCCTTTTAAATTAGTGTTAGTGTTCGCATGTGTATGTTTGTTGTTTGAATAAGATCAAGCCTTAGTTTGGATTGGGAATGATTTTAATTACCCATTCGCTCCCCTAAAACAGCCAAGGTCATATGAAGACGGTAGTATAGATAATATTGACAGATCTGTCGCCTCTTTTAATTATTTACTCCATCTATTAGTGTAATCTGAATGAAAAAAAAAACAAAACGAAATCAACATGAACATATTCATACCATGTTTATCGAGAGGCGTGCTATCCCTGCATCCCAACCTATGGTTTTATATGTTCTATTTGAGGAATAACCAATTACTGTATTTGAAAAGAATGATCGAACCTTTTTCCTATACGTGTTGTATACATTGTTTTCATTTAAGAACATGGCGGTACTTTCTTGGATTGATCAAGGTTGGTGGGTGAGATAATGCGGATAAATGTAATTTTTCCATATTAGTTACAAATTGAAACATATGTTCTTATTACACAGCCAAGGGATTAATTGTGACGTTCCAATACCCACAAGGTCACCTTCATTAGACAAATGAGCAGCATGAAGTGAAATGTTTTAGCACTGCCGTATGAAACTTACGAAATTGAATTGAAACGACAGACTTTCGCGGTTGCACTGTACACCTATGTACACTAGTGACTATATATAAAACTATAAAGAACGAACCGTACACTAGATGGTAACAATTTAGTGTAGTCGCTTCGGACACGCTTTGTTTAACACTGAATGACAGTATGTGTCCTCTCGTTCCTGTTTAGTATGACTCGCTGTGGCGTATCCAGATGGATTCTTTGAACACAATTGTTTTCCTTATCGACTAATCGGGAATTTTCGCATTAAATGCTATTATGCTGCTGTTTTGAATGATATGAAAGTGTTGATTTATTGAGCGTGGGCTGAGATAGCCTTAGAGCTGATTTGTTGAATCCGATCTTGTATACATGATTCTTGGATGTTCTTAAAATGAACTAAACTATCCTTGAGAGTCTTGTGAGGAGTGGAGGTTATTACCGTGGTCATGGTCCGACGTACCCTTGATATAAAATATGACTTCTTTTATTTTTCCCTAGTGCTTGGTTTCTTGGTCTTTTCTTAATTTTCTTAAATTCTTTGTTCACTTTCTGGATATCTCAACCGGGATGTCTACATGTTTTCGATGCGTTGTTTGTGAGTTTATTCCCGCTTCTTATTTTGTTCTTCTGTGATAATATTGTCACATCTGTTGATCACATATCGTGCAACACCTAACCTCTGGTGTAAGGAGTGGTGCGAGTCTTCGTCCGTGTGTGTTTGTCCTATATATCAAAGCGTGCTACCTTTGATTTCTTCCTCACATGCGAATTCGTTTCTGTTGATGATATCTCTTCTATTGCTAAGTACAGTTGTATCATTTTGAGGCCATTTCATGACTAGTTGAACTGTTTGCACATCTATGAGCAAGTGCTACCCAATCGACTACACAACATTTCGACCAACTTTGTACGTTTTTTCTCTATACATTTCCACCATCGTCCAACTATTTTCTACCGAAACTGTCGGTCGATTCCGTGCCATTTCGCACACTACGTACATTAGTGTTTATACAATTCACATTGGTCATTTGTACTATGTAGTCATCAGAAGAACGTCACACTCTAATCTTCTACTGGTTGTGTTATAAGATGAAGGTGACCGTGTAGTCATCGAAACGTCACACTCTAATCTTCTACTGGTTGTGTTATAAGATGAAGGTGACCATGTAGTTATCGAAACGTCACACTCTGATCTTCTACTGCTTGTGTTATAAGATGAAAGTGACCGTGTTGTTATCGAAACGTCACACTCTAATCTTCTACTGGTTGTGTTATAAGATGAAGGGTGACCGTGTAGTTATCGAAACGTCACACTCTAATCTTCTACTGATTGTGTTATAAGATGACGTTGACCGTAAAGTCATCAAAACGTCTCACTCTAATCTTCTACTGGTTGTGTTATAAGATGAAGGTGACCATGTAGTTATCGAAACGTCACACTCTGATCTTCTACTGCTTGTGTTATAAGATGAAAGTGACCGTGTTGTTATCGAAACGTCACACTCTAATCTTCTACTGGTTGTGTTATAAGATGAAGGGTGACCGTGTAGTTATCGAAACGTCACACTCTAATCTTCTACTGATTGTGTTATAAGATGACGTTGACCGTAAAGTCATCAAAACGTCTCACTCTAATCTTCTACTGGTTGTGTTATAAGATGAAGGTGACAGTGTAGTCATCGAAACGTCACACTCTAATCTTCTACTGGTTGTGTTATAAGATGAAGGTGACAGTGTAGTCATGGAAACGTCACACTCTAATCTTCTACTGGTTGTGTTATAAGTTTAAGGTGACCATGTAGTCAATAAAACGTCGCACTCAGATCTTCTACTGGTTGTGTTATAAGATGAAGGTGACCAGGTAGTCACCAAAACGTCACATTTTAATCTTCTACTGGTTGAGTTATAAGATGAAGGTGACCATGCAGTCATCGGAACGTCATCTTAGTATTCAATTGATTATGTTATAACAACATCTTATATATTGAAATTATCATCCTGAAGAAAATGTTTTAAAATATCCTAACAAAGTGCTAGATAAACAAGGGTAGATAACGAAAGTAACATGTAGAATAACCCAAAGCAGAATTCCCTTTTTTTACCTTTGTTGAATTTAACACCCTATCATTATCTTTATCTGCAGTTACCCTAAATTTATTGCAAAACCTGCAGAGCAAACATATTACTCTTCAATTATGTCCGCGTGGCCTATTCTTGTTCTACAGAAATCAGATTGCATCAATAAAATCAGACTTGGTCTAACAATGACTCTTCATGACGAAAATAACTTCTTCTGACAGAGATGAATTCATTTTGGTGACCTGAACATTATCGATCAACAGAGAAACAAAACTATCGCCGGCGTGTAATCTGTTTATTTGTATGGTCTATTGGCAAGTTTGTTTTAATGGATGAGGCACAAAAACAGCTTGTACAACAAACACAAAAGTGAATAGCGTCTTTTAATACAATTTAAAGTAAGATAAGATTCAAACACCGAATTAAACTGCATTATACAGCTGCATCGTCCTTCTAGGACTCGTCAATGATGCCAAGGGCCTAAATGTTAAACCTACGTGGCGACTGAAGAAAATCCATTCAGTTTCTATGATGAATCATATAAGAATAATTCTATCGTACTCCGTGTTATTATTTGTATAGATAACTAGTTTACATCTTATATTCATTTCATAATATTTGTGTTTCCCTAAATACATATAAAATACATATATATGAAATCAAATTACATTTGGAAGAAAAAACGTTTGCGTAGTATAAAATGGCCGTTATATGGAATATTGATATGAACGGTGTATTATCGGAAATTGTTTCCGATTTCAGTTGTTTGAGAAATTATGGACCAATCATCGCATGACGTCAAATTTGTATTGATCACGTAATTTGCCTGTTATTTTCTTATTCAACCCGTACATCAGAAGAGAAAGAACATATGTACGGTCACTTCCCGAATTGGATGTAATATATGCGATGTCCTCTGCTTTTTGTACATTGGGAAGAAACCCAGTAATAAGACCTGATGTAAATACATGCGATATGATATATGTGGTGTTTTTCTCTGCTGGAATTTCACTCGTGTTCATTGGCTGACATTAAACTCCAATCAGAAGGTTCTCTTTTTTAACTTGATGCCTGATAAATCCTGTGTCGATTGCAAACTTTATCTCAAATAACGATGAATGTTACAGACAATGTAACATGATGTATATGAGTCAAAAGTCAAACCTCCATTGTGTGTATTCAAATCAATGGCGAGGCTATCGACATAATATTGATCATAAATAGTTTTATGGATATCTATACCTTGGAACCAAGTGTTGAACATGTGTTGAAAACTTGATAAATATTCTTCATGCTCTTTTCGGATTGGTTGTCCTTAATTCAGTTCTATCATAACATGAAATCAAATTCACGGATATCTGTGAGAAGAAATCAGCTTTAAGCCATTGCTAACTTGACGTTTATTGATGCAAGATCAGTAACTATTTTCTGTGTCGGATATTTCAGTAGTGATCCAGCTCTCCACATTTTATTGCTTGAGGGAATGGACTATACATAGAAGTTAACACTATCACATGGAAGTTAATCCATGTAATTTCTTTTCTTTTCAATTAAAGGATATTTCCTATGTTGCTGAATAAAAACAGCGTGTTATTACAAGCAAAGGGTGGCCACCCTTTTAATGATTTGGGAATCTAGATTTCGCAAGAAGTGTCATTAATTTCAGGATACCCATGATAATTATATTATATGAAAGAATTTTTATGAAACTGTTTAATAACATATATAATAATATATCAACATATCATTAATATAATCTTAATTCTTTAACCAAACTTTATCAAAATTAATTTTTTTTCAATTTAGAGATGTAATTCACTAATTAGAATTATGGAAATCTTTCTTATGAGAAATTCAATCTTCGTCGACTATACCGCCAATAAGACCGCATTCTCCAATCTAAACTTTTGTTTTCATATACCGTATACCCCTATTATATTGAAACATCTCAATATGCATCATCTCTCATTCATGATCAGCCTTAATAGGCAAAAAATAAAATACGAATGGAATTGGAATATATTCAAACCGAACCGACATTTTTTTGTTTTTGTTTTTTGTTTTTGTTTTTTTGTTTTTTTTTTTTCTATTTTTTGTTTTGTTTTGTTGTTTTTTTGTTTTGTTTTGTTTTATTGTGTTTTGTTTTGTTTTTGCTTTGGGTTGTTGGTTCTTTTGTTTTATTTCGTGTTTTTTTTTAACCATTTCGGCGTTTGTGTGATTGCAGGCACCATGCGATGAGGAAATGTTATGCATGAATGGATCAGACAAAGTAATCGACAAGTTGTGTGTGTCATCAAAAACCGACCAGATGGAATAATCTATTTGTAAATGGCAAAAGTGATGCATAACATTACATAAAAGTTAGGCCTTAATGAATAAAATTAATACTGATAACGTTAAATCAGCAGTATTGGGGAACAGGCGTACGGATGGAAATGAAAGAAATGTCTCCTCAAGACAAAGTTTCAGTTCTGAATACTGCTGCTGAAAATATTAATGTCATTGAGATTCGTTTATCAAAACATAGATTAAAGATTTCATATCTGCCTTAGTAGTTATCCGACCGGAATAGAACGATTTTTTTTACAGCTGCTTCTATTAGTTTGTGGATATGTAGCCGGGTGTTCTCCCGCCACAAAAATTGCACTTGTTTCCGGAATATTTGTCAATGTGATGGAACTTTAAATGTGTTCTCCCTAATTCTGTCATCAGTAGACAGTATCTCAATGGCTTTGGCTGTTCATGTCTCCTCAGAAACCTATCCCGATATAACCCTTTGAGAAGAAAAGTTTAACTGAAAGCTAATTTGTTGAAACAATACAACAATATCACATTTATTTTCCACCCAGTACTGAGAAAACGTAAAATTAAACATGGCTGAAGAAGCAGGAAGTCGCTTAGTCTAATTCTCAATCAACTTTCTTGGAAATATTCCATGTCGAATATTCATAATTTCGAGAAAATAATAAGTTGACCATTACCAAATAGAAGCTGTTCTGCCTCTTACAACTAGGACATTTAACATCTCAATCCAGTACTGAGCGTTTCCTGGAGTCACCTCGATAAATTAAGAAATCAGGGGAAGTACAGGGGCATGGCTAAAACACACTGAATTCTATCATTGACAGTATCCATGCTGTCATTTCACTGTTAATAAGGTCCTTTAATGAAAAGTGTCTGGCTAGCAAATAACGCTTTTGGTCCTGAACACTTGCTACACCAGGTTACGTGTAGTGAGTTTTACTACATTAAGAAATAATATGTCATTTTTTCATGTGTAATCTTAAACCACTGGCAGGTCGTGTAATTAAAACTTTCATGTTGCCATTTTGATACGAGAAAGTTTTCATTTCAATTTCACACAGGCTTGTTAATATCGCTGACACAGTCACGTCTTTTCAGAATTTAAAGAAAACATACATCTTCATTGTTGACCTTGACCTTTTACTGGCCAAGCAAACCAACACCAGTTCGGGGCAAACACACGTAACAGATACACAACTAAAATACACACATAATTAATTTTTTTTAAACTTTCAGTTTTTCAAAGCACCTTATGTTCTCATATCAGAGATAAAAAGCATCCTCTCTCGGCATCGCACATGTCATGCTTCAGTATATATTTTATACATTCATACTCACTTCGGCGCGATAAACAACATTTTTGTCATTCATGTAACGAATATTTTGATTGGTCTACGACTATACTGATCGACTACGCAGTTTTTTCTTTATTTATAAGTTTGTCGTCTCAGTGTGCCATTGAGGAGAAGATGGATTCATTCATGCCACGGATCAGTGTCCATGAATCACGTGACCGTCGCTGTTGTCGTATCGATATGACGAGATTGTAGATGCCATGACCCACGACATTAGTCATTAATGACACATTTGATACGATTAGTATGAAGCTCTTAAAAACAGACGTCTTTGCGGGAGTCATACAAAGCAAAACCACATTAGCCATAGCAATAGATGCATATCAATGAGTTATTGCTATTTACAAAAAACATGTGAAAAATACAATAAGTCAATTATTACTAAAAGGTTAAGAGAATCATAATCCAAAACTAGGTCAAAGAACCAAAAAAAGAAGGATTTACATGGTGACTCCTGAAAATGTACAAGGCGAATAGGACCAGGTGTTCCTGAAGAATACAGTGTAAACGTCTTCTGCTTCATCCACATCATCCGCCATGTAAACCTTGATCAATGTAAGTTGGTAGTCAGACGAGTGAGGGCAAAGTATACAACAACGAAGCTAACATGCAAACTCAGGATAATCAACGCGTCCAGCTTTATCACATAAATCTCAATGAGATAACGAACATCAATCTTTCGACATTATATTCATCAACATACATCTATCGAAACGAAATATGATTTTGTCAGTTGACATCTTGAAAAAAATCAGGAAATCAGGAAAAGACCCTTAGGTAATGAATCAGTTTGTAAACACCAAAGTTCAGGAATATTGCTATCAAGAAAAAGGAAAATTTCAATGATTAGGCTTATTATACAGTTTGGTGGAAAGATCTGCCTATTGGTTCATTATAGGAAAAGGCCTCGGTAAAGGGCTGATTTAGGAGAATCTGTCGTGTTTTTTAATTCTGGTGGACATTACCGATGGACGTGATCGTTATTTTAAGAGAAGATGTTATCAATATGTCTGACATTGAAAGGTCTTTGTGACCTGTTCTGATAAACTCTTCGATAAGAGGTAATGGGATGATAAATACTGTATAAAATGGTTACTGTGCTAAGATTTTACAAATCCACACAATAGAACCTTCCAATACAAAGTAAGTAATAAACAGCATCTTACAACTGTTTCGTTCTAGTAGTGATATTGAATAATAAGTTGTTGAAACCTCTGTGTCGACTGAGAAAAAGTCAAATCAACACCAGATGGAGACCGACAATATCCCCAAAGTATATCTGTATATTTCCGATTTTAATTACTGCTTATACATGTGGTTCAAACGAACTGATCCATACATGCACTCGTGGATTCTGTTGTTTTACTAATTTTAGCAGAAAATCAAAGAAATATAGATTTCAGCATTTTTATATTTCCAACACGCATTTTCCCTTTCGATATTAGTATTGGTCCCTTCATAGTTGCTACACTTAAAGTTATTTTGTTAATTTTCTCTTAGAAATTTATCCTGAAAAACCATCCATAATATACTTCTGTATTTCAACAAAAATCAATGGTTTATTTTTAGTAAAATTTCATTTCTTACATAACGGTGTTTCAGTGGCAGGAATTCTAATTAATTAATCAGTGCACTTGTGACTATGAAGCCAGCCGACATGCGTCGATTTTACGTTTTAGGGTTCGAACCTTACACAGAAAAAAGAGTAGTTTAAAATGTTTTTTCTTTTACGTTAATTACCAATAATTTGCTCTCACGTACTTGCTTTATCATAAAATCATTTTTACATGTACATACAAATACAGAACAAAAACACGAGTGAATAGTATATTTCAAAACAGATATAGGATTATAAACATTAGAACCAAAGGACTGCATAGTACATTCGGATCGTCTTTGTAGAACTCGTGTATATTTGTGTTCTGAACTAGGAGAGTATCAATTCAGGCTAACTTACCCACATCTTTAATAGCATATATGTGTTCCTTTTTGTTTCAGTACTCGAGAGAAGTTGGCTGAATTAATGAAGAGCAACCTTATACAATACGGTATCATCTCCTTGGTTGTACTTGACAGCGTCATCATCCTACTCGAATTTCTCATCGACCTTGAAATGATACATAGTAAGTGTTGTAATTCTAAAACCGATAATTAAGATTTGTTTAATGTGTAGTTAATCCGCAGTGTTAGAGGGAAATCGTCATGCTATAATACTCATATTTTGTATTTTACTAATAATGCAATGTATTTATTTAACACACTATTACTGTAATGCATTTACGTTACAATAATTGTTTTGATATTTAATTTACAGAATCATATATAACAACTAACAAATGTCAATCGACAGTACACGTAAAACACATCAATCATTTACCCTGGTGAGTACAGGTGACTTGTGTAAGACATGTCTAAAATGCAGACGCAAAAAGTGTCTTAATTTGTCTAGGGCTTTTATCTTCCTGGTTACAGTTTGTAAGCTTTAATGCCTTTTCCTTTGCTAACTTTCTGAAAAATCGTTTACCATAGACTGTCGCAGTACGAGAGTTTTGAACGCGTCAAAATAATTATGAATCCGATCTCAGTGATCATGATGACTGATAAAGGGTGGAAAAGTCTAGCAAGGATTGAATGTGTACATCAAACGTTTGTGCTGTTGACTGTATGGTACAGGTTATCAATGCAATAACTACATTACTTGTGTAATGTGCTTTTGATTGCAATTACGTCATGCTGCAGTGAATTAGAACCTTCCGTAGATGACTAAATACATGTAATATAGCAAATCTACCACAAAATCATGTTTACAAAACCCAAAAGAAAAGAAACAAGTGCTGGAACCAAAGTTTTATACAGATGCGTTCAGTGAAATATCGAATCAAGAAAATATCAAAATGTCAATATAATCATAGTTCAATGAAACAAGAGAATGATTTTAAAAAAAAGATTAATACAGAAACTCCTGAAAAAAGGACGAGGAGAATTAGACGAGATGTTCCGTAAGCGTCTTCTGCTTCATCGCCGATTCACGCCATGTAAACCTAGGTCAATGCAAATAAGTAATGCCACGGTCTCAAATAAGAACAAGGTATATAACGATGGAGCCAACATTTAACGTGCATCCTAACGGTTTCTACAGCTGTAACTGTCTGGATAGTGTGGACATAATCTGCTGGTATATGCGAGAAAGAAGGCGATTAAATGTATCTTTGTGATTAAACTGTAACTTCAGGTCATCATGCTAAATGTTTGCAAGTCAGGTTCTAGATGGGGATATGCAGTAGCTCTAATATTCAAAATAATCTCACGAGAATAGTTCTACGCGCCACCATTTTAAATTAAGGTAAATTAAAACGTGACTTACAGTTTACGGCTTTTTGAAAAAAAATCTTCTGATGGATTTAAAATAAATATTTCATTTTTGAGATATCAATTATTTAGTCTAATCCTGGACTGGGTTTTCGGGCTTGAACAGAGACCAAGACCAAGCAACGATGACATTAAACAAAGATGGCAGTTTGTGTTTAAGGTCGTAAGCACCTTGATGTTAATATGGAATTTCTACAACGTAGAAAGACGTAACATCATCGATGAACATTCTCTGTGGACTCAGTCTAAGGTATATACCGATACGAGCGTAGTTTTTGAGATATCAATACATTTACTGAAGTACTCGTTAGAGACGACAAATAAATGTCTACCTAGACAATTATTCAATACTCTTTGGAAAGTTGAAAGGATTATCTTAAAGGTAGTGTGTTAGATCTACGGCCATGACACGTATATGTGGATCAAGGATTCCTGTATTTTCCGCCTCAAAACGACCCCGTTTTGCAACGCAACAATTAAAAAACGCTTCCCTCGACGACTTCAAACTGCTCCTTCTGCCACTGTAAAGACAAAATCGAGACAGAAAACACTGTTCCATTGTCGTAAGGCCTAAAGATACAGATACGATGATTATTACAGGTTTGTCAGAATTGGTTCAGAGAAGGACTTTCCCTCGGTAGGCTTTCAGCCTGTTGCGGACAGACAGACAATGTCCCAACAATGCTCTTGATCCGAGGTTACGAATCGATTGCGAAAATGTAATGGACATCCTTAGCGGTTGTGTTTTGTCACTACAATCAAAATACCATGTTAATCGACGCCGAGACTTTCCGATCTGCACCGTGCTTTAGCCATTTCCCTCTGTATTTGTGACAGACGGGTAATAATACTACAGTGGATAGATAGCTAGATGATGTGAATTTCAAGTCCTGAAAATGGAAGGAACATCTGTTAGTCGTGGAGATTTTCCGTCATATATATCTTCTGTGTTGAATTATTTTGGTAACCTCCCTGTGTTCGATAACGTAAATTCTTACCATGTTCTTACATGACAAAAAACGTCTTTTCGTGTATTTATTCATCTAATTCTGAATCCATGCGTCTTAATAACATTTCAGTATTTACTCATTAATTGAAAATGACATTTGGATTTAAAAAACTCCAAAGAGCTTTTGACCAATCTTCGGCGCCCACTCCTAAAAACAGGGTTTTTTGTCTTTCTTTAAAAATCATTTTGAATGTTCCACTTTTTACACCTCCATATCCCAACATGAAGAAGTTCTCTTTTTGTGAGAGCTTTCGTTTCCACGATGGTACAACTATATTTGAACTGTGTTGGGACATATTTTGTAAAATTACGTCCGAATCAAAAAAAGAAAGATACGAAGGCAGACAGCGTATAACAGTTCCAGTAGATTATAGATGTAGTCTCGTCGACTTTGGTGGTAAGATCTTTCAACAGACTATTGATATACCTATATTAACACATTGTGTCCCTCGATTTGCTGTGTAGTTCGTATGTTTACACACTGCTGAATTTACTAATGAACTTATCAAAAGAGCCACTTATTTCTTTTGCGGATATGTTGATGAGGCTTGTTGACCATGTCCATCATATATACGCATTAGAATCTGAAATCAAAGGCACATACTTTGTGAATGTAATTCAATTTTCCTATTGTATTTTTTTCATTTCTGGATATCAGCACCTCTTCACCAACAACTTACATGACACACAGGTTCCACGTGCAATGTGTTTGATGTTAGATGATGCTCGTTAGTATATCAGTTTGTTTCGTTCTTGATAATCATGTTTCTCATTTGAGAACGTTACTCGTGTTACTCAGATTTACATGGCGGGTGCCGTCGATGGAGCAGAAGACGCTTACCACTCCGGAGTCCAAGTGTAAATGTTTCTCTTGTTTTTCTTTTGTCACAGTGTCATGGATTCTGCTTTTTAATTAAAATTCTGTTAACAGGTCGGTATAACCTTTGTTATTTGATAATATTCAATATTTTGATTACTTTTTTTTTATATCTGTTCACTGCTTCATTATGCTTGCCCTTTAAGGATTGCGTTGTCACCAGTTATAATTGTGAAAGGTCGGTTGGGTGGCGCAGTGGTAACGCACTCGCCTTTCACCTAGCTGACCGAGGTTCGATTCCCGGAATGCATGTGAAAAGGTTTGGGTCACCTGCCCGACCACGTGGGTTTTCCCCGGGTACTCTGGTTTCCTACCACACCAAGGCCCTTCGCGCCCTTCCATCTGAGCAAACAAGGGTGATTAATATCAGTTGGAGTAATTTGCTTCGCAATTGTTGTAAAATAAATAAAGTTTATAATTACTAGTAATGTCATATTGACAGGTGACACAGTGACTTTAAATAAATAGCTACTAGACAACCTTACTTTGTAGTAGAACAATACATGTACCTGATGTGATGTCAAGTTTTATCAGATTCCATACAGATCTACACATCGTCTGTGAAAGGAACGGGATTCGGATCCATTTTCATGATAACGTTGTTTCCTGTGTGATGTCTGGTAAAGTCAGAACTGAACTGTTTTCATTACGGATAACTCATCATTGCTACATTTTACTGTCTGGACGGTCGGTATTGGTGAATTCAAACAGAAGGTTAGATCTGCCACCGTATAGGCGCTGTCACTTGGTTGGTTACATGTACTTTTGATACATGTTTAATTGAAATAACGAAATGTTACAGGACCTTTAACATCTTCTTGTTGTGACGTAAGTCATACAAATTCCATAAATAACCGTGTCGATATTTTCTGCTGATGTATATCGAACGTTCGTATTGATTTGATTCAGTGGTAAAATCATTGGATAAGTTCATGTCGCCATCATTTACAGAATATAAAACAAATAAGACCGAGATTCTTAATCTTAATCTAGACTCAATTTAAATAAAATTATTAAACAAAAGAATGATTAGCACAAAGAATCCTGGAAACCTCCACGGAGAATAAGACCATGTAATACAGAAGAGTAAGCGTCTTCTGCTTCATCGAGGAGACCCGTCATGTAAATCTTGATCGATCCTTGTTGATACTGTGATGGCCTCAAATGTAAACAAGGTTTACCAATCAGAAACAACACGTCCAGCTTTATATCGCGATCGCACAAACAAATTAAACATTTCTAAATCAGATCACTATGAAGATAGTAAACAAATCCCCATAATTTTTTATCAGCATATATTGTTTTAACTTGTGTTAGGAGATTGTCCGTCAGTTGACAACTTCTTGCACGATAATTGTGGTAAAGGGAACAGAGTGTTGAACATCGGGTCCACTGAGACATGTAAACACCATAGATTGGGGATGCAGAGATTGCTTAATGCTGGTAGTATACACTTTACATTCGGTTGGTGACAGTGGTAAAGACCTCGATGAAAAGTATACCAAACCTAACAACAACGATAAACGAAATTGCGATAAGGAAAATGAACGTCGTGTTTAAAATGATTTTCTCGGCGAAAGATTAGTGATTGTACACCAAGCGAAGGCTCTCAAATTGTAATTTTATAAATTATTTCTCATGTGTGATCTACATTTCATTAACATTTGGGTATCATTACGGTTTTGTTAAGACGTCGGGCCTTTTGTTGATGTTGTAAATGTAATACTGTGTTATTATTCAGTTCCAGAGAATGATGTCAATGGATTGCATTCTCCGATGTTCAACAGTAGTATTAATCACACAGCAGAGCAGTATACAGAACTGCTATCAACGTCTCATCCTTTGAAAGCCCATGATTCTGATGCTCACATTGAGCACAGCTCCCACGCAGTCCATCATGATAACCATATAGGAGAGGATCATAATATGACTGATGTCAATCACAATCACACGTTGTTAGGTCATGCTCACCACCATACCAACAAGGAATTTGCTGAACACGTACTTCATTATGCCAGTCTTACAATACTATCAATATTTGTCGTAGAGGTACGTTTTGGGGTTCTTTTGGGGTACATTTTTTACTTAAGCAATTTAAAACATGTATATTACTTTCTACGAAACACTGAGATGTAAGAAGTTTTCAGTCAAGCGGAAACCGTAAATTGATAAAACGTTTTATTCTAACGAATATAACTACGGAACAAGACATTGATGGTTCGGTGCGGTATGGCGTGATGGTGTGGTGTGGTATGGTGTGATTGTTTGGCGTGACGCGTTATGGGTTGATGATGTGGTGTGGCGCGGTTTGATGTGGGTGTGTGGTGTTAGCGGTATGGCATGATGGTGTGGCGTGGCGCGGTATGGTGTAATGGTGTGGGTGTGGTATGGTTCGGTATGGCGTGATGGTGTGGTGTGGCGTGGTGCGGTATGGTGTGTTTGTGTTGTATTAGCGGTATGGCGTGATGGTGTGGCGCGGTATGGTGTTTGTGCGTGGTGCCGCGCGGTATGGCGTGATTGTTTCGCGTGGCGCGTTATGGTGTGATGGTGTGGTGAGGTATGGTGTGGATGTATGGTTCGGTGCGGTATGGCGTGATGGTGTTGTGTCGCACGGTATGGTGTGATGTTGTGTAGTGTGGTGCGGTATGGCGTGCTTGGGTTGTGTTAGCGATATGGCGTGATTGTGTGGCGTGGCGCGGTATTGTGTGATGGTGTGGTGTGGTGCGGTGCGGTATGGTGTGGGTGTGGTATGGTGCGGTATGGCGTGATGGTGTGGCATGGCGCGATATGGTTGTGATGGTGTGGTGTGTTGCGGTATGGTGTGGGTGTGTGTTGTGATGCGGTATGGCGTGATGGTGTGGTGTGGTGTGGTGCGGTGCGGTATGGCGTGATGGTGTTGTGTCGCACGGTATGGTGTGATGTTGTGTAGTGTGGTGCAGTATGGTGTGTTTGGGTTGTGTTAGCGATATGGCGTGATTGTGTGGCGTGGCGCTGTATGGTGTGATGGTGTGGTGTGGTGCGGTGCGGTATGGTGTGGGTGTGGTATGGTGCGGTATGGCGTGATGGTGTGGCATGGCGCGGTATGGTGTGATGGTGTGGTGTGTTGCGGTATGGTGTGGGTGTGTGTTGTGGTGCGGTATGGCGTGATCGTGTGGTGTGGTGTGGTGCGGTGCGGTATGGTGTGATGGTGTGGTTTCGTGCGGTATGGTGTGGGTGTGGTATTGTGCGGTATGACGTGATGGTGTGGCGTGGCGCGGTATGGTGTGATGGTGTGGTGTGGTGCGGTATGGTGCGGGTGTGTGGTGCGGTGCGGTATGGCGTGATGGTGTGGTGCGGTGTGGTATGGTGTGGGTGTGTGGTATGGTGCGGTATGGCGTGGTGGTGTGGTGTGGAGCGGTATGGTGTATTTTAGTTGTGTTAGTGGTATGGCGTGGTGGTGTGGTTTGGCGCGGTATGTAGTGGGTGTGTGGTGTGGCGCGATATGGTGTGGGTGTGTGGTGTGGCGCGGTATGGTATATTGGTGTGGTGTGGCGCGGTATGGTGTGGGTGTGTGGTGTGACGCGGTATGGTGTGGGTGTGTGGTGTGGTGTGGGTGTGTGGTGCGATGCGGTGCGATGTGGGTGTGTGGTATGGTGCGGTATGGCGTGGTGGTGTGGTGTGGACCGGTATGGTGTATTTAAGTTGTGTTAGCGGTATGGCGTGGTGGTGTGGTTTGGCGCGGTATGGTGTGATGGTGTGGTGCGGTGCGGTATGGAGTGGGTGTGTGGTGTGGCGCGATATGGTGTGGGTGTGTGGTGTGGCGCGGTATGGTATATTGGTGTGGTGTGGCGCGGTATGGTGTGGGTGTGTGGTGTGACGCGGTATGGTGTGGGTGTGTCGTGTGGCGCGGTATGGTATGATGGTGTGGTGTGGCGCGGTATGGTATGATGGTGTGGTGTGACGCGGTATGGTGTGGGTGTGTGGTGTGGCGCGGTGTGGTGTGGCGAGGTATGGTGTGATTGTGTTTAGAATAAGGAAACGTAGGACTGTATGTTTTATTATATCGTCTTTTTTTAGAAAGACATCACACTTACAAATGAAATATTAGATACCTTATTGTTTTTAATGGTCAACTAATTACAGATCGTTCTTTTTGTTTTCATTATAATAGAAATAATTGTCGTAAGGTGATTTCAAACAATTAACCTTCAGTTTCTTTTAAGAAAAATACGTTAATCGATACTGCGATAAAAACATGTATACTTTGTTTTATCAAAGACATCATGTTTCAAACATGTGGTATTGCAAATATCGTATATGAAGGAAAACTTATTTTCGTTAATCAATTAGCGGAGCAATTACGATGTAAAATTTGTTTTTATGTTTCCAAACTATTGACGTTATAGCGTTTTTTTTTATTTCAAATTTACAGGTTGCAGCCAAAATATATGCCGAAGGTACCCACTTACTAAAGCATAAAGCAGAGGTAAGACGAGTTCTGATGCTTGCTCACTTTCAGTAAAAGAACACGCAGAGATAGCTCATCATGTACAACATCAAACTTATCATCCTCCGAAGATTCAAGCCATATGGTTCGATTCCACCATGGGATGGTCTGTGTTTCTAGGGAGACTATATTGTTCTTCACTGTTTTAGTTACCCTGTGGCACGACACTTTACCACTGTTTTAGTTACCCTGTGGCAAGACACTTAACCACTGTTTTAGTTACCCTGTGGCACTACACTTTACCACTGTTTTATTTACCCTGGGGCACGACACTTTACCACTGTTTTAGTTATCCTGTGGCACGACACTTTACCACTGTTTTAGTTACCCTGTGGCACGACACTTTACCACTGTTTTAGTTACCCTGTGGCACGACATTTGACCACTGTTTTAGTTACCCTGTGGCACGACACTTTACCACTGTTTTAGTTACCCTGTGGCACGACACTTTACCACTGTTTTAGTTACCCTGTGGCACGACACTTTACCACATTTTTTTTTCTGTTGGGCTGTCAATAGTTCCACAGTGAGATAGTCACTGACTAGTACAGGAAGGTTCCGCCTAAAATTGATCTTGACTGTTCAAAGTGGCGATTGCCAGACACGGCTGCTTGACATTGCTCTCATTTACATCGATCTTCGAAATTCGCTAATACCCTAAGATTAAATCGGTCTATATTTTATGTTGTAGGTATTTGACGCCATTGTTGTGTTGGTCTCCTTTACATTGGATATAATTTTCTCTTTCGTCAACGTAACTGATGCAGCTAGGGACGCCGCTGGTCTCATGGTTATCCTCCGTCTATGGCGAATCACAAGGATCATCAACGGTAAAATATACTGTTTATCATTATCGAATCAATGCAGTCATATAAAGGCCATATTGTGTTTGTATATAGATCACACCACAAGTATAGACTACTTATGTTTTTCCGGTATTTGTCACTGATTTTTATAGAACGCCGTCGGATAAAAATTTAGGTAATAGAGCGTTTCCATGGTAACAAATATTGCATTTAGGGAATGAAAGCAGCTGCCTGAATGTGAAGTTTTTAGAATGATGATTTTTACATCTTAATTCAAGCCCGAATATCTAGATACTGTTCACGAAAAGAAAATATCTCTCGAGAGAAATGAGTAATACAGATATTTCATGCTGGTAAAGGCAAATTGGTAAAATAGACAAAATAGTAACCAATATTGCTACATAATTTTCAGGGGTGATCATATCTGTTAAAATGGTTACCAATATCGCTACATAATTTTCAGGTGTGATCATATCTGTTAAAATGGACGCAGATAAGAAAATCGAAGAACAGAAAGCAGCGCGCAGCAGAGCAGAGGAAGAAGTAGAGAAGTTGAAAAACCAAGTGACATCGTTAGAGGTGAAATAACTTTATCATCATCATCATCATCATCATCATCATCATCATCATCATCATCATCATCATCATCATCATTACATAAACACTTCTTAAATCATTATGAAATGTAAATGGAGCAGGCTTAGTTTGTTTTATAGTCAGGATTAGGGTTAGGGTTCACGACACTCTCGATATAGCCAATAAGATCAAAGCTGTTAGGGTAAGGGTTCACGATGCTCTCGGTATAGCCAATAAGATCAAAGCTGTTAGGGTAAGGGTTCACGACGCTCTCGATATAGCCAATAAGATCAAAGCTGTTAGCGTTCACGACGCTCTCCGCATAGACAATAAGATCAAAGCTGTTAGGGTTCACGACACTCTCGATATAGCCAATAAGATCAAAGCTGTTAGGGTAACGGTTCACGATGCTCTCGGTATAGCCAATAAGATCAAAGCTGTTAGGGTTAGGGTTCACGATGCTCTCGGTATAGCCAATAAGATCAAAGCTATCAGGGTTAGGGTTCACGACACTCTCGGTATAGCCAATAAGATCAAAGCTGTTAGGGTTCACGTTACTCTCGATATAGCCAATAAGATAAAATCTGCTAGGGTTAGAGTTCATGATGCGCTCGATATAGCCAATAAGATCAAAGCTGTTAGGGTTCACGACACTCTCAGTATAGCCAATAAGATCAAAGCTGTTAGGGTTCACTACGCTCTCGATAAAGCCAATAAGATCAAAGCTGTTAGGGTAAGGGTTCACGACACTCTCGGTATAGCCAATAAGATCAAAGCTGTTAGGGTTAGGGTTCACGACACTCTCGGTATAGCCATTAAGATCAAAGCTGTTAGGGTTCACGACGCTCTCGTTATAGCTAATAAGATCAAAGCTGTTAGGGTTCACGACGCTCTCGGTATAGCCAATAAGATCAAGGCTGCTAGGGTTAGGGTTCACGACACTCTCGGTAGATCCAATAAGACCAAAGCTATCAGGGTTAGGGTTCCCGACGCTATCCGTATAGCCAATAAGATCAAAGCTGTTAGGGTTCACGACGCTCTCGATATAGCCAATAAGATCAAAGCTGTTAGGGTTCACGACGCTCTCCGCATAGACAATAAGATCAAAGCTGTTAGGGTTCACGACGCTTATGATATAGCCAATAAGATCAAAGCTGCTAGGTTTAGGGTTCACGACACTCTCGGTATAGCCAATAAGATCAAAGATGTTAGGGTTAGGGTTCACGACACTCTCGGTATAGCCAATAAGATCAAAGCTGTTAGGGTAAGGGTTCACGACACTCTCGATATAGCCAATAAGATCAAAGCTGTTAGGGTAAGGGTTCACGACACTCTCGGTATAGCCAATAAGATCAAAGCTATCAGGGTTAGGGTTCACGACACTCTCGATATAGCCAATAAGATCAAAGATGTTAGGGTTAGGGTTCACGACACTCTCGGTATAGCCAATAAGATCAAAGCTGTTAGGGTTCACGACGCTCTCGATATAGTCAATAAGATCAAAGCTGTTAGGGTTCACGACGCTCTCGATATAGCCAATAAGATCAAAGCTGTTAGGGTTCACGACACTCTCGGTATAGCCAATAAGATCAAAGCTGTCAGGGTAAGGGTTCACGATGCTCTCGGTATAGCCAATAAGATCAAAGCTGTCAGGGTTAGGGTTCACGATGCTCTCGGTATAGCCAATAAGATCAAAGCTGTTAGTGTTCACGACGCTCTCCGCATAGACAATAAGATCAAAGCTGTTAGGCTTCACGACACTCTCGATATAGCCAATAAGATCAAAGCTGCTAGGGTTAGGGTTCACGATGCACTTGGTATAGCCAATAAGATCAAAGCTATCAGGGTTAGGGTTCACGACACTCTCGGTATAGCCAATAAGATCAAAGCTGTTAGGGTAAGGGTTCACGACACTCTCGGTATAGCCAATAAGATCAAAGCTGTTAGGGTTCACGACGCTCTCGATATAGCCAATAAGATCAAAGCTGTTAGGGTTCACGACGCTCTCCGTATAGCCAATAAGATCAAAGCTGTTAGGGTTCACGACGCTCTCGATATAGCCAATAAGATCAAAGCTGTTACGTTTCACGACGCTCTCGGTAAAGCCAATAAGATCAAAGCTGTTAGGGTTAGGGTTCACGACACTCTCGGTATAGCCAATAAGATCAAAGCTGTTAGGGTAAGGGTTCACGACACTCTCGATATAGCCAATAAGATCAAAGCTGTCAGGGTTAGGGTTCACGTTGCTCTCGGTATAGCCAATCAGATCAAAGCTGTTAGGGTTAGGGTTCACGACACCCTCGGTATAGCCAATAAGATCAAAGCTGTTAGGGTTCACGACGCTCTCGATATAGCCAATAAGATCAAAGCTGTTAGTGTTCACGACGCTCTCCGCATAGACAATAAGATCAAAGCTGTTAGGGTTCACGACACTCTCGATATAACCAATAAGATCAAAGCTGTTAGGGTAAGGGTTCACGACACTCTCGGTATAGCCAATAAGATCAAAGCTGTTAGGGTTAGGGTTCACGATGCTCTTGGTATAGCCAATAAGATCAAAGCTGTTAGGGTTAGGGTTCACGACACTCTCGGTATAGCCAATAAGATCAAAGCTGTTAGGGTTCACGACACTCTCGATATAGCCAATAAGATCAAAGCTGTTAGGGTTCACGACGCTCTCCGTATAGCCAATAAGATCAAAGCTGTTAGGGTTCACGACGCTCTCGATATAGCCAATAAGATCAAAGCTGCTAGGGTTAGGGTTCACGATGCACTTGGTATAGCCAATAAGATCAGAGATGTCAGGGTTAGGGTTCACGATGCTCTCGGTATAGCCAATAAGATCAAAACTGTTAGCACTACCAGCATCTCTTTTTTAATAACACGTGATCCTTATCGAAAGTAATTGTCAGTAGATTGTCTACATGTGAATATCGATGTTTCTGTGAGTTGATACGACAAAAATGACATTTGTTAAGTTTAATTTAAACATATTTTATTGCAATATGATTAGGTACAAGCGTTTATAAAGCCCTTTCAGAATATATTACTACACACACATTATCTCTACAAGATGGCAGTATGGTACAATAACAAACAATTATAAACAAGTTGAGAGGGGGAAGGGGGAGGAAGGAGAGAGTAGGAGAGAGAGTAGGAGATAGAGAGAGAGAAGGAGAGAGTGAAAGAAGAGAGTGAGAGAAGAGAGAGAGAGAGAAAGGGGGGGTGCGAGAGAGGAGGGAGGGGAGGTGTTTAACATTGTATATATGTAGATCATGCATCTGCTCCTTTTCCACGTAAGCGACACAGATGATACACTGTCCACATGCCCCAAACGCACATCTTGTCAATATTCATCACTTCACGTGCTTTGTATACTTCCACCTTGCCACTCATTGCTCTCTCGAATATCCGTTTCCATTTGTTCGCTTACACAGAGAATCAACGGGTACATGGTGCATATATACAAATGTTTTCCCATTATAATAATTATATTAACTTTAGACGTTAACATCACATTTCTCTCATAAAAAATATCTTCAGATGAGTGAGGAAGAGCGGGACAGAGAAATTCAAAGACGTGCTTGTTAGAATCTGTTTGTTTCTTGGATATATTGCTGAATATGCAAAATATAGCTTGAGTTTCTTGTTAAAATGTATCATTAGCCATGCAAAAATAGTGTTCATCTAGTCACATAGATAAAGGTAGGGTTGTAAGACAAATAAATAAGAGTATGAATATTAGGTATATTTCGGTGTCAGCTATAATATGTATTCTATGCCATCTTTTTGATGAAATGCTCTTAAAATATATCGTTATGTAAACTTAAACAATTTAAATTTTCTGTAAAATAAATATATATATGATACAGGTAAATGGTAAATACAAATAATTAGTAGATAATTAAGAATGAACCTTGTCCATGAAAACAGTAATAGGTAAAAGATAAAAGTTGTATAACTGAACAATGATAACAGTATTGTCTCCCTTTGTACTAGTTATTGTAACCATGGTATATGGTTAAGTTAAAAATAAAACATTGTTGATTGTGGCAAAGCTTGTAAGCTAAGATATATATATCTATATCCCATCTGGTGTTATATCGATTTTTGGTGTATATACCAACATAGACTCATTAACATGTATGCTTTAATATCGTATCTCACACATAAATTCCTTAAAACATGTCTAACTTTGTATGGCAACAATATCCAATTTCACCCTATCAATTTTGTATTCAGTTGTAGCTACATAGGTGTACAATAAAATTTTCTTTTTAAATCAACAGAAAATCTATTAAAAACAAGCCACAAAGCGAGGCGTTATCCCCCGCACCCAACTGTTGATGTGAAACGCACATATAATATATGTACAGGTATAACAATTTGTGACGTCACTCACTGATGTACTGCTACCATTACCTGAAGATCTAATACAGTAAAAGCACTATTGCAAAATGTAACGTCTTCTTTTGTTAATTATCAATTAAATGTCCTTACGTCTCCTCAATTTCAACATATATCTTACATATAAACCTTATAGTAAGAGTTTATATCTTGAGGTAGATCCTGTGGGTTTAACTGTTGATATTTGAATATAACTTTGTATTGTCCATGAACAAATTTATGCAAAATTCTCTAAGCTCTGGGGTAATAGAAGAAGTCAAAAGAAATCGAAAAAATCGTTGGTAACAGAACAAAGATAAATGATAAAATGTCCTAAATAAAAAGGCAAAACTAGGGCACAAACTTAATATATACAGAAAGTTTAGTTGAGTTAGGTGGATTGGCTTCAAAGTTGTAGCCCGGCAAGGAAAGTTAACGGTAATTTTGTGTTTTTGACTATGGTAACAACAAAAATATCAAAAAAATATAAACAGCACAAGGCACAACTAGAGCACTAACCTATCATATACAGAAAGCTTTGTTGAGTTGAGCGTAGTTGTAACCTGGACAACAAAGTAAACACTTATTTTGTTTTATTTTTTTGTTTGAATTTTTCTTTTTCTTTTTTTGGTTTTTGGCCTTGTTCCATGGTAACACAAATCTTTACAAAATGACGTCAATAACAAAAGGAAAAACTACAGCACTAACCTAATATGTGCAGCAAGTTTTGTGAAGTTGAGTTAAAAGGTTTTGAAGTTATAGTCCGGAAAAGCCCTCGGACGGACGGGCGGACGGACCGTGCCCAAATTAATATCCCCCTCGAACGCGTTTCGCGGGGTATTATAAAAGACATGATGACCTTCAGGCTGTAGTCTGTTATAAAATAAATAACGTGGACGATTGAAATTATGTATTGATACAGAGATATTACTGTTTCTGAGACCTAGCAGAAATATCCAGTTGTTATTTTATGTGTTCACAGGCAGAACTTGAAAGACTACAGGAGCATCTAAGATTGCTGGAGGAGGGCAAATCAGGTCCGAAATTAGACGAAAATATCAACGAGTGAAAGATATGAGGCCAAAATGTTTGTAAATAGTTCAAACTTTTAAAACAGGAATGGAATCTGAGTAAACATTGGAATCTTTCTGGACAAAATGTAACCGTATCAATGGTATGGTGTTTTGTATTGTGACGTGCACCCTTATGGTAGCGTGCGTGCACGCCGGGCTCTTAATTTATACGGAGCTACCTGCTCCAGAGGCGATCGGGATACCTCGGCTACCTGGCCGAACAGTTGAACAAAATAACACAAACAATATATCAGTATACACTACAATAGGAGGGACAGTACCCCTGTCCTCCCTACACCGTCGCCTGGACGTAGATCACACCACAAGGCTACAACACACAACACTCAACAGCCTGCCAGCAGCGCAAATTGAATAAAATCATCACAGTATTAAAGGGAGCAGTAATATAATTTACGATATAAATAGAAAAGAAACATTTGTTTCATAAATGATTTTAACTTGGTGTGTGTAATGAGTAAAAATACGGAAGCGTGTAGGGGCCACACTCACACATAATGTACTATACTTTCCTGTAAAACTCTCCTTCACGGACATAATCGTCGCCATCTCGGGATAAACAAGGCTTCATTGTACAGATTACATATAACTGTTTGATAATATAATTAAAGTGCACTGGCCGGTACTGTAAGCTTATCATCTTAAAAAACCGAAACAAGTGGATATACAGGAATGTTGCCTGGTACAGTCAAAGTCCATAACCATTAGTGTTTTGTGTTGAGAAAACAAAATAAAATACAAAACAGGCACCAAACTGTGTTTCTAGCTATGTTCTCCTTTGTCATTTAACGTTATTAATCTCGATTTAATTGATGTTCGATCAAATAACGTTACTGTTACTTCCATGTGACTCCTAATGAAAAACATTTATTTGACTAAAACTCAGTCATATGAGATTACATCTATCTTATTACATGCACGAGTCCTGTTGATTTGCTATAAGTGTCTATTGTGGGGTAGGGTTTATTTACCAACTATATAGTTAAGAGTTCAACTAAGTATATTTTCTAATTAAGCCACAAATTTGTAGGTTGGACATGTTAATTTATCAGATACTGGCTGAATAGTGATATAAAAGTTTAAAATGTTTACAAAGTACCACATGTGATGTAAAAGTTTAAAATGTTTACAAAGTACCACAAGTGATGTAAAAGTTTAAAATGTTTACAAAGTACCACATGTGATGTAAAAGTTTAAAATGTTTACAAAGTACCAGAAAGAACATTTTATGTAAAAGTTTAAAATGTTTAGAAAGAACATTTTATGTAAAAGTCTTAAAATGTTACCTTACAAAGAACATTTTATGTAAACCCTCTCTAAAATGTTTAGAAAGAACATTGTATCACCCTCTCTAAAATATCATACCTTCAGAAAGAACATTTTATTTAGATTACCCTCTCTAAAATATCATACCTTCAGAAAGAACATTTTATTTAGATTACCCTCTCTAAAATATCATACCTTCAGAAAGAACATTTTATTTAGATTACCCTCTCTAAAATATCATACCTTCAGAAAGAACATTGTATTTTCATTGCTTCTGTATTTCTCTTGTAAAAAAAGTATATATATACTCATGTAAATATTAAGTGCTGTGTTTGTAACTTTGGAGGCCTTAATCGGTATGGATCCGGACCTACCACGTATATACCAGTATACGGGTATTTTCTGTCGCCCGGGGCGCACCACTCGTCACTCTGTGAGGTTTGAAACTATACGATAAGACTGATTAATGAAGGGCCAATACTCTGTTATAAACACCGGTAATACGCACGTGAATGCCATTTTGCAAAAACTACACAAGTTTTCTGTTTTGATTTCAATCCGTAATTTAAGCCAACCATTTTCAACAAACCGCATAAAATATGCGATCCTTCCGTACAATTGTACACTAGGTATTGTATAGTGTGTGTGTGTCCGCGGACGATATGCGCACGCAGGTTTTGGTGAGTTGTGCGTTAACACAACTATACCGACGACAGGATGACATTAACAAATCAAAGTACAGAAAGTACTGAGAGGCTAAACGTATTGAAAAATGTTCACAAATAACCTCTAAGCTATATTACTTTCCCCATACTCCTACACTTTGGAATGCAAAAATTACTAAAATAAGAGAACCAGAGGCTATTTTCTTAATTTTAAGCGATTTTATATCTTCTTTAATTCTTATTTCAAATTTGACGACAATAATGTGAACAAATCAAAGCAGATCTGCCGTCCAGAAAGATAGCTAAGTTTGTCAATACAATAGATTAATAGGATTAGTAAATATCACCGCTGATCACCGACTTACAGTTACAAATTATCAGTGTGCCTTCATAATTTACACCCAGTCTACAAGATGTTATTGATAAAATTAATCTTTCACCGATGTAGTCAGATTACTGACTTGTGTATCTTAAAATACACTGATATTGAAATCACATTTTGTAACATTTTGTTTGAAGGAATATTTTCATTTCAAGGAACTTTGATACACATTAACAAACATAGAGAAATCAGCACAATCAACCTTCATCAAATAAAACTAAAAGACAAAAAATATAAGTTATAACAAAGTCAACATCATGATCAGTACAGTATTAAAATATATATTATTCATAAATCATGAGCACTAATTGTACCTTGTCTACGAAGCGCAAACTTTTTATCAAACCAAGCCCTCAGACTAGCTTCTTATCATGGCGCCAACTCGCATGTACAGTGTTCTGTACGCTTACGTCATGTCGAGAAGGATTCATAAGCCGCCATACAGTAAATACACTGTAAATCAAGTTACGCAGTCACAATAAACTTTGAAGATACAAGAAACCAGTTTTTGCTTACTTACGGCAGAGACGTATCTCTGCTTACGGTTAATATGGTTGTTTTCTAGAAATATTCACAGCAGGCGATAAGAATCACGTCAGCTCGATCTTCTTCAACAGCAAAGGTCGGGGATGTCCGTGAGCAAATTCCGTTAAATATATTGTTCAAAATTTATCAATAGTTCAACCACACTGTGCTTCTTTTTTGAAATATATAGTAATCGTATTGTTATTTAAAAAATAAACTTATTGTGGATGCTTTTAAAATAGCGATTTAAAAGATAGCGGCATTATTTACGCAGAAAATTGCCGCTAGAGGGCTCTAACTCTTTTCGATATTTCAGCCAATGAGAAGGCCAGGATCGGTGAATTTTGTCTGAAAGGCCGTCGTAATAGGCTGTACGTACTGAGTACGTTTAGCCTAAAAAGATCTTTACCAATCAATAAAACAATTAAATTATAAATTCAATTGAAGTGCTCCGATGCCACGTTCTATATATAAGGACCATGCTTGATCAACGCGGCATCGCTATTTCCTTAATCCAAAATTAAGTTTAAGCCTTGATTCTGCCTGCTTTCATAGCAAAGTAAAGGATACCGATATAAGCTATACAAACATACCAGGGATAGAGCTGGTTAACACCCCTTTATCTGGTAGTACGAGAACAAGGTTAAATAAGTAAATACTACAAGCAAAGTGATTCAATCTTATGATTTTTTTTTCAACGCTTGATAAACCAAATTTTCATCAAATTTACATGTACGTTGTGTTCATGTAATATGCTTAGATAATTAATTTTTCTATGCTGTTGTTTCACCGCCAATTCTGTTGTTATATTCCGCATCCGTATAATGAACGAAATAACAAAAATTCTCAATTCATCAATGGAGCGCTGATTGATATCGGAAGCAATTAAAAAGGAAAAGTAGTCGTGGAGAATTCCTGGCATTCTTTCGGCATTCCTATCCAGGTCCCATACCCCTTGCGATGAAGAATTCCATAGGTATCTTCCTTGCTGCTCTGATATCTTGTAGATGCTTTTTTAGTTTCCCAATAATTGCCTTTGACCATGTGCAGTAATTGGAAATATTTACAGACCTTTTTGTAGTGTTGAAGAAGCTGTAGTTTACATAATCTTGATTTTGTCCTGAAATATCAGTGTCAAAAGTAGCACATCACTTCAAATGTAGCCTTTGTTTCATCTTATAAAGAACAACACGACAATATCGACACAAGTTAGATATTTACTTAATGAAGAAAAGTAAAGTGAACATATTGTGCGTATAGAATACTAGAGAAATAAAAGTCGGACTCCGATGTCAATTATTTACATCTATTTGTTTTGATTGTGTTGGTCATTCCTATAAAAAGTTTAATTGGAGTCTTCTGATTCCGATGTCAATGTTTTACATCTATTTGTTTTGATTGTGAAGTGAGTAGTGAGTATTTCTACTGCTTTATGACAAGAACAAACTTAAAACAACAGGTTATATAAATATCAAATGCGGAATTTCGAAATAAAAGCCAAAAATATCTTACTTTGTTCCACTATATCCACCGCTGTGTGTTAGACCTGTGTTGCCGTTCGTCATTTCTGGTATAATATCCGAGATGTTCCAGTTGATACTATAAGGAGTACATATCTTGATGCTTTGTCTAGGGTGATCCTTGCGAGATACAACACCAAGCAAGGGATGATTGACTTTGTAACCATCTCGAAATGTTACGTTGTCATTCTCTAGTCTGCAGCACATCGCTCGCGCCATGTGTCCGTGATTGTAGAAAGTTCCTTTCAACCACAAGGAAATACATAGTTAAAGAATATATAACATTCATTCTTAAGATAAGAAACTACATAAAGGGAATGTACAGTCTTATCATATAACATCTATGGGAAATTTGTTTTGTGTGATATTAATCAATATTGTGACCATTCGATGTAAACTAAAACTCCAAAGGAACTCCTATTTTATAAGACAATACCAAATTACAGAATAAATACTTAGCAGTCCATTTCAATGAAGACATGTTGTACATAATGACCAAAGGATAATATCGAGAATGAAAAACATATTGTCCTCTAGTCCTCATGATTATATCTTAAAATAAATGATAAGAGAGGACAATCGGGAATATGCACTGGAAAACATTCTGCTATCCAGAAAATGAAGGAAATCTCAGTTGTCGAAGAAATGAGCATTTTTTCGTATGTGTGTATGTGTATGTGTGTGTGTGTTTTTTTTCGGCGTTAACAGTCATGTTAATGAGGTATCTCTACCTATTGTAATGGAGCTGAAGTATACAGGCTTCATTAGACTGGCCAGTAGTGCCCCCTGCATTCCCAACATGTTCCACTTGCAAATCTTGTCACTGCAGGACATGACGAGCAGTCCCTCTCTGCCTCTCACTGCATCCATGGCCTGGCAATGGTGACTCACGTGCATCTTATTGGTCGGAATCTGTTCACCTTCAAGAAAAGGCAATTGTCTCTCATATCAACTTATGTGAAATAATTTTTTCGTAACAGGACCAAAAGCAGTTATAATTTTATAGCACAATATCCTAAATATTGCAATATACCAATCAACATCAGGGTAAAAATCAGATAAAATAAAAACTTTTTACAATTGTTCCTATTGTCTTAATTAGGATGTCTTTAACTAGAAATAAGAATATCAGCATTCAATAAAAGTCTTAATTTGATTTTTTGTACTGATGTCATTTTATATAAAAAAGAGTTTTACAATTGTTAGATAATGTAAAGACATTTAATACAATGACGATGTTTGTCAACATGAAACAATAATACAGAATGCTGTGTATTAGTCGGACCAGAATTTTTGTTAATAGGATTTTAGTATTCAAAGTCGTAAATTTGTCCCTCCACATTCACATAAAATGTATTTCGACAGTGAGGCAGTAAGGATGTGTTTGAGTGAGTTACCTTTCGTCCTCAGTCGCCCTTGTTTCTTACCGACAAATGACGGATTATGCTTTTTTACATACAAACTGTCCGGCTCTTCTTCTGATTGGCCTGTACTGAATGTGCATGCATATATTATGAGGCAAATTCTTATTTGAGATACAAGTCAAATGATATTTTCACTATTCACTGTAAAGGCTATATTCATATAAACACAAAAATGTAAAGTTTATGAGACCCAGCAAATGATTTAAAATATGAAGAAAACAAACGTCAGACGAAAATGATATGATTCGCATGTAATTACCTGCAGGTAAAAACTGCCCCATCACCACATGGCGCGGTTGATATGTACAGGTGAAACTTGATATCTGGAACTACTTCTACCTTCCCCGCCTCATGTCGTTGGAGGACATAAGACTTTTCCCCTCTACTGAGTTTTGATAATTGGTCATAAAGAAACCTGTAAGTGTAAGTTTTGTAATTCAATAAAGCTATACAATAATATAATAGTAGATAGTAGCGAGCAGGCCCGGGCTTTTCTTACTTACCCGGGCTACTAAGGTATTACACCACCGTTAGGTCTGTTCTATACGTTTTTTTACTTACCCGGGCTACTAAGGTATTACACCACCGTTAGGTCTGTTCTACACGTTTTTTTACTTACCCGGGCTACTAAGGTATTACACCACCGTTAAGTCTGTTCTACACGTTTTTTTACTTACCCGGGCTACTAAGGTATTACACTGTTCTACACGTTTTTTTACTTACCCGGGCTACTAAGTTATTACAACACGATTAGGTCTGTTCTACACGTTTTTTTACTTACCCGGGCTACTAAGGTATTACAACACCGTTAAGTCTGTTCTACACGTTTTTTTACTTACCCGGGCTACTAAGGTATTACAACACCGTTAAGTCTGTTCTACACGTTTTTTTACTTACCCGGGCTACTAAGTTATTACACCACCGCTAGGTCTGTTCTACACGTTTTTTTACTTACCCGGGCTACTAAGTTATTACAACACGATTAGGTCTGTTCTACACGTTTTTTTACTTACCCGGGCTACTAAGTTATTACAACACGATTAGGTCTGTTCTACACGTTTTTTTACTTACCCGGGCTACTAAGGTATTACACTGTTCTACACGTTTTTTTACTTACCCGGGCTACTAAGGTATTACACTGTTCTACACGTTTTTTTACTTACCCGGGCTACTAAGTTATTACAACACGATTAGGTCTGTTTTACACTTTTTTTACTCACCCGGGCTACTAAGGTATTACAACACCGCTAGGTCTGTTCTATACGTTTTTTTACTTACCCGGGCTACTAATGTATTACACTGTTCTACACGTTTTTTTACTTACCCGGGCTACTAAGGTATTACAACACCGTTAGGTCTGTTCTACACGTTTTTTTACTTACCCGGGCTACTAAGGTATTACACTGTTCTACACGTTTTTTTACTTACCCGGGCTACTAAGGTTCTACACGTTTTTTACTTACCCTGGCTACTAAGTTATTACAACACGATTTTTTTTTACTTACCCGGGCTACTAACCCGGGCTACTAACTGGTATTACAACACGATTAGGTCTGTTCTACACGTTTTTTTTACTTACCCGGGCTACTAAGGTATTACAACACGATTAGGTCTGTTCTACACGTTTTTTTTACTTACCCGGGCTACTAAGGTATTACAACACGATTAGGTCTGTTCTACACGTTTTTTTTACTTACCCGGGCTACTAAGTTATTACAACACGATTAGGTCTGTTCTACACGTTTTTTTTACTTACCCGGGCTACTAAGGTATTACAACACGATTAGGTCTGTTCTACACGGTTTTTTACTTACCCGGGCTACTACGTTATTACACTATTCTATACGTAAAAGAAAGACATCATTAGAATTGTTAATGTTCGAACTGATTGAAAGTGGAGCAAATAATCGAAATTCATACAAAGGATAACAAGGAAAACAGGATGATAAAAACTAGCGAATCGCACTAGTAGAGTGAGGTAAATGATGGGGAATTGATAAGAACAACTGGCCACCTGAAGAAATACAACTTGATAAGTTAAAACTAATATGGTTTGACAACAAGACTTCAACTTTTGGATACGTCAATTATGGAGGATAAATCAAACACCTGAGATTGTTAGGTGTGTTTAAAGAAAGAGTAATCGTCTATGAAAATGTATCCAAATAGACAAAAGATTGTAATACCACCGTCAACATTTCGAGATTGAACTATTACAAGATGGAAGTTTACAGATGATGTTAATTTTATTCTAAGTGACAAATAAGAAAGCGGTTTTTTTTAGCTTACAAAATACTAGTTTAAATGGAAATGTAAGCATTGGATTTATACTTATATTTATCAAAATACTGATGTCGGTAAATTACAGAACAACGGGAATTAACAGAAGATTGATATGGTGCCCCGTGTCATCAACATGCTTAAGGTATATAATCCGACATTTCAGTTATTTTCATATAAAAGTAAGATTATACGTATATACGAAATTTATTTAAATATGGGACATGTGCATCTCCTCAGGTTGACTTTTACATTTTTGCTTTTGATCACTTCTGATTTTCCAAAATCGCCTTCTGGGCTTCATGATTTTGACCATTAGCAACATTGACGATTCAAACAAGAAACAACAACACAATACCACAACCTTAACAAAATCATAAACAATGGCAAAATGTATACAAAAGAAAGATTTACACAGAGACCCTTGAAAAATTACATGGAGAATAAGACCAAATGTTCCGGAAGAGTAAGCGTCTCTGCACCATCGCTTACAATCGCCATGTAAACATTGTCCAATCCAAGAAAGTAATGTCGTGTTCTCAAGTGAGAACAAGGTGTAAAATTTCAATGTCCCAATTGTGGGTCCTTGATATGAAGCGCTTATTAGACCACATCTGGAAGAGAAGGACCTATTGCACAAATATACACTTCGACATTAGCTGGGGATCATAAATGGCAGTATGAAAATTATAATAGAAATAGTTCCTTTTGAAAAAATAAACCTTGTCGTAATCCTTGCGGAATCTCTTTTTGTTTATCGAACGATGTGATACCAAGCGATACACTTAACGATACGATTGGTTAATGAGTTCTTGATTGAAAGTTTGCGTTGCCACCTTAAGCAGCGTTTGGAGGTCTATTTCTAGTAAACCATAATGCTTACGAGAATCACTGGTCTGTCAGTCAGCGAAAGAGTACAGAAAAAGAGGACAGACTTCTGAGTAGACACACGTAAGGTTCTACATTCACCACTTCCACACATTCAGCAATGCCTACAGGCTCAGGGAACAGTGGAACATCAACGTTCAACTGACAATTGAACAATAGGCGACATTGCTTCCGTCGACCAGTTAACGTCCTCTGTCGACTTGAAGGCGCAAACAAGCGAGATCGCAATGGGTACCTGATCGCCGGACATAGAAAATATCAGGTCTTAGCGAAGAGTCCACTGGTCTGTTTTTAACTTATTCCGACAAATAACAAGGTCCATATTTTGAGACCAAGAAATACGGTATAATATATGAATCACATTCTGGGCACAACAGCACTGTTTTGGGATGCTTGTCTCTAATCTGTAAGCTTCGCCTGTTTAAATGGGCATACCGTGATCAGATCCTTCGACCTGCACTTGCCCAGCTTGTGATGCCCATCTATTGGGAGATTATAAGACTCTTTCATATGCGTGTATGTAGGATAGAGATATTCCACCCGAGGGTCACAAAATATGGTGAAACCCGAGGCTCTGCCGGAGTTACAAAATATGGTAAAACCCGAGGCAGAGCCTCGGGTTTCACCATATTTTGTGACCCTCGGGTGGAATATCTCTATCCTACATACACGCATATGAAAGAGTCTTTTTCTCTCATATCTTTACCAAAATTTTGGGAAAAGGACAGTCTGCCGGCCATTATCTTCATTTTTTTCATTTTTTTCATCCGAGGTTTTATAAAAAACGAACTGGATATTCTTAACGATCCTACCCATGTCAAATTTCAAACCATTTTTCTGTATATTGTAGGATGAATATATTATTCGTAGATGAAAAAAAAAAAAAAAAAATGATCTCTGTGTGATTATATAGTATGTGTAAGTAAACATCCGCGAAAAGAAATTGTTCCGTCAAATACTTCAAAGAAATAAACATGGAACGGTTTTTTATAATTCAACATTTGATCATTTTAAGAAATATATCAATGTATCTTTTTACTGTTTTTACATTTTTTCAAAATACTGTGACTCTGACGTAACATCACAATAGTCAAAGGAATACCATTCATAAATTCAAGGCGTGACGTCACACGATCTCCGATTCCGAGACGCTGTCGCTCTCGATCACCATGATTCGACGACGTTTGGGTGGTGGAACATTTGTGGTGATATTTACGGTGATTTGGCAATTTTCAATGTGAGAACCAACAAACAAGGATTCGATACGAGTTTCAGATTGTTTCTGTGATACAGGATTGTAGGTGTTAACCGTATTTTCTTGTTGTGATGACGATGGTAAGCACACTGTGACATCAGATGTTGGCCTAGTAACTGTTGAATTTGATGAAATGGTGGCAGAGGATGGTGTTCGGTTTGATGGAATTTATTCGGAGTTTTTTTGTGTTTGACAACATATTGGAAAACATGTATTTCTGTCTGTCATTCAGTGCTCTGTAATTATTCAGCGACTGTGTGACATAAACCTGCAATGTATCGGGTACATGGTTGTCGGTCATTTTTTGTACAAGGGATTTTCGGACGCTGTAAGAATTGTCTCCCCTGAACACAGATTACTCCGCGCACGTGTTTGCCCATGTAAGATAGAATTTTCTTACATAGCTATCTTACATGGGCAAACTCTATCCAATATGGCGGGATATGAGAGAAAAGTATATGCTAATGGATGACCATGCTAAAGCGAGTCCGACATGTGCATGACTATTTTCAACAAAAATTGAAAGAGACTCTCCCATAGCCTGCAACTCACCAAACATGAACCGATTTGAGCATTTGGGTGTATATCTAGTTTCTGCTTCTGGTTAATGGTTACCAGAAGTGTGGTGGCTTTTTCAGTTATTGATCATTGTCTTACCAAATAGAACTTGTTGATTAGTCATAAGTAAATACCTGGACTGCCTTATCATGAGACGTTATGCAGTAACGTAAATTTCTAACGAACTGTGTTTAAAGTTGTTCTGAATACCACCTTCTCATTCCTCGTGACGCTAAGATCTCAGCGTGCGAATCCATCAGCGCTTGTCCGTCTGTTCTCAGGTTTCCTTTTCTGATAGAGCGGTTCCCTTCAAAACAAATTAAATTGCGATGCATATCGTGAGACGGCCAAACTGATTAAATACCCGGATCATTCTCGATGAATCATATAAAACTACCGCTAGAGAATTTCAGACGAAAAATGAACGAAATGCCTTTCCATATCTACAGTATCTACATGATGTTTTCTAATCGTATGTTTACCCTTGTAATTACGTAATCACCAGACCAGTTTAAAAACATAACAATGATAATGATAGTCAGTACATTCGTGAGTAATGCAGGTTCTAACTGAACAAAAGTTTCAGCATAAGAATTCCAAACACTGTCAGAAATACAAGAATATAAATGTCTATTACGTGATTTATCAAAGAATGAAACTTAGTATGATGCTACCTACATTTAGCAGTCCTTTTCAGATACCAGTTGCATACAATATTTATCCTTTAATAACTAAATGTGACGCTTTTCAACGGAGAGAAAATTAATTTGTTTTGGAATGTGAAATTAAATAAAAAGACTTGTATTCTAAATCTTATCTAGAAAATAAAGCTACATATACCTGTATCCTGATAATCGGGACCTATGTCTATGATAAATTTTCAACAACCTGACAAAGACACTAATCTGAAACTTGTTTTTCATATAAGTTGCCTTTTGCAATGGATCGAAAACAGATGTCATGGTATTTTATGATCATAAATCTGTTACCCCTAAACATTTCCGGTCTTCTGAGTAGATTGTTTGAAGCGACGTCATTTTAAGTATCAATGTATTCTTCTACTTTTAATAGGTGATGTAACGATGGAAATAAAAAGAAGAAAAAACATGTCAGCTTGTTGTAAGTTACAATCAATCCCCAAAAATGATTTAGGAGTTTAAACAAGGCTCCATGGTATTATCGTACACCCTATCATCTCGTAGGCTCATTCATTAAAAAGGTCTGACAAGCTTTCATTACGATCTATTATAAGAACATTATAATAATAGTAATTCTGGACGCAGGCTTTTAAAGCCTATATATATCCAGATCTGAGTTATCAAGTTTCCCGAAGAAGAATAAGTTTGTTTTTGTCTATTTCATGATTGTAAATGCAATCGGAATTACTCCAATGTATATCCAATCGGAATTCAAATGTTTTGACTGTTGGTGACGTGACAACGACATCAGGAAGGGAGTTCCGGAAGTTAACCATCCGCTCACTGAAGGAGTACTTTCTCAAATTCAGTCTGCTTCTCCTTTTTAATAAAGAAAGACTGTGTCCTCGTGTTATTTTGTTAATGTTCGGGACCAGTTAACCCTCAGAGACAGCACTATCATATCCTCAATTGTTAGCTTGTATACTTGGATCATGTCTCCTCTCAATCTTCTGTGCCTCAATGATGGTAATTTAAGGATCCTCAGTCTGTTTTCATAGCTTAGGTCTTTCATTCTCGGTATTTGTTTCGTTGCTCTCCTTTGTACATTTTCCAACTCATTTATATCTTTTTGCATACAGGGATTCCATACACAGGCCCCATATTCCAGGTGCAGACGTAAAAGCGCTTTATATAATAAACAAAATGTTTTGTTGTCTAAATATGTGTACGTTCTTCGGATAGTTCCCATTATTCTATTTGCTTTGTTGACTGTAAAACAGTTGACCTTCCGTTGACGAAGCCGTATTGGTGCTTACTTAACAAATCATTATTTTCTAGATGGGTCATTATTCTTGCCCTGACGATTTTCTCCAATGCTTTACTTAGTACACTTGTTAAACTAACTGGCCTGTAGTTTCCTGGTGCCTTCGTATCCCCCTTTTTGTGTATGGCAGTTATCTGACCCTCCTTCCAGCTTTCGGGAAGTTCTCCAGATCTTAGAGAAGAGTTAAAGATATCACATAAGGGTGTTTTTAGTATATCAGCGGTTTCTTTAAGTACTTTGGATGAATATTTTGTTGGGTTCAATTATTTTAAAATGTTATATACTTGCAGTTCTGATATTTCAGTTTTGACGCACGGAATGTTTACGGTAAAATTGTTCAGAACTGGGATGTGGCCTTGCGGTTCAACAGTAAATTCACTCGAGAAAAAATCTGCCAATGCATTCGCCTTCTCCTTATCATTTTGAGCAACAACGGTTTCGTTTCCACGCTTGATGTGCAGATCCGGAATTCCAGATCTCGTTTTTGTTTTGGAGCTTGTATATCTTCAAAACTTCTTTGGATTTGTTTTTACTGTCTGTGCAATCTCCTGCTCCAAAATTCTTTTACATTTCCTTACTAAAGCCTTTACTTTATTTCTAACGCGGACATATTCTCTGTATTTCACACTTTCTCTTGTTTCAATGTATCTCTGCCAGCTCCTGTGTTTCCGTTTAATCGCCTTTACAGTTTGGTCATCTAGAGGATACTGTCTTTTGTTTGGTTCTCCAATGCGTCTAGGTATATGAAAAATCGCAAAAATATAGTACCGTGATCACATTTACCTAGTCCGATTCGTATTTCAATATTACTTATCATATCTTGTTCGTTTGAAAACAACAAATCTAAAATACTAGTCTCGTTATTCGCCCTTATTCTGGTTGGATTTTTGATATGCTGAAACAAATACAAAGTCTTTCACCGCTTCTAGAAATTTATATTCGTTATCCATTGGTGCCAGTCTATATTTTTAAAATTGAAGTCCCCCATTATTAATAAATGGGATGTTTTTATTTCCCCTACATTGCTAAGAAGCGTACATAAATTAATATTATTTTCATCTGCGCTGTTAGGACTCCTGTAGAGACATCCGATTATTAAGGCATTTCCTTTATCCAAATTGATTTTTATCCACAACTGCTCGTCAAACTTTCTCATAACTGATATTTCCGTAGGTCTTAGATTTTGTGCCGTGTATATGACGATTCCTCTCGAACCTTGGTCTTGTTTTATTTCCACTTCTATACATAATTCAGACTTGTTTATTTGGTACCTAGAGTTTTTAGGGAAAGCCTCGACTATTCCAACAATATCCAACCTCTCCTGTTTAATGATAGCTTTTAGTCCTTCAGTTTTGTTTGTAAGTGTGTCCGCGATTGTAAACATACATCGGAGTTTATCGGCGCGTTTTATTCAGCATTTTTCACTGCCAGCCGTACGATCTTCCTGTTCCACGGCGGACCCCGTACCCGGTGTACGTATTCCCCCGTACGATCTTCCTGTTCCACGGCGGACCCCGTACCCGGTGTACGTATTCCCCAGACTCGTTCCTTTCTCTTGATTTTGCCTCCTCTCTTAAGGTAGTTTCATCTTCCCGTTCCTTTTTAGTAAGATCGTTGCTGATCCAGATGCTGCTATATTTCTCATTGCCCTTAAGAGCAGATATATTCCTAAACAGAATTTTCTTTTTCTCTGGTGATGAAAAAGAAACCAAGATTGGCCTAAATTTGTTCTTGGATTTATCGTACTTGCCAAGTCTTATTACTTTTGCAACATTGTCCTCATATTTAACTTTGCATGTCTCTAACATCTCCCGTATTTCCTTCTCATCTGCCATTTTCCTTGCCTTTCCATCGGTATCGTTCTGTTCCTTTATGCCGAATACAACAATGTTAGATTCCCTTGTTTTCCTCTCGTTGAGTTCTGAGATCACATCTTGCTGTGTATCTTTATCAGCAGTATTGTGCTTGGCATGCACAGATTTTCCATCCGCTTCTTTCTTACCTCTTGTATGATGATTTCCTTAACCTGTTCCTCCTTACACTTGCTCTGTATAAGTTTCTCCAGAGATTTGATTCTTTCCTCGAACATCTCCGTGCACATTTTTGCTCGATTTGTATATCCGTTTGGAAATTCTTCTCCACGGTCGTAAGACAAGGAGGACAAAACCACATAGAGTCTGCTGATTTTGTAAATACGGCGTGCTTATTTTCATCCTTATTTACACATTTATTGCAGTATTGAAGGCTACATCTACGACACTTCAACGCTTTTGTTTTCGAGTCCGGTATAACTGAGCAAACCCTGCAGCAATCTCCATCCCACGGAAGAGAGAATGGGTTTCCGGTGGCCGCTTTAGCTCCAGTCCTGCTAGAGGATCTTGTCGCGCGGGCCGCTGTGTCCTTATCCTGTTGTTTGTTTACGTCGCCATGTTTGCCGGCTAGTTGCGGCATGTTGATTTCGGCGTGTGTTGGCAATTTCATTGCTTCGAATCTAGTGAAATTTTAACCGTTGGTCGGTAGTGCCTATTGGCACGTCCCTGCCAATTTTGACTGGAATCTGTCCTTGTTTAAAGCGTTACTTTTTAATATTATACTCAGTGCCAAGCGGAGCTCGAGACAATCACGTCCGTTGCCATTGATGACGTCACAAAATCATATAGAAGAAACTAATCTATGTTTAGTATAACATTTTTCATTGTGAAATAGACAAGTTTATCTATCAAAACCAAGCATTCTGCAAACCGGAAGTATGATGAGATAACAAAGTATTTCCGGGTATAGAAATTAATCACGAAAACGATTCCGGATATGGCTCACTTGAAAAGCCATCATTGCTTCACCATAAAGCCATGAACATGAAGGAACAAGTTTTATCATTCTGAGATAGTTAATTACACGCAGAATACATATGAATTGGTGATGTTGTCCCAAATAATGCCAGTAAATTTTTGTCCGAACATAGCACTTGTCATAAACAAGAGATTTATACACGAAAGTATACGTGTAATTGTGTAAAGTATTTATTTAACATTCGAACGATATGATTCAATTAAATGGATTGAATATTGAAATAACAAATAATATACAATGGTCTGGGATACATACCAGAAGCTAGGCTGATGATTTCAAAAGTCCTGGTAATTGTAGATTCCATGACAATGCCTGCTATCACTACAGGGCCGTCAAGGTTTACGGATATGTCGGCTATTAAACTGTCAAACTTCTCATGACAAAGCTTTGCCATTTTATCATGGAACGTCAGTGACCCGCTTATCATGCACTACAATAAAAGCAAGTATAGATGTCTCATATGCTGCCACAGAATTGCCTCCCTTTAAATCTGTCATGCCGGCAGTAGGGATTATATATTTTATAATACAGATGCTGCTACATTTGAGATACAATCTGTTTCAAAGCAATTATTATTTCTCTTGCTGTTTCATATTCTTGTTTTTTTATGATGTACTTTTTCGGTGTATTTCAGCTTTTGGCACTGTGACAATGGTGACGGATGCTATTCTTTGATCAAGACATACTCCATCTTTAACGTCGTGTATTGTGTAAGTATAACGACTGTTTTGTCGTTTGTCAGTGACAAGGTGGGGTGTCCTGCATTTGGTTCAGTTTTTACAGCTCGATGTGGTAGCACTACACAGGCTTACATGAACATATTCCAGCCTTCCGAAAGCGCACGCACTGACATTGTGACCATAAATATAAATAGTTTCTTAAGATCAATGTCAGTGTTCGAAGATTACTCTCGGCACGCAGATAACAAACATTAAACATAAAGTAAGCCATTAAATGATGAAACTATAAAACTATCAGTAATACAATTATCAATGAAAGAATACCGTCGAAAACCTTGATCCACAGCCGAAAAGTTTGTTCCGTTCTAACTCCTTCCATGCTTTTCGAGACGCTTCTTGTTTTGCCTCATTGATCGAAATGCCCGATGCCCATTCAAAGTGCATATTTGCTAGCACTGCACGGACAGCAAAGCTACCAATATACAAAACAAATAATTTACATGAAGGGCGTTTCCGGTGATATGAACACATGCCGGATCGCCTTTACTTACTCGCTGTATTTCCCGTATAAATATTTCTTTTGATCTTATTTTTGCCTTATTTTCATCAAATTTGGTTTTCAATTATAATTGTGTTGACATGTCGATATTTATTTTTGTTGTTGTAGTTTTTTTCCAATAAATGCAATACTTGAATTACATCTTGGGAATAATATGCTTAATTTTGATACATATACATGTAATTAGCTCATGAATTTTGGTTTTAACATGAGACAGTTTTATATAACGTGAGTCTAAATGTGTTGTAATTTTTGGAATCAACAAAAAAATTGTTCCCAGCGGTCTTTCATACCATCTTAACCAATCAAAACGCGCCTTTCAACTATTGCTGATGTAGAATTTCGGCCTATATTCCACTTCAGTAGTCGACAGATTCGGGTGAGGATGTAGGTCGAGGCAAATGAAAAGGCTTTAAACATTTCTCTTTTTGGATAATATGTTTAAATTATTGTTTTATTAATTCCGTGCGTACATACCCAGAATTTGTCATGTCTAGCTATGAATAGTAAATATATCTCTTTACTAGCAAAGACCGAGAAAGTAACGGATATCTTTGAGATGCATCACTGTACTTTCCGATTTACATATTTGATGACATATTTGAGCTTTTCGTAATAATTTGATGTCGATCATTTCCTTCAACATTACAATTTACCGTCATCTTCGGGCTTAGCGTCAGACTTTAGGCTTGTATCGAGAATTTAAGCATAGCAATTATACGTAATTGATATAACCATTATTTAACATAAAACAATTGCTATGAACTCATGTATCAAAAGACACATTTTGTAATGTTTTTAACTTACATGCTTTCATGATCTGTTCCAGCTACAGAAAATAGTAGTTGTAAACCTCTTTCCTGTGCAAAGTTGTTCAGAATACCGATTGGGCTGGCCCTATCAGCACGTACAGTAGCACTCATTGCCATCAATGCTAACGAAGGTAAGGGCTATACAAGTCCAAATATTGTATCTCAGTAGCTCCCTCTCCAGGTTCCTGTTAATGTCCATAAAACACGAACATATATATACAAGGATTGGTCAGATGATATTATCCTATTCAGTACAAATATCATTTTAAGTATATTCAGGGCAAATATTTTTTTTTTTTTAATTTTTTATTTTCTTTAAAACAAATGCACATCCCCATCCCCTCAAGTTTTTTTATAGACTTTTGAAAAAGGAATAAAATCTTCAGCGAGTGTTATTTGTAACCTTTGACAAATAATAATGAAAGGGATACCATATACAACAAGTATGAATGTGTATGACCTGTTTCTACCACCAGCTATTCCGACCTGTAATGCACCAACATATATTTTGTACACGAAATCAGTGTGGGTGCATTTCTTTTACCTAAAGCGAAAATTAAAGTTTTATGCAGAAATATTGCTATAAACGTGTAGTACAAACGTTTGTTTATACAACTTCTTAGAAATTGAAAAACGTCCATCTATAATTGTAGAAACCTTCATAATTGATATTCCACACATAAAGACAATATAACAAGGTTAACAACTGCCAAATATATACTACTACATGTATTTGAGATTTTAATGACCGAGAGGTTACCCTGTCCACAATAGGCACAACAAGTACAAACAGTCAATATTCTATTCTGACTGGGTATGGTTACAGTTCTGAGCAGCTTTTTACAAAAAAAACTTACGATTTTGTTCCGTTTCACGAAAAAAATTATCGTAACTTTACGAGTGCTTGACCCCTATCGTAAGTTTCATCGTAAGTGTAAAACTTTGTCGTAAGTGTAAAACTTTGTCGTAAGTGTAAAACTTTGAAAAATTGTCGTAAGAAAAGCAAACAAACATGGCTGCGGCATTAGTATTATTATTTGAGAATGACAGAGCGATGCGACGAGAGAGAGTTTTTCGCGATAGGTTGAACATTCTAGGTACTCTTACTGACGGCGAATTGATAGCAAGGTATCGATTTCCGAGGACAAGTATCCTGGATTCTGTTTGTTCAGCTTTTTGTTATAAACTTGACAACATCAAATGATGATCTGAACAGAGTCAAAGATGGATTTTATAAAATAACCAGCTTCCCTAATGTTGTGGGGTCCATTGATGGTACGCTGATACCTATCCAAGGAATGTCTGGGGAAGAAGAACCAAACTTCATCTGCCGTAAAGGATTCCCAGCTATCAATGTGCAGGGAGTTGTGAATGCCAATCTTCGGTAAGTTGTTTTTTGGTCACCTGAGATGAAATCACCTTATGTCCAGTGTCCGACTGTTGTGCATCATAAACTTTCTACATTTTACACTTCTTCTCAAAAAACATTGCACCAATTTTGATTAAATATTACAAAAACCTTCCTTAGGCAAAGGTCCACCAAAATTGGGAATTATATGCTCCTCATCCCACAGATATTCAGTAGTGGGGACTAAAGGGGTAAAGTTTGACCATACATGAATCTAATTTAGTAATACACTGTGTTAAATTTAGTACTTTTTTACAGTTTTACCAACATTGTGGTTAGGTGGCCTTTAGCAACCCATGACGCTTTCATTTTATCAAACTCTGGTCTACCAAATATAATGGAAAACATGAATGGTTGGCTCTTGGGAGACTCAGGGTATTCTTTAAAAAGATGGTTGTTGACTCCATTTGGTGCCCCAGGGAATCCACAGGAAGAGAGATACAACAAAGCTCACTGCTCTACTAGGAACACTATGGAGAGAGCCTTTGGAGTGCTTAAGAGCAGGTTCAGGTATATTCAGGATAAGAAATACAATTCTATGGAATAAATTATGCAAAAAAATAATGGTTAAGTGTCAGGGAGCTAATGTCGTGGTGCGGCATCTGTCCAACTTTTCCATTCAAATGATTTCTTCTCAATCACCTAAAGATATTGGGTGTGTGTTACAGTAAGCATTATAAAGGTTTACCAAGTTTGCTCAAATGAATGACCTTCGCCCACTTTCAAGGTCACATAGGTCAAATATGTATGAAATCTTAAAAACTTTGATAACAGAGTGAAGTTTATCCAGTACATTCAAGTTACTCTACACTCTTAACAAAAATGTTTCCTTTTGAGCTTACCGTAATTAAAAGTGCAGATGAGCGATACAGACCCATTGAGCCTCTTTTCCTTTGTGTCCTTTATTGCTTTGAAGAATGTTCAGCTGTACAATGACTTTAAACTTCTTTAAAGCAAGATAGCATTAAATGATTCACCAGAAGTCATACTTTTCATACCCGTATGAAATTGATATTTTTTTTACAGGAGGATGCCTGCAATTTAAGCCAGCAAAGAGCATCAGGATCATTGAGTGCTGCTTTAGACTGCACAATAAAGCCATCAACGAAAGAATCCATTTGGGTGCAGATGAGCCAGTAGTACACCTGTACAACAACAACATTGCATACCAAAGAAGGGAAAATGATGGGTTAACAACACGACAAAGACTTCTTCAGAGATTTTGAAGAATATCTGCCAAAGTTGAAAGTCAAAGTTTAAAACAAATGATTTTTTTGTTTGTGTTTTTATTTTATTATCAGTTGATACTCCTATTAAATTGGATAGCCATATAAAACAAGAGCTGTTGCACAATGGAGAATAACTCCATCAAAAAGGGATGAATCTGAATGTGAAGTTACAGATTTCTCTGCTGATGATAACCCAACCGCTGCTTCGGTTAGGCACTGATGACATGGAGCTCTGGAGCCTTCTGTTGTCAGCATCGTCAGGTGGATTCCAACCATCATCGGCCGTTTCGACCCCTATTCCACGACGTCCTCTGGTTGGCGGGTCAGCAGTGGTGATCATTCACTGCTTGCTGTTGTCTGGGCTCCAGTTTGGCTCATCTCGTCTACACCAAAGCCAGCATGATGATCTCTCAGCCCTTTCAGCCAAGGTCTTAATAGCTGCTTTCCTCTTTGCTCCTGTCAGTCCCAATTTCTGGAACATCCTCCATACTGACTGTGCAGGGAATCCTCTGGCACCGACCTCTACTGGAAACAGCCATGTGTTCCATCCCTTATGTCTGCACAGCTCTGCAAGCTCTTGGTATTTGCCAGCTTTCTTCTCATGTGCCTCATCACACCCTTCTTCCCATGGAACCGTCAGCTCCACCAAGATGACCTTCTGGCGCTGTTGTGACCATATCACAATGTCTGGTCTCAGAGTGGTTTGCACTAAATCAGGAAAGACGAGACGCCTGTTGAGGTCTACTCCCAGGATGGTGCTTGGCTGAGTACATTCACATGATATGCAGTAGTAGTTGGTGGTCCCTTCTCTCCAGCTCTCACAAACTGTATGTGAGGTTTACGAGGTTCTATCAGTGACCTCTTATGACGCCGCTCCTTTTCCAGAATATCTGCTAGGGCAGCTAGAACCTGGTCATGACGCCATCTGTACCGTCCCTGCTGGAGGGCTACTCTACAGCCTGATAGGATATGTGCAATTGTGCCTCTTCCACCGCACAAGGAACAAGCTGGATCTTCCAGAAGACCCCACCTACACAAGTTGCTTGGCAGTGTGTCATACACAGACCTGAGCATGAAGGATATCCTGAGAGGTTCCATTTTCCACAAGTCTGTCCATGGAATCTTGCGTTCCGGAAGATTCCACCGCGTCCATGATCCTTGCTGTCCTAACTCAACTGCTCTACTTTTGCGTTGCTGTTCCTCCTCTGATCTCACCACAGATACAATTCTGTCTCTCTTTTCCTTTCCTTCTGCTATGCTCCACTGCTGGAAGTGATCGACTCCCAATCCTCGTCTACAAACACAGATGTTTCCCACGATGTCTTGTAACTCCAGCGTATTTTCAGCTTTGCTAACTGTAGCACCAGCTGACCATTTCCGGCCTGTCCTTGTGACCACTCCAGCTTTCTGTACCTTGATGTCTTTGGAGTCCTTCAGGGTCATAACCAATCTACACTTGGCCACCTTGAATTCTTCCACCATGGAGGACAATGGTTACTGCAGCTGAGATGTCTTGATGTACAGGCCAACTGCCGTGAAACTAGGTGGTACTCCCAGCCATGATCGTAACTTCCTGCTGGTACATCTCTCCAAGGTTTCAACTGTTGTCAGTAGTAGCTCATACAGAATCAGGTTCCAAGACAGTCTAGGAAGAACACCATGTTGATATAACCAAGCCTTGAATTTCCCTGGTAGTCCTGACTTGTCGATCCTCTTCAGCCATTCAGTTACTTGCTCCTCCACCTTTCTCACATTCTTCTTGTCAGACAGGGTGTCGTCGTACCATCTCCCTCGACATTTCACTGGGTTGTCAATGATTGATAGTATCTCCTCCCCCTGGACCCGAAGGATGAACTGCTTTGACAACCGGCCATTCTTGATGATCATACACCGGGATTTCTTCGGTTTAAATCTCATACGGGCCCAGTTGACCACTTCGTCTAGTGCCGACAGTGTCCAACGTGCCTGAACATTGGTTGTTGTTGTGATCGTCAGGTCATCCATAAACCCTCTGTTTGATGGTTGATCAATTCCTGAGTTCATTTTCGGCCCTCTAGTCTCTCTCTCAGCAGCTTTCATGATGATGTTCATTCCCATCACAAACAGGATAGGTGATACTGTGCATCCGGTCACTATTCCCTTCTCCAAGTCCTGCCAGGTTGTGGTGAAGTTGTTTGTGGTAAACCTAAGCTGCATACCATCAATATATTTCTTCAGGATACTGATGACATGTTCTGGGATGTGATAGTGATGCAAAGCTACCTCAATCAGCTTGTGGGGGATACCTCCATAGGCATTTGCCAAGTCAAGCCAAACCACTGTCAAGTCGCTCTTGTCAGCCTTTGCCTCGCGAATCATCTGACTCAGAACGCTGGTGTGTTCTACTCATCCCGAGAAACCAGGTATCGCTCCCTTCTGGGCTGACGTGTCGATGTAATGATTGCTTAACATGTAATCTGTTAGCCGCCTTGCCATCACAGAGAAGAAGATCTTACATTCAACACTGAGCAAGGAGATGGTTCTAAACTGCTCTACTGATGTCAAATCCTTCTCTTTTGGAACAAAACAACCTTCTGCTCGCTTCCATTTGTCAGGAACTGATCCTTTCTTCCATATTCCTTTCAGGAGCATCCACAATCGTCTCAATAACTTGGGGCACTTCTTATACACACCATATGTCAGTCCACTTGAGCCAGGTGCTGACTTCGATCTCGCTTTCCTAACTACTTCCTGCACCTCCTTCCACGAGGGTTCTCCCACTTTAAATGGGGTACTTGGTGGATCCTCTTCTATATCCCTTGGGCAGTCTCCTAATAGTGTTGCTCTCTCTTCGTCACAGTGCGTATTCCGCAGATGATGTTCTGTCTCTGTCTTTGAGCTTTCCAGTTGGCCTGAGTGCTCTTCTCCCAACAGGTCTTTCGTAAATTTGAAAGGATCCTTGACAAACTGTGCTCTTTTCCTAGCCCTGGTCTTCCTGCCAGCCCGTAGTCTTTCAGCCTTTCTTAGCCTCCTAAGTTTATTCCTGGTAGTATCTCTTAGCTGCTGGATTCCCATCCTTTCTTCCTCTGGGGCTCTTCTAAATCTACGCTTAAGCGTATTCAGTTCCCTCCTCAAACTTCTTATTTCTCCTTCTCTTCTGTTCTGTTTGTTCAGTTCTTTGCGTTTTTTTCTCTACAATCCCAAATCTCTTTTTCCCCAAGTTATATGTAATGGTTGTAAGGGTGTTCAGCTTCTTTTCTACACTTCCCTGCATCGTTGTCTCTGATATGCCCTCCAGGTCTTCCTCAAATATCTTCCATTCTTTATCATCCGACATTCTCGGCCACTTGACCCTCGCTTTCCGTGGTGTTATATCTTCAGTAGCATGAACTTCCTGGTCTTCCTCCACACCATTCAATGCAGAGCTATTGCTATGAAGTGACTCATTAGCAAAGAGATCTCCAGTACTGTGGTTTGTCTCCTGACTGGTAACCTCCTCCGTCTCATGAAAAGAGTCTTTTGTGCGTTGCTTCTGGGAACCTGCAGAGCAACTGCTTGACCTTGCCTGGTAAATTCGGAGTCCCCGAACATTCTTGCAAACTTTTCCACAAGGGCATGTTGTAGTAGAGACACCTCTTGTAAGTTTTAACTGCAACATCCGGCTTTGTGATCTTGTCCGTGTTCCTGCCAAATCCGTTTCCGATATGTCCGTCCGAGTGAGCCTCTCATCCTCCCTCCCTCTCGGGAGACTCTGGGGGTGTTGTTCATGTCGTTGTGTTGTAGCTGTATGCTGGTGTCCTTTCACAAGAACTGCATGGTGGGGTGCTAGCCCAAACATGTCCAGATACCAGTCTATTCCTGGTTGCCATCTGTCTCTCAGGCGTCACAGGTCTTCCCCTGTTTCCATCCAGACTTTCCTGGAAGTGACTGGTTTCCAAGATGTGCAATGTGAACTTACAGATTTCTCTGCTGATGATAACCCAACCGCTGCTTCGGTTAGGCACTGATGACATGGAGCTCTGGAGCCTTCTGTTGTCAGCATCGTCAGGTGGATTCCAACCATCATCGGCCGTTTCGACCCCTATTCCACGACGTCCTCTGGTTGGCGGGTCAGCAGTGGTGATCAATCACTGCTTGCTGTTGTCTGGGCTCCAGTTTGGCTCATCTCGTCTACACCAAAGCCAGCATGATGATCTCTCAGCCCTTTCAGCCAAGGTCTTAATAGCTGCTTTCCTCTTTGCTCCTGTCAGTCCCAATTTCTGGAACATCCTCCATACTGACTGTGCAGGGAATCCTCTGGCACCGACCTCTACTGGAAACAGCCATGTGTTCCATCCCTTATGTCTGCACAGCTCTGCAAGCTCTTGGTATGTGCCAGCTTTCTTCTCATGTGCCTCATCACACCCTTCTTCCCATGGAACCGTCAGCTCCACCAAGATGTCTGGTCTCAGAGTGGTTTGCACTAAATCAGGAAAGACGAGACGCTTGTTGAGGTCTACTCTCATTTCCCAGGATGGTGCTTGGCTGAGTACATTCACATGATATTAGAGCTGTCCGGTTAACCGAAAAGGCAACTCGATATCGGTAGTCTCAAAAAACCGGAAATACGAACCGAGCATGCGCACAAATAACCGTACTTTCGGTATCAACAGTAACAACGTGGTTATGGCGGGCAGCGTCAAGCAAAGCAGTCCTGTGTGGCTATATTTCGAGAAACTAAGAAAAAATGAAACATTCGCTAAATGTAAATTATGCCCGGGAGGTAAAAAGGTTGCAGCACGTTATGGTAATACCAGCAATCTCACGCGACATATCGAAACTTCGCATAAAACCGAAGCAGTACAGCTGAAAAAAGCTCTCGAAGAGAAGGCATCGCTGAAGCGTAAATTGAAGGTAAGTTTCTAAGAAAAAAAAAACAGTCGTGTGTTCAACTCAAGTTACCTAATAATACAGACTTTCGGGCAATGTTTCTTGCAGTCTAAAGTACACGGGGCCGTTTTCGTTTTTCAAATGGATTATATGAACGATCAAATGCATGCGGAAATAAAAGCTTTCTTTTGAGAGATCGTTTCGAAATGGCCACACTTTTAAAGAGACGTACCCAGACATGAATAATATATGGGAATAATAATCACGATCCCTAATAAAGTAAGATAAATAGATAAAAAAAAAAGATAAAAATATTTGGAAAATGAATTAAATTAAAAGATTTATGAATGAATGATAGCTTGGGAGAGTAAATAGATGGATTGTTTGAATTTAAATTTGAATTCATATTTCAAATATATTATAGGCCCTACCTATAATTGGGAATATTCTGCTCGTTCCAGGATGAAGCAGTCCCCAGCGAATCCCCAGGAACATCAAGTAAACAAACAAAAATGGTGCCTTTCCTACAGGACAAAAAGTGGGGCTCTCAGGACAAGAGACAGAGAGATTGTAATAAAAAATTAACTGAAATGATATGTATTGACCTTCAGCCTGTCAGCATCGTAAATGACCAGGGTTTTCGTGAATTCATTCATTGCCTTCAGCCAGCTTACAATATCCCAAATCGCAAGGTCATAAGAGACTCATTAAGTCCAAAGGCATATATGGAGCAATCGTCAGTGATAAAATCAAAACTGAAGGATTGTGTGTCCTTGGGCATTACTCTAGATCATTGGACCTCAGTAGCACAAGATGCCTACATGGCAGTGACCGCTCACTTCTTATCAGATAACTTCACCATCAGTGACTACTGCTTAAATGTTGCACATATGCCTGAATCACACACAGCAGTGAACATATCTGAAGCTCTACTTTCCTGCCTCGACGTATGGATCCCAGATTATAACGAAAGGACATTGAAGATCTATGTTGTGACAGATAATGCATCAAATGTGCAAGCAGCTATGAGACAACTTCCATCTTCTAAGTTCGTTCCTCTCAATTGCTTTGCTCATACATTACAACTTGCTGTGAACGATGCAGTCAAGAAATTCTTCGGGCTTGAAAAAGTAATTGCGAAGGCTAAAGTTATCACTAAACATTTTCATGCAAGCGCAAAGGATACACACAGCCTTGCTGAGAAGCAGAAATCATTGGGTGTGCCTGTGCATCGTCTGAAGAGTGAATGCCCAACAAGGTGGAATTCATTGTATTATTTACTGGAGAGACTAGTCGAGCAAAGAGAATCAGTAACCGCTGTATTAGCTACGAACGATAAGATAAATGATCTTAAAAAATCTGAGTGGAAGATCGCTGCAAGTTATGTAAGTGCCCTGAAACCATTTGAGGATGCAACAAACATGATGTCTGCGTCTAGATATGCTACAAGCTCAATGATAATCCCAGTCCTGCACGTTTTGAATGAGCAGATGAAAGACGTTGAAATGAATGACTTTGGAAAGCAGATACATGCCAACATCAATGCCAGATGGCCTGAATATGAGATGAAGCTTGAGTTTGCAATACCCACATACCTCGATCCCAGGTTCAAGAATTATGGGTTCAATGATGACACAGCCAGAGACCGGACAGCAAAAGAAATAGTGCAGCTGATGTTAGACAATGCTAAAAATCCTCAAGTTATCGAAACTCCGAGTGCATGTGAATCTGACATCAAAAAGCAGTCTGCTAGTGCGACTGAGTCATCAGAGACTGCTACGACGTCAAAGAAGACTGTGTGGGAAATATTCAAGAAAATGGTAGATAAGAAGAAGCAGACTGCTTCCGAGCACTCAACTGATAATCTACGGGAAAAGATGGAACATGAACTTCAGTTGTTTTGTAGTGAGGAACTTTTGGAACCTGAGAAATCTCCATTCGACTGGTGGAAAACAAACAAGACTAGGTACTCAAACCTTGCAAAGTTGGCACAGGTTTTTCTTTCGATACCAGCCACCTCTGTTCCTAGCGAGCGCATGTTCAGCAAATCTGGTCTCATCATCTCCAATCGAAGATCCTGTCTTGAGCCATTTTTTGCTGAGCAACTTACCTTTCTCGGACATAACCTGCGACAGTGAACTGTGGTACTGACTTGGTTGAGAAGGAAAATTAACACCCTGATGTGTTCAAAAAATCAGTTTTGTTCAATACTCATTCATGGCACAAGAAGTGTTAGTCAGTCTAGTCTTGCCTATGTTATTATTGTTACTGTTTTCTTTGAACCATATTGCACACTTGCAGCTCCATAACAAGTTTCGAATTTTGAAACTCCAGACTGTGTTATAACATATTCATTATAGCTGAAACCAAACCTGTTATATTTTCTATTATTTTTTTCTGTCTTGTTACTGTTGATAGGTTTGTGCATTCTTGTTGAAATACCAGGTGGTATATTTTTTGTTTCTCTTTCATGTTTGAGTTGGAATATCATATTTTGTTATTTATTTTATTGTCTCACGAGTTGTGAACCAGTTATAGATCTATTGTTGAATAAAACCGAAAACCGAAACCGAGAATCAACTTTTAATCAAGTAACCGAATCGAAACCGAAACCGAAGGTCAATTCCCATAACCGGACAGCTCTACATGATATGCAGTAGTAGTTGGTGGTCCCTTCTCTCCAGCTCTCACAAACTGTATGTGAGGTTTACGAGGTTCTATCAGTGACCTCTTATGACGCCGCTCCTTTTCCAGAATATCTGCTAGGGCAGCTAGAACCTGGTCATGACGCCATCTGTACCGTCCCTGCTGGAGGGCTACTCTACAGCCTGATAGGATATGTGCAAGTGTGCCTCTTCCACCGCACAAGGAACAAGCTGGATCTTCCAGAAGACCCCACCTACACAAGTTGCTTGGAGTTGGCAGTGTGTCATACACAGACCTGAGCATGAAGGATATCCTGAGAGGTTCCATTTTCCACAAGTCTGTCCATGTAATCTTGCGTTCCGGAAGATTCCATCGCGTGGACAGATTCCATTATAACCCCCCCCCCCCCTCCCCAATTGTATTTTGGAAAGGGCTAATGTAAGAAGAAATAACTTGCAAATATTTGCAATAAAATATGTTAAATTCAAAATTCAGAGATCAATGAGAGATCTTGGCACCCACCATGGTTTGATCATTATTTGTTCTTAAAAAGTTACATCTTTTTTCTCTTTTTTCCTTAAATAGCAATTATCTAATTCTCTAATCTAAGATATGGTTTCCTGTCAGCCACCATAATTGTTTTCCTTTAAAATGCCACAATCAAAAGGGCACATGTAAAGACTAAGAGGAATTTGAAAAATTTAGATTGGAATCCTCACAAGAAAAAAACAATAACATCAAACTGTCAAACTCGAAAATGGCTGGGTGTCAGGTTTTTTTAAACATTCTTTCAATTGGATAATTCACATGAATTTTGAAAATGATACATCCTGTACTTTCCAGTAGTGGTAACATACTAATAATGTCAAAATCCAAGATGGCAACCTGTCCGCCATCCTGTTATTGTATCCGTCCAAAAAGGTACAATGTACAACTAATATCCAAGAAGAACCTACATATGAAAACTGAGATCCCAGAAATAGCAATAACAAACTTTTACTTTCAAAATTCAAGATGGCTTGCTGTCAGCAAAAAAGTAAAATGCACAACTAAAGACCAAGGGGAACCTGTATATGAATTTGAGAAAGATTCAAGTCGAAATAGTGGTAGCGGGAATTAATTAAGGACTTATGGACGATGGACCATGGACGTAAGGCGATATTTATTGAATAGCCAACTATCTGCAAAAAAATACTATAACAATTTTCTCATTTGCCCAAACCAATAACAGGGGAAACTGAAAATGGGGACATGGATGATTGAAAATCAAATGACTGTCCAGGCTGAATTTTCACATCTAGTAATTCAAGTGCAGTTGTAGATTTCCTCTGTAGCTGTAGCATCTCCTCCTGCTGCTCCAGTAATTTCTCCTGCAGCTTGATTTTCTTTTCTTTATACTCTTTCAAATACTTGAACTTCTCTTTCTCAAGAAGATAAAAATCTTCCTGCAAGTTACCTGTACTTTCACTGTTATCTGTAAATATAGTTGTTAATTTCATTGTACTTATTGCTCTTATTCTGATATATACATTTAAATCTGTAGAGATGTTATAGTAGCTTACCTAGACAAATGTTGGCATCAAACTACTCCATATTGACAAAATACAACAAGCCGAAGCAATACATGTCCCCTACCGGCCCCCCAAAATTCTTTAGATGCAATTTTCCAAAAATAGTAACAGTGACCTTGACCTTGACCCCATGACTTTGAAACTCAAACTTGTCCAAGATATTTCAATTCTGTACATGTGTGTGAAGTTTGATGGAAATCCATATAAGAACAATGCCACTAGAGTGCTGACAAGCTTCAGCGGACAGACAAGACAGACAGACGGATGGACAGCGAGGAAAACTATAGCCCCACCCCCCTCCAGTTTCACCAGTAGGGGACTAATAATTAAACAATGTAAGTATGTTACAAAAATGTCAATGTAGAAAATGGCAGGAAAAAACTTAATACATTTTATCCCTTCTTTGGAACTACATTTCAAATCAGCAATCATTAAGAATCATGGCTGCATATACAGAGATATACACAATCCAAGCTCTCTATCCTTTAAGAATGTATAGGCATACTATACTTACATAGAGATATTTTTCTATTCTTCTTGAACTGAAGAATTGGCTTGGTTTTGGTTGAAGCGTCTTCCACTGAAATGATTTTTTGCAATTAAATATTTGCATTAAACACAATCTTAGATAAGAACTGTTAAAGACACTGTCTTGTCTCAAGATGTGTCTGAGTGTTATATAAGTTTTATTATTTAAAGACAAAAGGGAAATCAAAGTCTAGAATTTAGAAACATATCCATCAACATATTACTGTCCTATCGTCAGTACTGGTAAGAGGGAATAGTTACACTTATATTGTACTTGAACCCTGTCAGCTTAACAAGAACTGTGCCATTCTCTTGGCTATCAGTGTTATGGTCTTTTTGCAATTACACTGACCTTGACCCAATTACCTTTTTAACCCCTACCGAGTCTACATATAAATGTACCGCAGCATACATGTATATGTATGGCCATGTTGGACAGATGGGCACTCTGCTTATTTTAGGACACCCAAAGCTCAAATGTAAGAGACCAGTTAAGCTTCAACAAAAGCCTGCTGACTGATTAGAAAGTTTAGAAAAAATGCACAACAATATGTCTAACAATGGAGAAAAAGATATTTAAGTTATTTAGTTCCCTAGAAAGCTAAAAAGCAGGCTTTGTTGCCTGAGCAATTGCTCACTGATGCTTCTTCTGCTGTACATGTAGTTACATGCATGTTGGAGCTTGTGCTTGTATTATCTGAAGGAAATAAATACATTTAAAGATTACTCATCATCATCATCATCATCATCATCATCATCACCAATACCATCCCCCACCACTGCAGTCAGTGACTGCAGTGAATGTGATAAAATAGATTTTTCTTTTTTTGATGATGCAATACAAATGTTATTAAAAGTGTTGTCTCTTTTAGAGAGTATATGTATTTGAAAATGTAAACAAGTAGTAGTATTATTATAAACATGCACTTGAAATAGCAAACTTGTACAGATAACCTTTAATAATAATATAAATTTAACACAAACTTTATTTATCAAAGTTGTGAAAAAATTTTTCAACTTTAATCACTCTTGTTGGCCTGTATGAAAGCACCCAAATGGTCTTACTCTGGGGGAAATCGGAGTACCTGGGGAAAACCCTCGTGGCAAGGCAGGTGATCCCATACCTTTTCACGTCCATTCTGGGAATCAAACCTGGGACGCCTAGGTGAAAGGCGAGTGTGTTACCACTGCGCCACCCAACCACCCTTACAGATTAATTATCTTTTATTTATAAGTCAATTATTCAATGATTCTCATTAAAGCAATCCAAACTTTAAGCAAATAATAACCAAAATAAATCATTTTAAGTTTAAAGAATCTAATACCTGGTAAGAGAGATCTATATTGAATATTGATGGCATGATTTATTTACCAACGAAAAGGTGTTGTATGTTAGAAGTAATCTATAAACATTATATACCTGGTATAAAGGATAATAAATAATGGCTCTTTATTTTGTAGTAGTGTTAAAGCCTTGTTGATGTAATCATGCGAGTCCATGACTACTACTGCTCCTCCCTACGGAACCTATAGACAATACCACCTTACGTCAAGTACAATACCGGACACCTAAGGAAGCAGCGCAAATCCCCGTCAACTGGACCCCACCGTTTGAATCCACAGGCCAGACCAACTTTGATAATGTGAAGTTTAGAATAATACCGGCCACAAAACACCCAGAAAAGAAACCACTTGAACCGATTGATACAGACACATTGGCAGCAGATTTATACCTATCTGACACTGATGATGATGCATGCAGCTCCAACATGAACACATACAGTGACCATCTATACATGAGAATGAAACTTCAACCATGAATGATAGCTTTAGTAGTATTGCCACATATGTACAAGATGAACAACCGATTACTCTTCAAAACCAGACAATAAGTGTACACAGAGTGTACGGTATTTTTCAGAATATGTAATGGAACTCTGTAGCTATAATGACTCATTGTAATGTTGCATTAACTGTGACGTCATAATAATTGATGTACCGCATTTGTATACCTTAGATGTCTTTTCAAAATAAAAAATTGTCCTGATGACGGCCGCATAGCAGTCGAAACATGTAGACAATGTTCACATGAAGTCTTTGTGGTGTTGAGATTCCTTTTTTATTGTTTTATACCTGGTATAAAGGAAGTCTGGCTTGTAGCTCCACTAGCCTCCAACATAGATGAGCCCTCTAAAGGAAAGAAATATTATTAGGAAACAGAACACATGTAACACACTATGAGATTCCATGGGCATCATAGGATGGAACTCTCCATTGTACCATCGTCATTAGTACATATGTACTTTGGCAGTTCAATCTTTCCCTTCTGTAATATGTTTGCATTGATGCCACTTTAAATCCAAATGTAATAAGAAAAAAAATTAAAGTGAGTTTGTCATTTCATTTATGCACTTGAACAGTACCAGAGGTGAAAGGAATATAGAGTTCAGTAATGTTTTTTCCAATGGTACAAAGGATTGTAAACATTCAAACCACAAAGGTTTAAAAATGTGCACAAATATCTCAATCACCAGATAGTAAGTTTTAACACAAGAGATGGATGTTTGCTGGTCCCATACCTTTCTCCAATACACTGAGACTTGACTGAGAAGTATCTACTCCTCCAGAAACCCCTTCCACCGCGCTCCTTGTGAATGTTCCAATAATCTATTTAAAGACATATACATGTATAAATTATTGATTTTTATCCATATTGCCAACACTTAGAAAATAAATATTTTGAATCCATTTTTTTAGCAGAATATACTTTTCCCTTAACCTACATGATCCAAAAATGATTTTTATGGGTTCACTGGGTTGTAATATTACATGTAGGTTTTTAATATTAATAAAGTCATGTTTGTCAATGGTTACTTAAGTCGAACAGACAAATTTTCCCACAAGTTTCTCCCATGGCTTTGCATCATCTTCATATAAAGCCGGTCCACCACCAGTGGCTTGTCTGTCATGCACTCTCTGCGCCTCTTTTTTTTTTAGTTAAACTGCAGAGATCCTGCCCCTTTTTTTTTTACTTCTGTGACGTCTCTCATTGTCTGAGAACTGTTTGTGGCATTAACTCTGAAACAGGAAACAGTACATTAATATTTAAACATAACTCCAAAATATTACAAACTGTAAATGTTACAAAATAAATCTACATTTTCAGGATCATAATAAATTTCAATATTTTTTAAAGATAAATAAATTGAGAAAAAAAATGGGAACACATCTGTTATATAGGTCAACGTCTTTTTTTTTTTTATTATTTTTTTTTAATATTGGGACTCTGCCCCCAAGCCCCCCATTTTTGTTTCCTAGAATAACTGTAGAAACCTTAATAGCATACTTAACAGAAGTGAAACTTATCTTAAATTTAGCATGAAACTGTAAATAAAATGACTTCTTAGGACCTGCATTGTATGTACGTAACAGATTATACCCAAAAAATGATTAAGAAAATAGATTCCAAATAAAAAGTGATATCCCTAATGGTTGATTTTTCATTCCACCAACATCTCCTTCTCTTTAGTTTGGTAAAAAAACAGAAATTAATGTTATTCACAAATGTATCAACATACATTGAATGTACACAACTGTATAAGTAATTAAAAACAAAGGGGATGGGTCTTAGGCTTATGAAGTATTCGTGTACTTTTTGTGCTAGATACAATGTAGGTCAATTATGCCCAAGTCGGCCACATTATGCTAACGTTAATCCTGTAATGATTTAGGTCGAATCACCACAGTGTAATGAATCCTGTGCCTGCAATGTACATTAAACGCAGGGTAGCTCAAAGTATCTGACTCCATTGGTTTCTGCCCTACATATATCTTTACATCAGAATAAGATCGTCGACTGAACTCTACCGCCACACGTCATTTCGGACAATTAGCTGTCAAAATGCAGTCACTTACCGTGATGTAATATCTAGCCAGCATTTTGTTTTCATAGTGGCCCCTTCACTATCCTAATGTTGATGGCTGCTGCATTTGCCAACGCCTCGATTTCCTCCGAACTCCAATTTGGCTTCCTCTTCTGTATGTCTGTCGAATTCGAAGCCATTGTTTTTAGCAGACGAGAGCTGCAGACGAAAGTGAAACCGGAAACGCGTGTTGCGACTGCGCAGGCTGCAATTAAGTCGTTTTCAGGGAAGCTTTTTCCTCGTAAGTCAAATCGTAAGTGCGCTCGTAAACAAAAATCGTATGATTTTTTGTGAAAAGATCAACAGGTCTATACATGAAATAATGAACGATTTTTGTAATTCATCAAATCATCAGAAAATAAGCCTGATGAAGTAATAACATTGTAACCCAAGCAGAATTTTTCTGAACAGTATAAGCACTTGTGTATTTACCCTAATACAGTGACTTTTCCCAGTACGCTGTATTTAGGCGGTTTGACAGGAAGTACTCTCCACCATTAAACAGCACAAAACAGACTTTTTTTTTATATTTAGGTTTGGGTTTTTCAGTACGATATGATAACCTATCATGAAATTGGGAAAAGTAGTCATACCAGTATACATTAGATCTTAATTTCATTATAAAGTAAGACAAAAATTATATATGCATGCATGTTTGTATACATGTACCTGTTATTGTACGTACCTTTATTACACTTACCCTTTGTTGTCTGGGATCTTTTAAATCATCTCTTCCATGAACGCTTTTGAAGTCTGGTAATACAATGTTTTGTTCCGTTTGCTATGCTTAATAATGAGTGTTCAATACAGTCCCAGTAATAATTATATGAACGTCCCTATTTTTCACAGTGATACGCCTTCCTCATGTATTCTATTTATAGCTCAGTCACTCTTAACTGCGTATTTCTGAAAACACATATCTGTATTTTGGTTTCGCTTTTCTACACACCATATCAATGATTATTGATCATGTTGTTTCCATGGTCATAGTGATACGCATTACTCATGTACTCTACTGTTCAAAGACGCTATGTTTGATCAGGGAATTGTTAACACGAGTGCGCGGGAAGTCCCATGTACACCCGATATCACGAACTATATGCAAGAGGCACACGTGTGCACATGCGAACCAGATATACAACCGTCGCTGTTTAGTCCAGGTAATGGGGCAACTGAGGATCCATTATCGCAACTGGACGCATACAGGTATCCACGAATTCAACTGAAAAAGAAAATATCACATCGAATTGTGTTGGTGAAAAACGTTATATTTTATCCTCGCTTCCGGACGATTTCCTCAGCAGTGAAACATACCAGGAGGACATTATAACAGCCATTCAGAGAATAGAACATGATATTAATCAACTCAGTGATGTAGATAAGGCTTACACTGACTTTCGCAAATTTATGATATCACAAATGGACAAGCATATGGATAGTAAAACGATAAAAAATACGTCACATAAACACAACAGGAAAACATTATACAAACCTTAATGGAATCCTGAACTGGAACAGCAGTGTAATTTAGCGCGGGAAAAGGAACGCACTTGGCTGAAGTATAACGGAAACGCAACAGTTAGAAGAAGGAGGCTCAAGTCTGACTTCTTGAATGAACGTAAAAAAATTGACAAATTAAATCGTAAGGCAAAACGTCGTTACCAGCTGAAGGAGCAATCGATGTTACACAATTTACATTCTGAAAATAAGTCACGTGAGTTGTGGAAAGAAGTCGGTAAATATGGCATGGCAAACGACCGGTCATCCCACATACCAATGGCAATGACAGACCTAGAGGGTAACAGTATCTCGAATGTGGATAATGTTTTAAACCATTTGCAGTCGACATATGAGACATTATACAACGAAAATTGTTTACCGAGTCGTTCGATGATGATCACCTAAAATCAATAAAAGAGAGCCGGAGGGCTGGCGCCGTCGGCCCTTGTCGTCCCTTGGAGACTTCTATTTTGAACGTTCCAATTAGACGGGAGAAGGTGAAGTCAGCAATTTTCAGAGCAAAACTAAGAAAATCCCCCGGTTTCGACAAGATTCCAGCGGATGTTCTGCGCAATGATACATGTGTTGACATTCTTCCAAAAAAATTTTACCCATTGTTTCGTTAATGGAGAGATACCACGTGACTGGTCATCAGGAATAATACAGCCTATTCCGAAATCAGACAACAAGGATCCTACAGACCCTCTTAGTTATCGTGGGATCTCATTACTATCTATTCCTTGTAAAATCTACACAGATGTACTAGGTCGGAGATTAAACAAATGGCTAGAAATGCATGATGTACTATTAGAGGAACAAAATGGTTTTAGGCAAAAAAGAAACTGTCTTGATCACATCTACTCGCTTTACAACACAGTCAACAACAGGAAATTGAAAAACTTTGTACTTTTGTATGCTTTGTGGATATACGCAAGGCGTTCGACACTGTAAATCGGGATTGTTTATGGTACAAATTATATGCAATCGGCATCGAGGGAGCTTTCATGAACGCCGTCAAATCGTTATATAGTGACGTCAGATGTGCAATACGTTTAAATCGTTAAGTCACAGATTGGTTCAACGTCACATAGGGCGTAAAACAGGGGTGTAATATTTCTCCTGCTCTTTTCTCAATCAACGGTGAACGATCTGGCGAGTGATATTAAGGCTCTACAATGTGGTGTGATATACGCCGACTATATGATCTCGCTTTTACTGTACGCGGACGATATCGCGCTACTAGCAGCGGATGAACTCTCTCTTCAACGGATGCTCCAGTGCCTAAATCACTGGCGTAGAAAGTGGCGACTACTGATCAACAAGGATAAAACTAAAGTGATCCATTTCAGAAATCCTTCATCTCAACGTTCTCTCTTCAAATTTAAGTGTGGCGATATCGATATTGATTATATTGATCGGTACCGGATTCTGGTTTACAGAGCACCTGGATTTGTCGATATCTGTGCGCGAACTAGCCAAATCAGCAAATAGATCATTAAGTGCAGTTATAACGAAATCAAAATTCGCAGGAGGGATGTCACTAGCAGTTTTTAGACAACTTTACAAGTCACTTGTGGAACCTGTACTCTTTTATTGTAGTGCGATATGGGGACATAACAAATATCGTTTCGTTCAAACAGTTCAAAACCGTGCGTGTAGATATTTCCTCGGAACTGGGAAAAAAGGGTCCTAACATCGCCGCACGAGGCGACCTTTGGTGGAACTCTTGTGAAGTGAACCGAAAAGTTGAAGTCTGTAGACTGTGGATAAATATAAAATTCTTGGATGAGGTTAGATTACCCAAGAAAATACATATTTGGTCTGTTTCTGTCAATCGCAGCTGGGAGAACAAAGTTATTAAACTCCTTAGGGACAATAACTTATATAATCTACTTACATGTTCTACAATATCTGCCAAAGAATGTATAAAGGCAGTCAAGAATCATTTTATATATGTTGATAATCGTAATTGGTATAGAGAACTATATGATGACCGTAGATGTAATAACGGTAATAAGCTAAGAACGTATAGGTTATTTAAATCTAGTAATTAGACGGCAAAGTATGCCTCTAGTATTATGGATTTTAGATATAGACAGGCTCTAGCGAGACTTCGAAGCGGTAATTTAAAGCTTAATATTGAAACAGGTCGGTATTCTCGTCCTAAAATACCATTAAAAAATAGAATTTGTACATTGTGCGATTTAAATTGTATTGAGGACGAATGTCATTTTTTAGTTGTATGTGATTTTTATTCAGATATCAGAGTTCATCTTCTTACAATAGCTGATCTGTACAGGTTTTAACTATTTAAACAGTACGCAGAAGCTCAATTTTTTAATGAATCAATTTGCAATACCTTGTAGCAAGTACTGTACACAAGATGTATCGTAGAAGAATGTACTTTTAATACTTTGTTTGTTTTCTTACGATATTCATGTAGCTATACATTGTACTAGTTTAGCCATGTTGGTACCATATTTCATACTATACAGTGTCTCATAAGCCTTAATAGGCTGGGTGTCAATTTTATAAATGTGGTTAATTTTAGATACTATTTGTTTTATATGTGATGTGAATTGACATGTGACACTTCTTAATCAAATATTATTGTATTGTATTTAGAGCTCAATCAAATTTTCCATAAATAGCTCAGTCAGACTTAAAACACAGACCTAATCAGTTGTAGCCGGGTGCATATGTAATAGGGTCATATTTTGTCTGTCATATATTGTATAACTTGTAACATTCATGTTATGTCATATTTATGTGATATTTCATATTGGCAATGTTTGCAGGATGCAACGACGAAAGATATAGACATCTACCAATCAGCCGACACATAGCAGGATGCAACGACGGCTTTTTCCAAATCTTCCCCCTGTATACTTTTTCATCTGAAACCAATCGAATACAAAGAGAAGCCAAGGAGTCAGAAATTATAAACATTTTAAAACCAGACTTGAATATTAATGTTTAACCGCATTGTAAAGTTTGCAAAATATAATTATGCCCCTTTTATATTATGACGTCATCAACAGATAACATGTTGTGACGCCACACCATTATGTACAGTTACTATGCACCTGAAGATCTAATACAGTGAAAGCGCTAGTGCAAAATGTAACGTCTTTCTTCTTTTGTCAAAAATCATTTTTATTTATAATTTACTCGCATCTCGCCAAATCAAGTTTTTTCTATATATATATATATATATAATGTACTGGTTATATACATGTGTATTATTATGTTTTCGCAGACACATCGTTAGTGTCACGTTTTACCTGCGCGCGTTTGTGTAGTATGTATGTATGTATTTGTGTACGTGAGTACTGTTCACTGTCCAACTGGACACGTGACATGTGACGGACTTGGACGGTGTTGTTTCATTGGTCCAAA